GTCCTGGATGTAGATGTTCTTAGGAATGACACCAACAATACCATTGAGATAATGGGCCCCTTCGAGCACGGGCAACAGAGAGGCAGAATTGAACAACACTGGCATTTCCTGCTATCGACACGGTCAGGTCTCTGGGCCCAAGTGCGAATGTGGGTATGCATATCATATAATCGGGCCGATTAGCTGTTCAGCACCGAGAGAGCCTGGGATGGATCGAGAAAGAGAAGATAATATTTGAGGGGGAGTTACTGACAATGTCCCTGCCTTACGTCGAGGTCGTGTTGGACAGGAAGAGTGAATGTATGGGATCCCGGATCGTACAATGTACGTTTTCCTTTGTTTTCCAAGACAGTCCATGACTCAACATGACGCAAGTTTGATCATTGCAAGAGGGCATCGGCGTTTAGAACAGAATTAATTCCAAATTATCAGTCAGATGTAAATATTCCTCCCTTCAGCCAAGTTCACATTCCGGAGGCTCGAGGCCGTGTCAGGGCCCAGAGGAGAAGAATAATAATGCCATCGGAAGAGCAGTCCAGATTAATGATCAAGGTGCTAGTGTTAAGATATGACTCTTGACATCATTCTCGTACGTACTCATCCTTTTTTTTTTACATACGCAATCACCTCTCATTCCACGCCTCATACACGTTTACCTTGGATTCCCCGTTTCAATCAGCGTATTAATTCCTCTCCCCGTCGAATAATCTCCCTCAGTCTGTTGATCCAAGACTGAGGTGAGCTCTCTTATTTTACGGATCTATGTATACTTTCCTGACTATTACCCTACCCAGTCCTTCCCCGCTCCTAGGTATGATCTATAACTAATAACTAATAACTAATATGAGTCTTTTAATCCAATACCGAGTCCCTGGCCCGTTCCTAGTCCAGGCCTCTTCAAATATTCGTAAGGGCTAGTTTAGTTCCGTGATACACCTTGCCGATTGTGGCGAGTGTCCGACTTGGACTGGCAAGCGGCATTAATTGGTCTAGAGCCCAGGCCTCGGGGGTATGCCGCGCTCACCAACTTCTACCCCTTCCATTCGTGCTTCTGATTGTAACATTGCTATGGTTCAAACATTCTATATTGATGTGATGGTCAGCATCAGTTATGAACGTTCAAGTTGTCGAGCGCGCTATGCGCGAGAAACACTGCAAAACTTGGGGGATAATATTTCGAAGCATCGTTAGAGCTCGAGTCAAGATGATGAGATATGATGTTGTCTAGGTGCGTAAGATTCTGAAACAGAAAACATGGATGACTACTAAGTATACAGTGTACAGTAGTGAAAGCAAGATCATGGATACAGTAGCGCTGTATGAAACCAAAGAGAAATTTCTGAGCCTCGGTGATGTTATATCACCGAATGTCTTACGGACGAAAAAGTTACATTGCTAGCTGTGGTTCGGCTGTATACCCTCCAAAGCCTGTGTGGATGCCTGGTATTCCGTGATTGTAAACTTCTGCGACGCCGTTCAAGTGTGGTCCTTCTGGCCAGGAGAACCTTTGAAATCGATCAGTCACGCCGCAGAGAAGAACAAACACAGAACATACCCTGGCATCATCATGTTACTCCACCAGGCATCATTGAGTGCATGCATAGCTGCCAATGTCCCGCTCTCTGAAAGCACATCTGCCATCCCAACATCCATATCACTATCTACAGCTCCATGGTTCGACTGGGTGCGAGTGTGGGCGGCCTCAGAATATATCGCGGGAGTCGCAGAAGGAGGTGTGGATGCCTGAGATGAAGAACTCGAAGTGCCTTGGTTGAGAGTCATCTGCATGGAATCATGGTCGCGTCCTTGCTGCGACATGCCTTGCGCTGGCCCACCAGAGTATCTTGCTCCTGAAGATGACAACGAAGATTGCGAGGCGAAGTTACGAGGTTCAGGTTGATGAGAAACTTGACTTTGAGGTGGAACGTGTTGAAGACGCCCACCAACAGCGCCTCCACCTTTCCTATGTCTCGTAAGAAGGCTGGCGAGGAATCGAGCATATAGGCGTGGTGTGTGACGTTCGTCAATGGCAACATCTTGAAGCGTCGTGATCAGGCGGCCAATGAGTTCGAAGATCTCATCCTCCATCTGACGGGTCAACAGTTGAGCAAACTCAGGACGCAGAAGCTAAATCATGAGGTAAGAACGGCGCCACATTGGATATGTAAGTTTTCACCTTGAGCATGAATGCAGAGGCGAAAGACGCAAAGACAAAATGGCCTTGGAATATCATGAGACCAAGAGCGTCACCGATTAGAACAATATCTTACCATCAGGGGCAGCGCGCATAAGACCGCTAGGTGCCAGCACCTCGATCATTTGCTTAATGACGACCTTTGCGGAGTCGAAACACTGCATGAAGTTCGGTAAGATGACTTGAGATATGGGCCATAACAGTACTGACCTTATCAAGAAAGACGTTGTCACTCGCCTCCATGCCGCGTTGGAAGGCGTGTTGAAATCCGAAAGAGTACATGACAAGACGTGAATAGCTGACCAAGCTAGAGGCACATCAGCTTGTCTCGCAGCAGATTGAAACACACAGAACTTACAAGGGTAGCAGAGTGCAGCGGAATACGCTTCCAGGATCTAAGGCACAGGGATGAGCACGCGTTTGACTATATTCTGGAATGAAATCGTACCTCCAGGGTCAGATTCCTCATTAAAGCGTCTAGTCCATTCCTCAAAATAGTTTGTAAGATGACGATCGTGTTCTAACGTAACCTGAAGGAAGTTTATACCCTGCAAGGCCGGTTTAGTCACGAAGTAGACGTCAACGAAGGGCGCAAACCTTGTTTAAACCGGTTGGCGAGTTGGGGTCTGAGAAAATGTCGTCATGGAACCGGCCCACGATGCGAAGAAGCGTTGAATAAGCGCAGAGGTGGATATCAAACTTCAGTACGACTGATCAGCACCTCGAAACGAGACCATATATTGGAACACACCTTATCTCTGAAACGAGATTGTTTGTACCAGTCCGCGGAATGACGAGTGATATAATCCTCCTTAATCGTCGAAGGCTTGCCAAACTGCGTAGCAGTCGATCTATCGATGTTAAAACATATCATCCACACGCGAGCGCGATTCAACATCTCTCGTTCCTGCCGCTCCGTCTGGGGCTGTGTCGTAGAGACCTGATGCAAATTCAAGTCGGTAGCAATCCTAGAGTGACAACGATAAGCTCTAGAAACGAAAGAAAAGGTGTAATTGCATACCGCGCGGCAAGTCCTGTGTACAACCAGCTTCTGTCTTCCTCCCACTTGCGAGCTGGGACAGCATAAATGCTCATAAGAATGTAAGCTTGGCATAGCTCGACAGATTTCCAGCCATCGATGAGCGCGTTAGCTGCGGAATGCTTTGCAAAGTGCATAGCAACAGGATAGATCTCGGACTTTTCCTTGTAATAACGGGAAGAAATAGCGCAGACTGTGCATCTCAAGTCAGGCATTTATCAAAGTATGTGAAGAGAATGATTACGTACTAACGGTGAACAAGAAGGGACACCTTTGGAAGATGGATTGAGATGTATGTAACGTGGGATCGAGGAGGCCAATGAATGGCTGTAAGTTAGATAAGTCGCAGCATCCTCCTAGCTTTGGAAGCATACACTTACATTGATTTGCTTCCAGAATCTGTGTTGACGGACATGCGTCAGGAGAATGAATGCAAAGAACGAACTGTGTGAACTTACATATCGAAAAGCTTTTCGACGTCAGCGTTATTCACAAGTCCGTGGAGAATTATTTCCGGTGTGTGCTGTTCCACCAAGTTTTTGCGAATATTCAGGTTCGAGGCTGGACCTACTAAGTTATTAGAAACAGCATGTATTGTCGTTCCACGATGGCATCTTACCAGGCAAGAAGTACTCCTTATTAGCCACACCCTACAAGTAATTACCGTCATAAACACGGGACCAGCATCATGAAGACAGTAATTACTTACCACATTGTCGTCGTCGTCTTCAGGTTTCGTGTTAGTTCCACCTGCACCAGTGTTACCACCTTGGCGACCTCTACCTTTACCCTTATCTTTATCCTTGTCTAAAGACAAGTTTGCGAGCAGCCCAATAGGCACAGCAGCATCAGGGAGCGAGTTCCTGACTTTTTCGACGTCCTCCTCTTCGACGGGACCCTCTTGAGCGTCGGGATCGTCCTCCTCAGAATCATCCACAGTAACTGCAGAGGGGTTGCGCAAGTTGCGAAGGAAGTCGGGGTCGGTAGGCGAGGCCATTCCTGGTTGCTTGAGACTAGCCTGCAGACGATCAAGCCAATCAACAACATTCATGTTGTCACTGTCAGATGGTGATGTAGCTGCTTTGTAGGATGCAACCGAAAGTGGCGTCGCAAGGTAAGGGTTGTGCAACTGCTCGACAAAGGTCGTCAGTGAATGAACACATCGAAACACCATGATAAACGACCCACCTGCTTCAACAGAGACTCTATGATCTGATCCTTGTGACGGATCTGAGCCAAGAGGTACTCTCGTTTGCTAACGCGGGGACAATTGTATGAGTATTGTGACATCGTGGATGAAACAGTATCACAAGATGAAGACGACGATGATGAATCAATAGATGAAGATCGCGAACGGGGCATACGAAGAACAGTCAACAGAGAGAAAACAGTGGGAATGACTGATGACCAAAAAGCAACCAGGTTTAAATAGGAAACAGGAGAATGCGATGAAACACAACCCGGATGCAAGACTGGCACGATTTGTGCTTGGTTCGCAGCATGAACGACGAATAGAGAATAGCGGAAACGGAAAGTGTGAAGAAAATGGCGATATGAAATGTCCGAAAATGAAGAAGATTTCTCCAAGTCGGCCCAGATCTCCATGCTGGAGTTCAGGGCTGTCATATCCCATTTGACTTAGCAGGAAGGCCAGCCAATGACAAGACAAGCGTAAAAAATATAGTCGGTACAAAGGCATGCACCGGTTCCAAATAAAGAACGAGAAGTTACGACATAAATAAAGGATGATCGTCGCTTTGGAATCAGATGAACGAGTTAGGGACTTACTTTGGCGCTGTCCTCGGTTTACGACCTTCTACGATGCAAGGGTGTCCTCCGGTTGCACAACGTTTACAAGTACTAGCTCCATCCGGAAAGTCGCATTTCATCTGTAACGTCAACCGGAGACCAGTGCAAACAGATCGAACGAATATGTGCGGATCATTCAATCGAAGTCAGTGGTAATCACATGACATCCATGCCAGGCCAGGGGTACGGTCATTTCGGGAGGTTAAATTCCGACAATCAAAGTGATCAGGACGGGCCGGCAATACGGCGCATAAATGTGCGGGGTACGTTCGCACATTCGAGTAGTGCCGAGTGGAGGATAGGGACCGAGCAGCGAATATAACGTTTGTAATATCAGAAGATGTGGATGGAAGTCCGCAGGTGTGAAGAATTACGAGCCATCGCCGGAGGTTAACATATTTCAGTTGCAACAGCAATAATGATGCCGTGTGAAGGACCCGTAACAGCCCCAGAAAGGAGAAGCGGTGGTCCAAAAGGGGGTCCGAAAGTGAGGGCACGAGTTTTCGTCGAGGCAGATGAGACACCAATGCATGTTCGGAGCAGAGTAGGCCGGAGGCGTCATGAATTCATGACGAAATGCATCGTGTTGTAGATTGCAAAGATCAATTCATGGTATATAGGAGAACGTGAATTTGGTAAGCAATCAATCATAACATCATAATATATGGAATGGAAGTGCAAAAAGATTGATAACGTACCTTCAGACGTTTACAATGTGTACACGCTCCAGTTCTGCAGTGGCATCCGTGAGAGCGCAAAGTCGGATAGATGAGGTAGAAGATACGTAGCAGTAGTTAGCGGAGAAAGTATCGCCGAACCGAAAAGATGAAACATGTGGGGCAAGGCACAAGCGCCGGACGGGAAGCAAGTCGATTAGGCAAGCAAAACCATCATCATTGTCGATGCGTGTATTTTCACGAGGTGATACGTCCAAAGACACCGTACAGGCAGGCGACGAAGGCGTGTAGAACGTTCGTATAGCGTGTAGAACGTGGATATAGCCGAGTCGCAGAACGGGGGTTGCCAAACCGGTAGAATGATGAAATTGAGAAGCAGGGCACAGAATTAGAGCAAGTCAAGGCCAGCGGAAGAAGGTGCGGCGACGTCGAGTCGGCGACAGAGTTTAGCGTCGGTAACAGATGTAGCCGGAGCGGAAAGACAGAAAATACAGCCGGAGTCGCGAGTAGTAGGCACAGCAGCGATAGCCGGTTCGGGTTACATGTCAATTGAACAAGGTTGTGTAGAAGTTTCAGCAGTAGGATATCCGCAACGATCGCAGATCAAAGGGCCAAGCCATTGCGCCAAGTGAAATCAGCCGCAACAGAAGGTTGGAATGGAAAGATGAAAGATTTATCAACACAGAACATAGCCATCCGCACCAAGGGTAGGAACACCGATGAAAAAGGCAACAAAGTGAGGAAGAACGAGTAAACATGGAAGTGCACAAGTTAAAGCATATCCGACCAGCGCGCATCGCAGACCGGAATGAAAAAATGATAGTGTCACAATCACAAACCAGCAATTTTTGAGTAAGCAGAAGGAGCAGTTTTAACGCAGTTGACAGGTGTCAATATGCAGGTAGCGCGACGTCAGCGGAAATTGCGTGACAAAGAAAGACAGCACCGCAACCAGAACCACAACATAAGGATGGAGCGCAGCGAGAAAGCAATGTTCCGCCCAGCATACAAGATCATGCGTGCCATCAAGGTCATACACACGTCCAGGTTAGTTCGGTTGTTTTGGCCGCAGTAACACCGTTAAACAGTCACCAGACAGAAACATGGAGTCGAATCCAATGTTAATCGAGTTGGTTGATATCGAGGCCAGCAATTGACATAACCAGAGTATTCGCCAATGAAGCCAGCGTTATCGAGCATGCACGATATCAGGACAGGGCCGTTGCACCAACACAGATGAGTTTAGTGACCACACGAGGTTCAGCAAACCAAGCCATTTGCAGAAACACGATTCCGGAAAGCAAGCGAGGAAACAGAAAAAGAGAAAAACGTAAAAAAAACACAGCCCGATCAGCACACTATTCCCGATTTAACAAGCGTACGAGGTCACTCACTTGCGTTGACCCACCACCCCTGTAGCCGCGCCTTGTGGAGGCACAGATGGTCCAGCCCATTCTACCACATCATCGTCATCACTATCATCATCACTGTCCCCACCCCTACCCTCACCGCCCTGGGATGTCGATGGCCTTGGTCGCTTTGGAGCACGAGCCCTTCGGTTTGTTGCAGGGCGAGGAGCGGGCGGCTTCGGTACGATTGGAGGCCGTGCAGGACCTGCCTGAGGCGCTGCCGCTGCCGCAGTGATAGGCATAATTGGGCGCTGACGGATCTGTACACGTTGCTGCTGCTGTTGCTGTGGCGCTGCGACCATTGGTGGCGACCCAGGGGTGACAGTCGAGATCGACGAAGTTGCAGCATGGCCCATGCCCTGTGAAGTCATGTGCACGTTACCCGAGCCCACAGACGAGGTTGGATGCCCCGAAGACGAATCGTCGAATGAGGATGACGTAGGGTGGCTTGCGTACGAGGCCGGAGAGACAGAGTCGTGTGAGCGCGGGAGTCCAAGTATGGGGCCTGTTTGTGTCGGAGGAGAAAAGATAAATGTCAGTATGATGCAGGCTAGAAGACACGGAACCCCGCAACAGATGGTAGCAAAAAGATAGAAGTACAGAGATGATTTTCGGGTACAATGAATCGACTGTGCCGGAGCGCTAATTTTGACACGAGGTGATCGATGCCGTCAGCGCAGCTACATATAAGATGCGTAGATCATTATAACGAGCACTTCATCCTATGCCGTGCGCAAGTTCCAGCAAACGAGAAGGTGAGGCGAGTGCTAGGCAAGCACTCATTGCATCCCGAAGGGGTTCACGAAGTCCAACAACGTAACATAGTATAACCCTAAGCATTGACCCCGCTTCAAAATAAAGTTGAGAGAACATTCTTCGTTCTTCGATCAGAAACAACCTGGTCCCTCAACGACAATTTGTCAAGAGCTTCCAGAGTCGTCTGAGCCCAATAAGCATGGCACCACGTGTTCGGGTGCAACTGCGCCATGATTGATAATCGAGAGAACGTTATCCATTGGAAAATGAAAACAACAACAGCAAAAGAAAAGAACACAACAAACCAAAACACAACACAACAAACCAAACCAAACCAAAACAGAGGAAAACCACACTCACCACCATCACTAGGAGGCGTGTGCGAGTTTCCAGGTGGCGTATGAGGCCCAAACGTTGCAAAAGGCGAGTGGGGAGACGTCGAATGCGCGTGGGTCGAGTTCTGTCAATCAAGCAGTGATCGCAAGTTGGGTGTGATCGAGGAAGTTGATAAGAATGTTTCATGTTAGATGGTTCCGCGGAAGAGAACAGGGCGGGGTAGCGTGAAATGATTAATCGTCAGCGCAATTCAAGATCAAAGATGAGAATGATGAGGAACGGAGTATAGCGGAAGGAATATGGGCGCAGATTGCACCCCATACTGGCACATCATAAACAGACCAGTGCCACGAAAGAAAAGAAGAAAAACGAGGCACGAAGTATGAGAAAGGGCGCGAAGCATAGTGAAAGAAATAACATCCCTGCGCGGGCGCAAAAATACGAAGCGTTAAAGACACCCACAAGATTGGCAGTACTCTGCGTGTGCGAGTGCTGTTAATCAGTCAGCAATTCAAACGTTGATAGCAAGTCGGGCATGATCGAGGAAGTAAGGATGTCCCGTGCCGCGGAGTAGAACAATGGGAGGATGGCATGAAACGATTGATCGTCAGCGCGAATAAAGACAAAAGAGAGGTGTGAAGTGGATATGGACGCATATATGCATGTCCACGTATGCTGTTGAACTCAGAAACAGAAGAAGGTAACGAGGCACAAGGTATAGTACCCATACATTGGCGCATATGCCTATGCCGTCCAACGGTATCTGAAAAAATGAACCGGCTTGACCGGGTAAAAAATGGAACCGAACAAGACATCATCGAAGAATAAGGAAAGAGACTAACGACAACCAGGCACAAAGTATAGGGGGAGCATCCATACACGGTCGCGCATATGAACGCCATTTTGTCTATACCGACCCCCAAAAAAGAACAAGGCATAGGGGCAGTACCCACTAACACATGTTTGGGTACGCCACCATCCAAAAATCCCAATCCAAAACAGGCAGAAAGAGACTCACAAGGCTAGGCGCACTCTGACTCCCTTGCGTATTGATTGCATAATACATATCGCTCTGAAGGTAATAGGAATCTGATGGGCCCGAATAGTGTTGAGACTGTCGGGGTGGATTTGGAGGAGCGTGAATCTGATGTTGCGATTGGGTATGCGACTGAACATGAGGGTGGGCACGAGATTGCGAAGGGACGTGAGTATGCGATTGCGTTGGAGCGTGAGGGTGCGATTGCGATTGCGATGGGACACGAGGATGGTGGGATTGTGAAAACTGACTCTGCTGCCTAGCCTGACTCTGGGGAAACTGTGGAGTAGGCGGGAACTGAGTTTGTTGGATCTGGAATTGGGACTGGGTAGGAGGGGGCGAGAAATGGGGCTGGGGCTGCTGAGCCGGGTACTGCTGTTCGGCTTGCACTGGAGGGAATTGACTTGCGATTAATTCAGTTGTACGCTGTGCAGCGAGGGCTTGGCCTGTTGGCTGTTGAGAGGGCTGAGGAGGGGAAGGATGGGTTGAGGGAGGATTGGGAGAAACGGAAGGGAGCTGTGAGTATTGACCTGCGTGTTGCTGGAAAGGATGCATCAGAGAGAGGAAGGAGAAAGACAAAAGAAATATGGAATGAAGAAAGTGAAGATAAAGGGGATCAATGAACGAAAAACGTAAGGGAAATTCCAAGAGCACCTCGAGAGTCGCTTCGATCACGTGATAGGGGGATTCAAAGACTCACCTGGCCTTCAGCGCTCCTCTGCCTATAGTATCCAGAAGTCCGGGAACCACCATGTGCCGAGCGCCGTGGGGTGGGTATAAGGCGGCGCTGCTGCTCAGGCTGCTGCTGCTCTCTAACTTGGTTTTGAGCAAATGAATACTGGCTCGTCTCTGCTCCTTCAAAGGCATCATACGGCTGCTGGTATGTCGGGTGTTGTCGGGGAAAGTATTCGGTACCTGGACCTGTGAATTGGGCATTCCAGACGTTCATGGAAGGCTGGTGGGCTGTAAAGCCTGAGGCCTGAGTAGGGTCATAGAAGGAAGAGCTGGTGACGATCATCTGCTGAGATGCTGGAAACCACTGCTGGTCAGCTGTAGTTGGTGGTACGGAAGTGGATTGGTGGAAAGAAGCAGAAGAAGAAGAAAGGGAATGTCCTTGAGCGCGAGGCTGGTTATCTTGTAGTTGTTCGCTCGCTATTCAATATAATAGAAATTGAATAAATGCTAATAGTGGATAGTATAGTGGGACTTACATCCGGAGGTAGGGATTGCGGGTTGAGTTTGATGGACATCAGCTGGCGTCCGGCGGTTAGACATGCCGACTGAATTAATGTCTTGAATTAATAGAGTTAAACGCAATTCGGATTCGTATATCGTGTCTTGGTCGTGAAAGATGCTGATAGCTCTAGTAGGGGTAGTCGGAATCAGACAATTATGTTTGTCTTGGGATTAAGATCCAGAGTAAATCCACGCTTGGTCGTCCTGGAAGATGGTTGAGGTTCCTAAGCTCCCCTAGCGTGCGTTTGTTCTATGCAAAGTTACCGGGTTCTGCGAATCACCGGGTCCAATCACAGAGTTGCGCCGTCGAGATATGATCACTCGTGTATCGTTATAAAGGTAGATCGTTCAGTAAACGAGTTGCAGCACACGCATTGTAACAGTGGCCTGAATGCTTCGAACGAGAACGAGACGATGTCGACAAGGAAATGAAAAGTAAACACATGGCCGCTCCTTATTTAACTTATTCACTCCCGTAAGTACTTGATAATGTACCGCCACCCAATCATAGCTCGTCCACCCTAAATTTTGTTTCCGCGGGTCCGGCCATCGATTCGATGACTAACCGGTCAGCCCTCTTCGAGTGCACATGCTTCAGAATGCGAATCACAGCCCCCGGTCCTCAATTCACTAGAGAATCTGTGCAATAAAACATATTCCTCGTATCCACTCAGACTTCAATTCGCTACGACTCTGATGCTTCTCCCACTAAATTTGATCCGTCTTGTCCAACCTCTCCCGAGATATCAGCATATTCGCTCCAACTCTTTCGTCACACCTTAAATTTTTGCGAATACCGCATGGTCATACTGCTCGTTCCTTACTACCATCTTCCGCGACTTCTTCTTTAGCACCGCTCTCTCTACTATTTCAAGGGAGTCCTTCTCGTGTTCGCCGTCCATCCCCGCCCCTGGTGCGCCCATCTTTTAAATACTTGCATACTTCCCCGTGCGCGCATCATCAATTCATACACTCCTTCTAAAATTTTAACCTTTCCATTCCCGCTTCAAGTCTCCTAGCTCACGTGACAGGTGCCGTGTCGCCACGATACCCCTTCGCGTCACTTCGGCATCCCGCCCCCTCAACATACGCGATGGTCTGCGCCACGCTTCTTCCATGATATCTCAAGCCAACTATAGAACACTTCACACCAGCTGCATCTTCACCGACCCTACACGGGGAGATAAGCACCTCTGTAGGTAACCCTTCATTAACTTTCATTTCCGCGCCCCCACGCACTCCGTGTCGGGCACGTCTTTGGAACATTATGTCCTACATCCTGTCGTACACGGCCTTCCAAGTCGGCAAACCCGTCTTTCCAGTCACTCTACGAACGATCCGTTCACGCGTACGTAGGACCATCGGAAACGATACCTATAATAATTCTTCGCATTCTTCTCTAGACTCTAGCCCATGTTCGTCTTCTAATTCCCTCGCCCGTCACTTCTCATTCATCACCTGACAATGTCGTTCATAATCGCCACTCTAGTCTCTAGTCTAGTCCTCATTCATATCTTCAAGCTGTCGGGTGGCGTAGGCATGACTCATCAGTTTGGAAAGCGCAGGCCCAAAATAGTATCGCTATCCACCTTGAAGTCCCTCACTCCGACACTTCTACTGACAGTTCGATTTCGAACGCACTAATGGATGGAAACCTGGATTAATATTGTAAAGATGGATTATACCCAATCGTGAGTTCTTCTAGTTTACTCCTCCTTCTCGACATCCCCACCCCGCGCATCCCGTCATGATCAGACTCGCAACGCAGATCCCCCAGTTTGTGGCACTCCCGCTTGACGTCTTTCGTGGATTTGCAGCCGCCACCACCATGCCCACTTCTTACGAGAAGATTTACACGGCGCTGCGCCACGGATGCGAATGTGTGTACGTACGTACCGTTCTAGATTCGATCACCCAAATATTCAATGTTAATGTCCATTTCCATCGCTATATAAGGGATAACCGTCTACATGATTCCTGATTTGCGCCACACCGTAGTAGTGCGTATACCGCATATTTTTTTCGGATGAATCCTCGTGTCGATCGTTCATGGCGAGACCATTACTTTAACTTTTTACGATTAGATCTCCCCCGTTTTTTCACGTGATAATCGAAGGTCTGGGGGTTAGAAGGCGCCCTCACGTATATGGTGCGGCAAGATGTGTTTGGGATAATAGAATATCCGCGGCTAGGACTTCGAAGTGCGGAAACTAAAGTCCAGTTCTAGAACAGTACAACACCAGTCGAAGGCCATACTTATTCTTGTCGGACTTGGAGCTCGCCAAGCTAGGACTAGTCGCTCGAACTTAGTATGTAGATCCCCCGCGCCGTGTTACATCAGATTCTGGATTCTCCCGCGGCTTAGTGCTTGAATTCCGAGGTGCAGAAGGTAAGTACACTACCCTGCTACGACTAGTCGACCCAGACTTATCGCTTACAATAATAGCTCGGTTTTCACTGCTGATGTCCTCCCTGCCAGTATCCTCCCTGATTCAATATATGATCTCAGCTCCAACGGGATATTCAATGTCTGGATGCAGGATGACTCGTCCGATGTGTTTATTAGGACATATAAATGTCCCTCTTATCAGATTCCTTTCCTTTCATCAAGCCGTCCTTTCGACGACTTTCGAATTTCTCGTGTGGCGTGGTACGTTGTTCGAGACGAAACATACCAGGCTTCGCGGCAACTTCCGAGACTCTTGTTGTCGTTTTCCTTCTTCATTCAAATGTTCGGCCCGACCGTGGAGTCTATTGTGATCGTATTGTTCCTGGCTTGTCTAACGGACTAGTGCACGTTCGATGTGAAATGGAACCCGATAGTTTCAATCACCGAGTCTGCTGCCTCGAACACGGATTCAAGGAACGATCGTCAAGATGTCTCTTCTCAGATACTCCTAGTTCATCGGTCATGGGAGCGGGCACCGCTGTCGGTTGACATAGGCAGTTCAAGGTGGTGCGTTCGTATTTTGGTCGTATCTTCAAACTTAATCCACGCAAGGAATCGGCGGACCACGGCTAGGATACATATTCTAACTTGATTATATTTTTGAAAGTAACCCTCGTTCCGCTGGATCAAACGGTGATTCAGCTAAGTTCCGGTTAGACTTATAATACACATTCTGACTTGATCGTATTTTTTAAAGTAACCTCATTTAGTGTTTTTCTGGATCAAACGGCGATTCAGCTGAGTTCCGGCTAGACTTATATATGATGCACATTCTAACTTGATTATATTTTTAGAAAGATCTTATCTTGCTGGATCAAACGATGATTCTAAGTCTCAGCTTCGGACCAGCATCGACGCTCAACCACTGATAGCAATCAAGGTCATTTTTCATGATCTAATACCATGCAGGTATCGCTTATACCGACTACCCCTTGAAATATGCTGTTCACAACGCATGACTCACATTCAGGGCAATTAAATCCATTGACAGAAATAACTATTGAGTCGCTGCCTTCCACGTCATGAGGTCGGTTCACGTCGAAAGATTATGGAACTAAGCACTTAAGTCGGGTATTTTTTTCTTCGTGCCTTCTTTTCCTGTTCGGCACGGCTGTGACTCGGACTGTCACGGGCCCCGCTCAGCACTAGTGTTGTTCGCATCCTAGGTTTTCTTTTATATACGCGAGCGGGCCGTCTATCTCATGTGGGTGTTCATATTCGTTGCTCTGAATCTCCGCACGTTGACCTTGTATAGAATGCAGATCTGAGTGGGTGGAGATTGAGAATAGTCGAAGTGGCGATAAGATTATCAGTCGAGAGGAAGACGCTTTGAAGTCAATCTCTGGAGAGAAGCTGGGTGAAGGTGACTTAGTCAAGTACTAAGTGTCGGCTGATCTCATATAGATATCGGGCAGCCGCACGAGTCACGACCCCGTCAGGAACGCAGTCGCATACTTCGGTCCACCATTCCACAACGACCGGGAGGGATAACTATAACTGAAGGAGACGCAGATAGAAGGAATACCATGTCACCGGGATGAAAGTGGTATATAATAGGCTACCTTACGGGTACACTCAGCTAAGCTACTTTCATTATTTTGAATTCAGAGTCGATGATAGATATACTACAATAAGACTGGTAATAAGCGGGGCCCGTGAATGACTCTGAATGATACGCCATGTCGGCGAGGGGGTCTACTTCTAAACAGTACAGTACTCATTTTGAGCATCGATGGCCCAACAAGACGGCTTGACGAACGCTAAGCTCGATGATCAAACGCGGTCACGTGCTTCGCGTCCTGCTGGTTCGTCTGGACTCTGATAGACTAATACATGATAGTGCGTCAATTGCAATCATTTAAATTTTGCTATCTTCATCGATTCGGATGACAGCTACCCGGCTGATCATCTCGCTCTCTCTCTTTTTAGCCTCTCCTTCGGCACATCATGGAAGGCATAAACATTAGTTGGTGCTGCGAGAAGCAGTGCGTGGTTGCTGCCAGTGTGCGTCGATTTCTCATCAGTTTGAACACTTTGGTTGACGCTTCATTCAAGACATGTCTCAGAGCACACTTGTGAGAGTCTATTAAATGTGTCGGAAGTCGTTGGTGCAAGAGCTATCTCGGGCCCAGACTAGAAAGGTGTACCCTTTTGTGCAAGTTGAATCATCGATGTTCCTGTACTTTCTGATGGTAACCCGATACAGGCGATGCACGATACACACAACCGTTGATCACACATTTATTTGACACCATAGGCGCTCTAAGTATGTGTATGTGCAATGAGCGCCTGCTCTTTCGGCTCGATCCTTACCGGTCCTTGAACTTTCTAGGCTACTACCATCTGATCGCTTTGGCCTAGTAACACTGATCTACTTTGTCTCGACTGATCTAACCCACAACCACTCTGCCAACGATCATATGGAGCCATCCCTATCCCCAATCAGATCGCTCAGAGGGCACACTGATTGGGCAGAAGAAGCGTTGTTCTCAAAAAACAGGAATAAACTCAAAGTTATAAGTACATCCCGCGATAAGACTGTTCGAATTTGGGACGTGGAAACAGGAGAACAGGAACACTCGTTTGAAGGACACGCTAGTGAAACTTGTGGAGTGGCTGTATCAATGGATGGAAGCAGAATTGTGAGTGGGGCACAAGATGGCAAGATCATCATATGGGACGCAAATACGAAGGAGATCATCAGATGTCTGTCCCATCACGCAGACGATGTCAATTGCATACAATTCTCACCTGATGAGAAAAGACTCGCCTCCACATCGTCCAACGGCACTCTAAAGATCTAGGATGCAGAGACATGGGAACTTGTGTTCGACATCGATGATCATCAAGGCATTGTAGTGACAGTGGCCTATTCTCCCAATGGAACCAAGATTGCGAGTGGGTCATATGATCAGACAGTTCGCATCTGGAACGCAACGACCGGCAAGCAGCAAACACAACCACTTTTTCATGGCGAAGAAGTGAACTCGGTAGTCTGGTCTCCAGACAGCCGTCGTCTCATTTCTGCCTGTGATGATGGCCAGATCTACTTCTGGAGTGCACCGACTGGTGCCCAGCTCGGATCCCCACTGCGTGCACATTCCGACACCATTACCTGTTTGGCCATCTCACCTGATGGTGAATTGATAGCCAGTGCGTCCTATGATCACACTGCGAGGCTATGGAGCACCTCTACCCGAAAGCCTTTTGGTCGTGTGCTCCAGCATGCCTCTAAGGTAGCCACAGTAGCCTTCTCGCCGGATGGCCATCTTGTCGCCACCGCCGGCGATGAGAACATAATATTTTTGTGGGATATATCGCAGGAAGCCACCATCATGATGAATGCTGTGTCGCCTTCATTCGTTTCACCAGCGTCTAACATCATCGACCAGGTAACGAATTTCCGTCTTGTCTATACACCAGTGTATCTGATGCAAGTTTTATTCAAGCCATCAGCAACCTCTGATTCTGATTCTCTTTCAGTCTCCTCTACACCAGCCTCGGACGAGCTACCGGATGGAACCGAATTCGCGACAGAACTTGTAGGCTCGCGTGATGCTGCTAGTTCACCTTCCCCATCTCTGCCCCCTCAAAGTCACTCCAATCATGAAATCACTACTACTCCAGTCCACCCCTCTCTTCCAATCGAGCTTTCCGACGGAATCCAAGTGCCTCCAGAAACCGTCAACTCGCGTGGTGCAGCTGCATCCCCTTCCCCGTCTTTTCCCCCTCAAGGCTCCTCTCGTCCTCACATGCCTCTTGCTTCAGCTTCCACTCCGGTCCTAGCCTCACCTCCAAAGTCGTTTTGGAAGCGCTTTCCTATGTTCAACAGGTCTGCAGCATCTGTAGACTCCAAGCGGTGGAAATTCCCGCGCATTGGTAGCATCATGTACGCAGCTTCCTTATTCTATGAACATGTCCTGAATTTTGACCCTTAGGCGGCGCAAGCATCGGAACTTGGGACCTGACGATGCCAAGAATTAGTGTGCTTCTAGTTCCTGTCGTCATTTGCCCCCCGTTCTATCGTATCGTGCATTCCGTACCCAGTCCAGTTGATATAACATAACTACTGTTGTTGTCCGTGTGTTCACTATTACGGATTAGGCACCACATTTCATCCAAGGCAGGTATTCCTCTGAAGCCAGCGCTGGCTCATCTCACATAAGTATCAGGCACCCGCACGATCCTCGCCAGGAACGCAGTCGCATACTTCGGTCCACCATTCCACAACTACCAGGAGGGATAGCTATAACTGAAGGAGACGCAGATAGAAGGAATGCCATATCATCGGGATGAAAGTGGCATATCATAGGCTACCTTACGGGTACACTCGGGCTAAGCTACTTTCACTATTCAGAGTCGATGATGGATATACATACTACAATAAGACTGGTAATCAAACGGGGCCCGTGAATTACTTGAATGAGACCCCATGCCAGCGAGGGGTCTACTTCTAAACAGTACTGTACTCATTTTGAGCAATGATGGCCCATCTGCATCAAGGCGGCTCTAAGCTCATCAAACGCGGTCGCGTGCATCGCGTCCTGCTCTGACTATTACTCTGGTTCCTGATACTGTGATACATGATAGTGCGTCATCATTTGAATTTTGCTATCGTCATTGACTCGAACGACAGCTACCCGGTTGATCATCCCGCTCTCTCTCTTTATTAGCCTCTCCCTCGGCACATCATGGAAGGCATAAAGATTAGTCGGTGCTGCGAGAAGCAGTGCGTGGTTGCTGCCAGTGTGCGTCGATTTCTCATCTGTTTGAACACTTGTGTTGATGCTTCATTTAAGACATGCCGCAGAGCACACTTGTGAGAGTCTATCAAGTGTGTCGGAAGTCGTTGGTGCAAGAGCTATCCCGGGCCCGGACTAGAAAGGTGTACCCTGTCATGCAAGTTGAATCGTCGATGTTCCTGTACTTTCTGATGGTAGTCCGATACAGGCGATGCACGATACACAGAACCGTTGATCACACGTTTATTTGACACCATAGGCGCTCTAAGTATGTGCAATGAGCGCCTGCTCTTTCGGCTCGATCCTTACCGGTCCTTAAACGTTCTATGTGCTACCATCTGATCGCTTTTGCCTAGTAACGCCGATCTACTTTGGCTGGACTGGTCTAACCTACAACCCACACATCCTCATCCACACTGCCAACGATCACATGGAACCATCCCTATCCCCAATCAGATCGCTCAGAGGCCACACTGGCTGTGTAGAAGAAGTGTTGTTCTCAAAAAACAGGAATAAACTCAAAGTCATAAGCACATCCCTCGACAAGACTGTTCGGATTTGGGACGTGGAAACAGGAGAACAGGAACACTCGTTTGAAGGACACGCTAGTAAAACTTGGGGAGTGGCTGTATCAATGGATGGAAGCAGAATTGTTAGTGGGGCGGAAGATGGCAAGATCATCATATGGGACGCAGATACGAAGGAGATCATCAGATGTCTGTCGCATCACACAGACTGGGTCACTTGCATAGGACTCTCACCTGATGAGAAAAGACTCGCCTCCGCATCATTCGACGGCACACTAAAGATCTGGGATGCAGAGACATGGGAACTTATGTTCGACATCGATGATCATCAGGGAAAAGTATGGACAGTGGCCTATTCTCCCAATGGAACCAAGATTGCGAGTGGGTCTTATGACCAGACGGTTCGCATCTGGAACGCAGTGACTGGCAAGCAGCAAACACAACCGCTTTCCCATGGGGAAGAAGTGAACTCGGTAGTCTGGTCTCCAGACAGCCGTCGTCTCATTTCTGCCTGTGATGATGGCCAGATCTACTTCTGGAGTGCACCGACTGGTGCCCAGCTCGGATCCCCACTGCGTGCACATTCCGGCATCATTAACATGTTGGCCATCTCACCTGATGGTGAATTGTTAGCCAGTGCGTCCATGGATCGCACTGCGAGGCTATGGAGCACCTCTACCCGTAAACCTTTTGGTCGTGTACTCCAGCATGCCAGTGGGGTATATGCAGTAGCCTTCTCGCCGGACAGCAAGCTTGTTGCCACAGGCGGTCGGGAAAACACAATATTTATGTGGGATATATCGCAGGAGTCCACCATCATGACGAATGCCGTGTCGCCTTCATTCGTTTCCCCAGCGTCTCACATCATCGACCAGGTAATGAATTTCTGTCTTGTCCATATACCAGTGTATCTGATGCAAGTTTTATTCAAGCCATCAGCAACCTCTGATTCTGACTCTGATTCTGATTCTGATTCTCTTTCAGTCTCCTCTACACCAGCCTCGGACGAGCTACCGGATGGAACCGAGTTCGCGACAGAACTTGTAGGCTCGCGTGATGTTGCTAGCTCACCTTCCCCATCTCTTCCCCCTCAAAGTCATTCCAATTATGAAATTACTACTCCAGTCCACTCCTCTCTTCCAGTCGAGCTTCCCGACGGAATCCAAGTGCCTCCAGAAACCGTCAACTCGCGTGGTGCAGCTGCATCCCCTTCCCCGTCTTTTCCCCCTCAAGGCTCCTCTCGTCCTCAAATACCTCTTGCCTCAGCTTCTACTCCGGTCCTAGCCTCGCCTCCAAAGTCGTTTTGGAAGCGCTTGCCTATGTTCAACAGGTCTGCAGCGTCTGTAGATTCCAAGCTGTGGAAATTCCCGCGCATTGGTAGCATCATGTACGCAGCTTCCTTGCTCTATGAACATGTCCTGAATTTTGATCCTTAGGCGGCGCAAGCATCGGAACTTGGGACCTGACGATGCCCAGGATTAGTGTGCTTCTAGTTCCTGTCGTCATTGGCCCCCCGTTCTATCGTATCGTGCATCCCGTACCCAGTCCAGTTGATATAACATGACTACTTTACAGTCCGCGTGTTCTCTATCACGGATTAGGCATGATATTTCATCCAAGGCAGTTATTTCTGAACCCAGCACTTTATTCCGAACATCCAGAGTGGCCGCCACATCAATGTAGTAGCACGCCCGTGATAGAACAATCACCACCGCATGTGCACAGCCTGAAATCCTGTCGACCACGAACATGTAATCAATTATTCGATTAGCATAGGCCTAACCTACAGTGTTGCCTTGCACTGACGACTAATATCAAAAAATCGCTGGCGATAAGTAACGAATTGAGTATAGTGTGTCCATCCCATACTGGGCTGTCGGTACGGACTCACCATTAACTCTCCAGTATCGCCATAAATATTCGCCACAATACTCTTCTGGACTTCATTCGGTAGCTGAAACACATCCAAACGTTAAGATTACAAATAAGAATCAGTCGCAGTACGACAGCTTTTGGTGTAGTATCTTGAATGTTGAAAAGCTAGACGTTGATGAAAGCGCAACATCCTCGACTAGAACGGTTCTGCTTGGTCGTTTTAGGTCTTTTACGAGCGTTTAGCCTAGTCGGCGATGATCAATCATGATACGCACAATGCTGAAAACGACATCACATAGACTGCTCAGAGTATCAGCTAGGAGTCAAGGATGGCAAATAGATCAACAGACGTGCGCTCTGGACTTGGACAAAAATAATGAACGCTAGATTATTTGGTGACTGAGACACTCATTGGAGTTAGCTTTGGAGGTGGACTATCTTCGACGTCTGCTTAGCATGGTGACCACCAGAATGGCGCAACATCTACAGACAATAAGTCTCCGAGTCATGCAAGGTAGCTAGTTAGATGTAGGCTTATAACGTGACGGCACCAGCGTTGATGCTATCCAGTCGGTTGAGGACGCTGTCGATTTTAGGGGAAACGAGGTGAACGTTAACTTTCACGTATAGTCGGGCTAACCGATGTCCTACCTGTTCACGTCAGTGAGACGTTTTCAGAGATATACCACTGAAAGCACCCATTCAACCACCATGGTTTGCTGGTGATAGTGGGACCAAAAGACCTTCGGGTATTTGTTGAGGTACGTAAGTGTTGTCTGAAGATCTTCTACATGAGATATTAGAAACTGTTGCAACTATAGTCAGTAGTTAGATCATCAAATGCAGGTACTACGACGTACCCATAGAGCAGTTTCGCAAGTCCAAATACTGCAAAAACAACTAAAGTGAAGCTCGACGTCATAATTGAATGTTGATGGTTTTACCACACTGAATGATCTCTCAATGTCAAAGATATTTGCAAGAATATTAATAGCAATCCGGCTCACTGCCCCACGCAACTGAGGGAAGAGGCAATGCATGTATCGGGATACAAAACGTACAAATTCACAACATAAGCTATAATAAACTGTTTATCATGTCACTACGACAAACGTCAGGCAAATGAAAAGCGACATGCGCCAATAACATATCAAGTCTAGCAGAATGAGGCGAGATCAGCAGTCATTTGAATGTTTATACTGGGGGCTTACGCGTGAATGAACAAGAATAGATACCGGAAAAAGTGACGCGCCACTGTGTACGCCAAGTTTGTCGCATCTCGAACTCCAAGGTAAATGGAGCCTAGCCTGTGGTGGATCGTGTCAAATGTGATATTCTTTTGCGTTCAACAGAATAACACGTCTAAAATGATCCATCTATCTTTGGCTCAACCTGTCTAAACCATCCAGTTAGCTAGCATCGATGAGGAAAGGGTTACACCCATTTATGCGCGGTAGCTGGGCAGGTACTTATATATGCAATTATATTCAAACTCCGCTGGACCCGAACCCGACTTTGCCTCGGCTCGCAAATTATTAAACTCCTGATCGACCCTTCAAATTGGATGCTTTCTTAGACCAACTCTCAACGACTGAAAGACCTAATCACAGAGTCTTTGCTCACCTTCGTAGATTCCGGTTGGAGGCTCTGGATCCGGTGGAAGAGTTTATGGTGATTTTTTTTTTCGGATAACCTTCGAAATTCTTGTTATACCGTCAACTGCGGGATGATTTCTTACAACCGTTCGTATGATTTCTTTTTCTCACTCCGTTCCTTGATACATTCCCAGGGATATATTACATTCGTTGATTGCTCGCTGGGGATGGGACGTGGTGACACGATTCACACTTTCCCCAGATACCCTTCTGCTCCTTGGTAAATACGACCTTTGCTTGCATTAAACTCGTTCGATGTTGAAGCTCCTCGGGTCAACCACTCTAGTAGTCTGGTCACGTACCGTTTTTTATATTTGGGGTACTCGGGGAGATTGCCGTGAACACGTGTACTGTCACGTGCACTTCGTAGCTTTAACGTGTTTAATGAATTAGAGAGAACTTTATCTTTATCAGTGTGAAAGTCAGCTGTCTTGGGAGAACAATGGTCTTCTCCTCACACATCCCGTTATATGACTCACCTGCCTCAAACTCATGGCCATGGATGTCGGCGAACGGACAACGTGGTTCGTCTTATTGTCCGCCTAATATAAGCAAGCGCTCGTGTCGGATCATTACGTCGTATCCCGTGCCCGTCGCGCCTGAAAAATTAACGTCCCCCTGGATTTCATCCTTCAGGCTAGTGCTCCACCCTGTCATTCAACAAGGACCCACAGCGCGAACACGACTCCATGTGCGACTCCTCATTATCACAAACCAGACCCTGTTCACGCACAGTAAGCGTTCAGCTCCCTGACATCCTCTCTTCATGCACGCCCTTTGAGCTACGCGTAAATCGGCATTGTAGGTCCGTATCTCGAGCGAGCGAGGCGTGGCTGTGTGATGTAGGGTTGAAGTTGGAGTGGAAAGGGATAAAGGTTGGCTTATGGGCTTCTTTGTGTTATCCTGGTGCGGATCTATCGCAGTTGAGGTTGGGGGCGGATTTTTTGAGTTTGTTGGTGTATGAGCATGAGCAGGATGGTTGTACAAACGAGAATGAGGTGTTTGATCTGTGAGTTCCCATGATGGTCCATTGAATGTTTTTGATTTCGCTGACAACGCGTACAAAGGATATCCGATCGACTCAGTCGCGTCGCGTACAAAAACCCAGCGTGGTACATGCGTTTCCACCGATCCATGCGCATGTATCACGATGCAAGGCGGCGTCTTCATTCGCTGGATTCGACGTGTATCCCGGATCTGGAGACATATGTCGATCTGCGAAGAAACGCGTCAGGTTTGAAAATGGTGTTTCACCTGATTGAGTACGCGGGGGGATTGGACCTCCCAGAACGGGCGTGTTCGCATCCGGTATTAAAGCAGTTGACAGACCAGGCTTGTGATCTTATAGCATGGTCTGAGGTGCGTCGTTGCGCAAAACAATATATCTATATTCTTAGTATTGACTTTTGTTTCAGGACGCGATCTCATGCGCAAAAGGCATGACTCCAAGCTCACGAATCAATATCGTCACCGTTCTGATGAAAGACCGGAATTGTTCGTTCGGGAGTGCGCTTGCGTACGTGGGCACGCTCGTGAAGCAGAGCGCAGATGGGTTCTTGGCTACTGAGCGCGAGTTCGCTGCGTGTGCTGTGATGGACGACGATACGAGGCGGTATGTGAGGGGATTGCGGGATTGTATTGCTGGGAGTGTGAATTGGCTGTATGAGACGGAGAGGTACTTGGGGACGAAGGGGAATGAGGTTAGGGCGTTTGGATGGGTGTTTGTACCTGTCTTAGATTGATGTTCATGTATGTTATGTGTGCGTGCTAGATGTATTCGATTTCTCAATGAATGGGAGGAATGTTTGGGGTGTGATTTTGATTGTAGATGTCATGCATCGTTCCGTCAGTCCATCGTTTTACATAATTAGTGGCCGTGCTGTGGTGTTGCTACTTTGTCCATCGTCGACTCAGCGTAGGATCTGCGCTAGGGCAGCCACAGCGTTCGAGTTTACATTGCCTGCTACATACTTCTTCTCTTCTGTCTTCGTATTGAGGGAATTTTTTATGGACATCTGACTGCGAACGCATGGCCAACAGCAGCTAATGACACACTTGTTGCAGCCGGACTGCATAAGTAGGGGAGAAACAACGTGATAGAACGAGGGGAAAAGGCGATAGCTACTAAATAGTAAGAGTCTACTAGGATAATATCAGATAAGACATGAAGAGCGGACACACGGGCCTATTGATGCTAGGCATCATTAGGACCTGCTTGGGGTTCCACACTTCGATGCTTCCGTTGCCTAGGGATCAAATTCAGGACATGATCATGGAGTAAGGAAGCTGCGTACATGATGTTACTAATGCGCGGGAATTTCCACCACTTGGAGTCTAGTACAGATGCTGCAGACCTGTTGAACATAGGAAAGCGCTTCCAAAACGACTTTGGAGGTGAGGCGAGGACCGGAGTAGAAGCTGAAGTAAGCGGTACTTGAGGATGGGAGAAGCTTCGATGGGGCAAGGATGGGGAAGGGGATGCAGCTGTTTCACGCAAGTTGATGGTTTCTGGAGGTACTTGTATTCTGTTGGAAAGTTCGACTGGAGGGGAGGTGCGGACTTGAGAGGGGATTTCATGATGAAAGTGACTTTGAGGGGGTAGAGATGGGGAAGGTGAGTTAGCAGCATCACGCGAGCCTACAATTTCTGACGGCAACTCGGTTCCATCCGGTAGGTCATCCGATGCTGATGTAGAGGAGACGGAAAGAGAATAAGAGCTTGCTGATGGCTTGAATAAAACTTGCATCAGAATATACTGGTGTATAGACAAGACACAAATCCATTACCTGGTCGATGTAGCTAGTGATGTTAGACGCTGGGGAAACGAATGGAGGCGACACGGTATTCGTCATAACGATGAACTCCTGCGATATATCCCACAAAAATATTATGTTCTCATCGCTGCCGGTGGCGATAAACTGGCCATCTGGTGAGAAGGCTACTGTGTATACCTCATCGTCATGCTGGAGTACACGACCAAAAGGTTTGCGGGTAGAGGTGCTCCACAGCCTCGCAGTGTGATCACTGGACGCACTGGCTATCAATTCACCATCAGGTGAGATGGCCAACGAGTTAATGAAGTCGAAATGTGCACGCAGTGGGGATCCGAGCTGGGCACTAGTCGGCGCACTCCAGAAGTAGATCTGGCCATCATTACAGGCAGAAATGAGACGACGACTGTCTGGAGACCAGACAATTGAGCGCACTATTGCGCCATGGGAAAGTGGTTGTGTTTGCTGCTTGCCGGTCGCTGCGTTCCAAATGCGAATAGTCTGATCGCTTGACCCACTTGCAATCTTGGTTCGGTTGGGAGAATAGGCTATTGTCCGTACATCATCTTGGTGATCATCGATGTTGAACACGAGTTCCCATGTCCCCGTATCCCAGATCTTTAGTGTTCCGTCCTCTGATGCAGAGGCGAGTCTTTTCTCATCAGGTGAGAACCGTATGCAAATGACACTGTCTGTGTGATGCGACAGGCATCGGATGATCTCCTTCGTATCTGCGTCCCATATGATGATCTTGCCATCTCGTGCCCCACTTGCAATTCTCCCCCCATCCATTGATACAGTCAGTCCAATAGTCCCACTCGCGTGCCCCTCCAATGAGTTTTCCTGTTTTCCTGTTTCCACATCCCAAATTCGAACAGTCTTGTCGCTGGATGTGCTTATAACTTTGAGTTTATTGCTATTTTTCGAAAACACCACTTCTTGAACGGAATGGATGTGGCCTCTGAACGATCTGATCGGAGAAAGGGATGGCTCCATGTTGTCGTTGGCAGAGTGGATGAGGATCTGGGAGCTCTGGACCAATCGAGCGAAGGTAGATCAGCGTTAGACAAAAGCAGTCAGTACATACAAAAGCTTAGGGACCGATTAGGATCACACCCGAAGAGCCGAAAGAGTAGTTGCATACTGGAAGAACTTAGGGTGTGCAACAACTAGGTGATTGTGTGTACATGCAAGACTCCCATATGTCCCCTGTGTCGGACTACCACAGTATATACGAATGTCGACTGAGCTGGACAAAATGGTACTCCTTTCCGGACCCATAGTATAGAATGTACTCAGACGGACACAAGAACCTCTGCGACATGTCCCAGACTAAGCGTGAGCCACAAACGGATAAGAGATCGAGACACAGTAGCCTACGTACTGGTTCTAGTAGCACCAACACCTTTCAAGCTTCATGCACATCTGGAGCCAGCATCTCTGACCTTGCTCATGGAACGCGTTTTCCGATGCCCGCCCGTACCGAGTGGTAGGACATCTCCTCATAATCGCCCCTCATGTCACTCGTACTGACAGGGGAGTCGTGCTAAGGGATTTGGGTAGGCTTGAGCTGCGAGCGGTTGGACAAGTGGATGATCTCTCAGTGGAGTTTGGCCTTCAGGTTCTCCGGGTGAGGGAATTCGAGCTTCGAGTTTCGAGTTGATGAATTTAGTGTTCTGCACGAGTGCAATAGTGACGAGAAAGTCATTTGCGCTACGCAAGTGAGAGGACTGAGACTCGAAGGTCCTGACCGTGACTCTGGGAGCGCGGATGTACATATAACGTTCAAATCCATGGCTGATCGTACGTGTTCTGTTTACAACGCTGAGGCACAGCCCATGCAAACCAGCCTCGGAAATCTAACCTTTCGACGTCCGTTTAGGTTGCACTTGAAAGCTTGAAGCCTGGGGCTTTCCTTCGCGCGGAGTTTGAAATGGTAAGCGTCTGGTTTGCAATAGATGATCGCCGTACTGATCGCCGGTCCAAACCCCGTCCTCAAACGCCGGTTATAATCCGGTAAACGAGACGTCTCTGTTTACAACGCTGAGCTTCGCTTCTTAGTTCAACGTTAATCAGTTTGGAGGGCAAGTTGTGGGTTCAAGTGACCAAGAGGTGTGCGTTCGCAAAATCCCGAACACAGAGCTCAACTTTACCTAAGCTAAAAAACCTTAATGTATAGCCACTCTAAGTTACTGGCGATGCGCTTTGAGTTTCTCGCCAGCGGCCTCAAAAGTTCATAAAATCGTTTGTCAAGTACTGAACAGGGGGTGTTTTTACTAGTGTATAACAGCTCTGGATAGTTATTTCAATGGTACACACCCATCCAAAGATACTACCCACTAAACGAGAGATCTTGGATGTGATTTTTGGAAGCACGTGAGCAAAGTCATACACGTCGATATCAATATGACGCGTCAATATCAATTCGACGTGTCTCCTCAATGACGCGCATCTCTCTTTCCTTACACCTCATTCATTATGTATTCTACGACTCATCAATCTACATGTTACGACTCATGGTTTGCTTCTAGTAATAACGACGACAACACTGCATATATCACGGACTTCGAAGATGATTCCTTTCAAACCATGCAACCCGGATCAAATCACCATTCACATTATTCTAATACATCATCTGGACATTCGCAGACACCGACTATAGATTTTCAAGTACCATCACACACGGACAATCATTTGCATAGCTCATCTTGTACTATACCTCACTTATCCAATTCTCGCGCATCCAAACGCTCTGCCCCATCTACCATGGCACCCCGGGCTTCCAAAAAGACTCGAACCAATCTCGCGAATGTTCATGCCGCTGTTTCGTTGTGCACTTGACCTCAGGACGTAGATTTTGCTTGTCATTGCCTGTCTTTATGCTTGTTACTTGTACTGTCCTATGCGCTGCTACGCTTTGTTACTGCTTACACGTTCATGCACGCACGCTACGTGTTGTATTCTATGCTCGGTGCACTTTGGCACCGCTGGACGACTACTTAATATGGATAAATTAAGTGATCGGTCACGCTGTCACGGTAGGCGTAGGCGTCTTCGAAGTTTCTGAGGTTAGTGTCTTGAACTTCTCGATTGCACACCTCTTGCAAGTGACTAGTAGTAAGTGTATTTGATGCGCACTCACAAAGAACCGCAGCAGTGGTCGCAGCAGTTGCCGCAGCAGTCGCAGCAGTGGCGCAGCATTTTCACTATGCCACTCTCAGGATTCATTCATTCACGAAAACAATTTTGGAACAGATAGTGACTCAGGCTGTTCATGAAGTTTTTTGCGCCTTTTGTATCTCAAATCCACGCTTAGGGATATCCTCCACAATGAAACCAACTCGTTGATATCGTTCTTGATATATGATAATTTGTGAGTGGCCTTTATTCAAATACATGATCTTGATCAGATTTCTAATGAGATTTCAAATATGGGTACTAGCATCATGATGATCATGGCGCATTGAAGATGCTGTGACCGCACAGAACATCAGTGTCTTTCTACTGGTCCTTCGATGCGGTGTTTTCCTACCGACATCACGCCATACCAGTATCACTAACTACGATCTATATTTCTTCACCGAAATAGCCAGACAGTTTCTCACGCACACAGTAGATAATGAATGAAACGGTCGTTTCTTTGTTCCTTCAGATTCCTGCCCTGCCCTCCCTGCTAATATGCCATCAGTTGTGATGTCAATCATGCAAGGACCGCTTTGTGGTGCCTTAGCTAACATGCTACTGTATGGGGTCATCTGCATGCAGACCTTTCGTTACTGGCAGGCATACGAGCATGACAGGAACATTCTGAAGTGTCTGGTAAATCTATCAGACGAATATATATCACAGTTTATCTGACATAGTCATAGGTAGCGTTCATCTTGTATGCTAAGCATCGTTCTGTTGGCGTGTCATCACAAGCTACTATGATACATTTGACTTTTCAGGATTCTCGAGACTGCTCATACAGCATTGACAATATATACCGTTGAGTTTTATCTCATCATGCATTTTGGAGATACAACAAGCTTGGAATATGCAATGTGGTGCGTCAATTTCTTTATACTTCTATTCCGGTTCATTCAGTCTTATCACAGGGGAATGCCCGTAAGTAGCTAATGCAGACAAACAATTTACTGCTGATCTCGCCACATTCCACCAGACTTCAGTTATTATCGGTGTACGTCACTTTGAGTTTGCCTGACGTTTGTCGTAGTGACACGATCGTAGTTTATTATTGCCTATGCTGTGAATCTGTAAGTCTTTTCAAGTGTTATAAATGTTTTAAGTTCGCGCTGATGTGTAATACCAGTTGCTTCATCTGGCGAGTACTGCAGCGTGAGTATATCGATACACGCAGTTGCCTCCTTCCTCATTTACATGTGCAGTTTCGCAAAAACGCTGGATTGCTGTTTGCTTTGTAAGATACATATCTATGAGATCGAAATTTTCTGCTCATGCCCTTGTCATAGTTCATTTTTGCAACCATTCGCTGCGGTAAAACCTTCAATTATATGATCGAGCTGCCGTTGATCTTTTTGGGCAGGATTTGGACTTGCAAACTGCTCCTTGACGCACGTGCCACCTGCGTTGGATGATCTACCTGCTGACTGTAGTTTGAACAGTTTCTTTTATCCCGAGTAGCAGATCTTCGAAGAACGCGTCTATGTATGTACCTCAACGATTGTCTGCAGGTCTGTCGGTCTCAATATGTCGCTAGCCAACTATGGTGGTTGGATGGGTGCTTTCAGCAGGGGTCGACAGTGCGATTGCGTTTACACTATGCCTTTACCTTCGAAAACGTCGCACTGGCATGAAAAGGCACGATATCAGTTAGCCCAATTCTACGTCAAATTTACCTTGTTGCCTTTAGAACTGACAACGTCCTCAACTGCCTCCTATTGTATACCATCAACACTGGTGCTATCACATCGTAAGCCCACAGCCAATTTTAATAGTCAACCTCCAGTGATTTCGGGACTTATTTTCGATAGGTTTTGTGCAGTTCTGGTAGTCATCATGGTAAGTAGACACCGAAGCTCATCTCACAAACTAACTTCAATCAGTTTCTCGGTCTACCAAACAATCTCGCGTTCGTTGGGTTTGTCCAAGTCCAGAGCGAACGTCTGTCCGATTCAGTTGCCACCCTTAATTCCTAGCTGACACTCTACAAAGTCTATGTGATATCACTTTTGGCATCGTGCGTTGTCGTAATTCAAGTAATATCTTCTATCTGAAAACGTCCACCAGGTTAAACAACCGAAAAAGACTCGAAGTGACCGATCAGATTTTTCGCTCTGTGGAAGGCGTTGCGAGTTCCCATATGCCTCGCTTTTCGGCATTCAAACCATCACAGCGGATGCCGTCTCATCTGGTTCGTACTTTTCAACCTTGCTCTTTTTCGTGATAGTCTGGGGCTTAGCTCATGTGTTAGCAACCGATCGAAGTGCGGACGAGCGTTGTGATGGATATTTATGGCGACAGTCTGGATACTGGATTGGACAGCACGTTTCAGGACTGACTGTTGAGGCTGTGCTGACAGGATATAATTTAGTGTACTTCGTTCACTGTTTACCACCAGCGATCTGTTATGTTATTCAATGATGATCTTCGCGTACAGGGTGATGCGTTGCAACTCTTGTCACTTGTGGGTCCGAGCTGTCATGAGGAAAGATCACGATATGCACCGGGTTAAATCCGATATACTTGATTTCCTGGTACAATATTCAACACTTCGACTGCGCATAGAATTGTGCTTGTATGCTTGACTACAAGCTGCATATGAAATTCACGAACCTTGCCTGAGGAGGAATTCAGTGAGTGGAATCAGTGGATAAGATGTGCGTGTACCTTTATATCACTCTAGTGTAAGGTAAGAAAAATATTGCTACTAGGTAGTTGATGGTGAGTCTACAAGCCTTTGGTCAGAAGTTACGCTTAGGGTAAAGGATTCGAGGTCACGGTGGCATGTTGATTTCGAGCGAACGGTACGGTCGGTACCACGGTGTTGCGGCATTTACCGGCATTAGTGTCTTGTTCTCCTGTGAATGTCAGAGATCTGGCCAGTCTGGGGCCAAAGTCTGGGGCGGAGTCTGGGGCCAGAGTCTGGGGCGTTCGGCAAACACGGCTGACCCGGGCTGAGTTTGAATTGTTTTTGTCACGTGTTTGCTTTGTGACAATTCCAAAGCCACCCGCCATCATCGTGCCTCCTGCCAGTACTAGTGTGCCCATCGTAGATGGCTAGCGGCTGCCGACACACCCGCCAATCTACTCACCACATGCAGTTAGCATGCTATGTTTGTGCTTCTCCGCACCAAAACCAGTCAAAATTATGATCGTCAATCCACTGTCCCAACACTTGTGCTTCCTCAACGTGTCTTGATTCTGCTACCAGTGTCTGCCGCACCTTCGTTGCTGTGTTTTCTGCTTCCCATTTTCGATCTCCTCCACTGTCTACTCTCAACATGTTTTCGATCTGCTCTGCTGTCTACATCCTTTCTGCTCGGCTCTCGATGTTTGCGATCCGCTCTCAGGCTGTTGTCTATTTCGTTTATGCTCGGCTCTCAACGTACTTTCGAGGTATACTCCACCTGTTTCGCATCGGTTTCACTATTTTCCAGCTGCTTTCGTATACCGATTGTATTCCGCATAATACCTACCAAGCAATCAAAGCATATTTGACACTATTTAAGCACATTCTGGGAGGACAGCGCGAGTGTGCGTGAATGCGCCTAAATGTGCGCAATATAAAAGAAGCACAATAGAGCACATGGGGCACTGCCCCGTCTTATAGAAAATATGCTGTCAGTCCGGATATCGAGCGAAATGCGCAAGTATGTGCGCTGTCTCTCAAACGCACATTTCAACACATTCAGCCCTATTCGAGCACAGCTGATTCTCACTGGGAGTACTGAGTACTGATCATTGATGTCACCAAGTGCAGTGCGGCCTGCAAGAGGTCACAAAGGGCGGGTCACAACTCACAATGGACGGGTCACACTGGTATTGCAAACGTGACCAGATATAATTGGAACTTAGAATTAAGCTCCGCACGCGTCAGCCGCAGCCCCAGACTTTGACCCCAGACTCCGCCCCAGACTTTGGCCCCAGACTGGCCGTTTCCTGGATGTCCTCGTTCTCCTCCACCTTCATTCCAAAGTTTTCGAGTGCAGTGTAATAAGCAGGCGTTTCTCTAGATTTCTGGAGTGCATTTAGCTATAGTGCATGTCGTGGCACCATGTCCATGTCTTCTTACCGCCTATTCAACCGTGTTAACTTGTTTTCAACCAATTTGAAGTTCTTTATTAGGTGGCAATCGACACGTGCCAAGCATCCTCCCAGCTTATCCAAGGGGTCATTCGTGAAACGTCAGAACCATACAAGTATCACTACTGACATGTCCTTACTTCAGCACACCGGTTCATCAACGTTTTACACGGAATTAGCAGAGTTACCCCTTCCTGTGTCTGCTGATTTTGTTGGCGGCGATGGTGCGTCTACTAGTCAATATAGCCAGAGATCTGATCGATGACGGACACCCACACAGTTCCACGCGTCACTTACACCGTTCGCGATCTTGAGCGTAATATCACACGATCCCTCACCAAGACTTTCTCTGGGGGCATCAGTTCTGATCATCAGACAACCACCCATGATTCCTCCGAAATCAAGGCATTTAGAACATCTCCTTCCAAATCTCGTCAGGCGGTCCTCCGGGAGGTTTCTAATGGCACAAGTACAAAACGTTTCGTCGAAATCTGGGCCGGCATCCAGATGGAGGCTTCCTTGGATGTCACAAAGTACCACGATACTTTCCATACAGATGGTGAGTTGAATAAATGCGAATGTCCCTGAATACTTGCAAATAGGATGTCAGATTTCACATCATCGCTCTCCTTCTCCCCATCGGAAACGTCTCTTCTATATACTGCCGAAGCAAACATCATCGGCGATGACAATGCTTCGGACGATCCTTACCCCAAATTCAGATACACCCCGCACTTTGGCGAACTGTCTCGCGGCAAGAAAAGATCGACCATTTTTCTATTCCGCTGGACAAGGTCCACAGCCTTCACAAAGGCTACTAAGCAAGACATGTTGCTCGTTGCCCTTTCGTTGGCACAGCCTACCCAAACACCCGTCCTGTTTGGTCAAGCTACTTTTGCGACGGAAGATATCATCTACGCTAGTGGACACGAACACACCAAAGATGGTCGACTACTGGGGGCTAAATGGTGCTTCAATCGTCCCATGGGCATATGGGAGATAAAACTTCCCGAGCCAGCAACTGTGCAAGGGACACCTTTTGGTACTAAGATATCATGCAACACATTGAAGCTGACTCCTTCAGAGCGGTCTTGTCGTTCACCCCGTGTATTATATGATAAAAATCAGACCCCCACTAAACTCTTCTGGTTCTCGAATCCTGTGGGCGGTCCTCACGCATCTTGCGTTTCTCTAGAATCTCGTGACTTAACTACAGGTACCAACAAGGTCCTCGTAGACACCGTGATAGAGCCCACCTCCGAAACCGACTTTCCAGGTCTATATCCCAATTACAACATGCCATCCAGCCCGTTTTTGCGTCGCGGAGACCATACATACATTGTGCTCCACTCCTTATGGCGCTCCCGTGCGACGATCCTCTTCATTGATACAGAATCAGGAGCAATTTCAGACGAGACAAAAATGCGAGATGGCGAACCTTTGTATAGCTGGGACTTACATGCTACAGACGACAAGACGCGCTTCATCTGTTCAAGGAGCACGCCTACTACCCCATACGAAGTATTACTGGGATACTTTGATGAACACGATAACCTCGATTGGAAAGTCCTAGATAAGACAATGATGTCTTTCACAAGTACGTTCAAGTCAATTTGGATTTTTGCCAAGTCTAATTATACCTTTCAGCTGAGAGCGCACTGCGTGATCTCACTGCATCGATCATACCCATCGGCGCGCGTCCTCCAACAGAGACTATCGTAATTCAATCGAAGCAAGCTTCCACGAGACCTGGCCCAAAACCCATCTGCGTTAACATTCCACATGGAGGACCACATGCGTCAACGACAACATCATTCTATCCAGCTACTGCTGCACTAGCCTTGGAAGGATGTAAGTCTTTGACTTCGCGCCTACTGACCACTTACAACAAGCATGTTCCCAGATACAATCTCCCTTCCCAACTATACCGGCTCCATGGGATTCGGGGAAAAGTACATTCAAAAACTTCTCGGGAATTGTGGAACAATGGACGTACAAGACGTCGTAGAGAGCGTCAACGAGCTCATCCGGCATGGTATCTCGGAGCACGGACGACAAGTTATTCAAGGTGGAAGCCATGGCGGTTTCCTCGCTGCGCACCGTAAGACTCCATTTCAAAAACAAAAACTCTTTTTCATACTGACCCTGACATGCACAGTTATCGGCCAATACCCAACCCTATTTAACGCAGCAGTGATACGCAACCCCGTAACCAGTGTCGGCGAACTAGCAGCGTCTGACATTCCCGACTGGGCCTACGGTGAATTTGGGCTCCAACTTACCCCGGACTCGCTCATGACACCCGCCACGTTCCAAAAAATGTTCGAAGCGTCGCCCATCGCGCACGTCGATAATGTGCGCGCGCCTGTATTGTTGTTGATTGGAGAAGACGACTTGCGTGTGGTACCGGCACAGGGATTGAGGTTTTATCATGCGCTCAAGGGTAGGGAGAGGAGAGTGGAGATGTTGTGGTTTAAGGGGGAGACGCATCCGATTGATGGTGTTGAGGCAGCAAGGGTTTCATGGGAGGCTGGGAGGGATTGGTTCAAGAATCTGGGGCAAAACCCAGCTGACTGATGATGTAGAGGATCTAAATGCTGCTGTTATGTGGCCAACGTGTGGGATGCGAGACATCAGCGAGGGGGATATGTTTATGCAGTGTCCAGGCTGGAAAGTGCCTCGCGTGTTCGCTCCATTCCGTATACAGTATTACTTCGTACCGACTGCGATGCTATGTTCACGCATCTTCGAAACATGTTTCTTATTTTCCTGCGCACCAGAGCGTCCGTCGATCGCCTAGTCTCATTCACATTAAAGCATCTTAATTCTTTAGACGACAAGACAGCGTGATCAATTATAGCACTCGTGTCACTGAGTCTGTGATGATTTATTCATCCAATTCACATTTACGGGGATGCAGCAGATCAACTCACCGACCATACACGTGAGGTGGACTCGGACACACTGTTCGGATAATTTAAAACCATTTGCCTTGCAACACTAGATATGTATTTTTTCCCTGAAGGATACCCGACCGACGATGAGGTGATCAATTCCATTCCTGAGCGAGTCGTATGCGTACGATTGGACCTGCCGGGGATGAAAGAATTCAGAAACAACATTGCTGGGCAGTCCTTCGACGGCGGTAGAAGTCCACAGCCCTGGAAGAAAGAAAAAACATAACCAAAGCTGGATCTAATAGTGCATAGTGCAGTCAGACTACATAGGCAGGGGAGGGACAACACGATAGAACGAGGGGCGAGGGTAACGGCTAACTTGAAGAGTATACTAAAAACCAGGCTCGTAGACCTATGAATGTTGGGCATCGTTAGGACCTGCTTGTGGTTCCACATTCCGATGCTTGCGCTGCCTAAGGATCAAATTCAGAAAAATATTCACAGAGAAAAGGTGTTGCGTACATGATGTTACCAATACGAGGGAATTTCCATCGCTTGGAGTCTACAGACGCTGCAGACCCATTGAACATAGGAAAGCGCTTCCAAAATGACTTTGGAGTCGAGGTCAGGACCGGAGTGGAAGCTGAAGCAGTCACTATTTGAGGATGAAAGGAGCTTTGAGGGGGAAGAGATGGGGAAGGGGATGCAGCTGCATCACGCGAGTTGATGGTTTCTGGAGGTACTTGAATGTTGTCGGAAAGCTCGACTGGAGGGGGGGTGTGGACTGGAGTAGGGATTTCATGATCGGAGTGACCTTGAAGAGACAGAGATGGGGAATGTGAGGCAGCAGCATCGCGCGAGCCTGCAGGTTCTGTTGCGAACTCGGTCGCATCCGGTAGCTCGTCCGGCGCCGGTGCAGAAGAAGCTGGAAGAGAATGGAAGTTTGCTGATGGCTTGAAAAATATTTGCATGAGATATACTGCTCTATAAACATGACACGAATTTATTACCTGGTCGATGTAACTTGAGATGTGGGACGCCGGGGAAACGAATGAGGGCGACACGACATTCGTCATAATGGTGGACTCCTGAGATATATCCCACAAAAAGATTGTGTTTTCCCGACCGCCTGTGGCAACAAGCTGGCCGTTTGGCGAGAAGGCTATTGCAGATACCCTTTTGGTATGCTGGAGCACACGACCAAAAGGTTTGCGGGTCGTTGTGCTCCACAGCCTAGCGGTGCTATCAACGGACGCACTGGCTATCAGCTCGCCATCAGGGGAGATTGCCAACGAGATAATGGCGTCGGAATGTGCGCGCAGTGGAGATCCGAGCTGGGCACCAGTCGGTGCACTCCAGAAGTAGATCTGGCCATCAGTACAGGCAGAAATGATACGACGACTGTCTGGAGACCAGACTATTGAGAACACTGTTCTGTCGTGGATGAGTGGTTGGGTTTGCTGCTTGCCAGTCGCTGCGTTCCAGATGCGAACCGTCTGATCATGTGACCCGCTCGCAAACTTGGTTCCGTTAGGAGAATAGGCTACTGCGAATACTCGACCTTGGTGATCATCGATGTCGAACACCAGCTCTCCTGTTCCCACATCCCAGATCTTTAGTGTGCCATCCTCTGATGCCGATGCGAGTCTTTTCTCATCAGGTGAGAACTGTATGCAACCGACCCAGGATGTATGATGCGACAGACATCTGATGATCTCCTTCGTATCTGCGTCCCATATGATGATCTTGCCATCTTTCGCCCCACTCACAATTCTTCTACCATCCATTGGTACAGCCAGTCCACAAGTGCTACTAGTAGTGTGTCCATCGAATGGATCTCCCACTTGATTCCCTGTTTCTACATCCCAAATCCGAACAGTCTGATCCTTGCAGGTGCTTATGATTTTGAGTTCATTCTTCTGTTTCGAGAATACAAGTCTGTTTAAGTAATCAGTATGACCTCTGAACGATTTAATTGGGGATAAGGATGGCTCCATGTGATCGTTGGCAGAGTGAATGAGGGTCTGGGGGTAGAGCAGTCGAGAGGAAGTAGATCAACATGAGGCAAACGCAACCTTGCGTCTATATAGAAAAGTTACTTGTAGAAACCGTACGTACTAGGATCACACCCGAATTCGAGCCGAAAAAAGACGCTCGTTGCAGCCTACTAGTCGACCTAGAGCCATGGCTGTGTGCACATGTGCCAGTGAGACTCCCGCGCATTGCCTGAATTAATCGACATACCCACTGCCCTGCAGTGCCTCGCAGCTCCAACTAACGCCCATGCCTTCGAAGCCCCATTTGTATCCAAAGCCAACGCCGGGAAATGTTTTGTTTTGCCCTGAGTGCCAGAACGAGAGCGATTGTGGGGAAAGCATTCTGAATTCACCACACCTGTACGGCGCGTGACACGAGTCACACTGACCTCGCTCTTTCCCATCATAACCGAGGACGATATCTTCAAGCCTGTCGCCCGTGGCGTTCGCAATGTCATGTGCTCCAGCGAGCACAGTGCATCTTCATCTCCCCTAATCGAATAAGGGTCATCAAAACACCAGTAGAGCAGTGGCACAAGAGTACATGTTCGGTGGGTTGAACCCAGCACATTTGTCTTTATCAGTATTTTGGTTCAATAGCTCTCAAATTTCAAAGGTGATGATAAAACCATTCCGATCCTTGGTTCGAACGCTTCCCGACTCCTTTGAATTCCGAGGACCAGGATTCCTTCGCTCGGTTTGCACGACTTCTGCTAATAGCGCAGATGGACAAGGAAACATGCTGCATGGATTCCGTGCTGTAGGGATGGCCGATATGGCTTTACTTTTGGTGTTGAATGAAGACGGCTGCGCCCTTGAGAGATTGTCAACAGCTGTCACCGTTGTTTTCACTGCAATGATTATGCCAGTGATATGATTGATGGCAAATGCGCCAGGAAATTTCATTCGCCTTGAGCGTCATCGACAGTCAGCAAGCACCTCTGGACCATGGAGTGCGTGGAGAACGTCGAAGTGAAGCTGTTGTGCTACTGAAGCGGCTCTTGAGGAGCGGGACAGTCTGGCATGGACCCCACAAGTGAGCTGTGTATGAGTCATCTAATATTGCAGATGTATGTAAAATACTATGATCTGAATCAATGATGGCATGGGTGATAACTCGACTCGAAGTATGGGCGATTGCACAGCTCTCATGCGGGAACATAGTCCTGCAATCTCTCCCCGCAGTATTCCCTAGGACCAAAAAAGTCTTTGATCATTGCATCCCAGCCGTTCGCTAGGTAATGAGATAATCCAGACACCACCACGACCACTACAGCAAGCCCAATACATCCCAGAGCAAGGCTCCCAGCTGGTGTAGGCTCAACGTTGAACTGTAACTGAGCATCAGTGGGTTGACCGTTTTTGCCAACTGAGAAATGCAAAATAAAGAGAGAGATATTGAGCAAGCATATTGCTGCGCCGATAGCGGCAGCTGAGCCGTAAAGGAAGATGTTGAGGAGCAGTGTCCAGACTTGCGGGGAGGCGAATACTGCATCTTTGGGTCGCTGTGAAGCCCATTTTAATAGTGTGAGGGCAACGGTTGGCACAATAAAACCACAGTCGAACAGTGCAAACGCATAGCACATGAGCCCGATGTTGCCTCTTGACGACCTTATATAGAATCGTCGGTATACTGAATGCATAGAGGACTGGATATACGTACCCAAATATCGCGCCGTACGTCAAGCTGGCACCTACAAATGCAACTTGCCCAAGAGTCAACAAAAGATGTTCATGGGTTCGTGACGTTTTCTATGAGCCATAATGAGTATAAGACATGGCGAAGTTTTCGGAGTCATCACCTCTGCCCAGTCAGAAAATCCACGATATCCAGTGCGATTTGCAATAGCTTGTGTGCGGGAGTAGAATGTTATGTCCTCTACATCTTTCTCCAGCGTTTTCAGCTGCGTCAGGAAAATTTTGAGTTGCACTATCCATTAAACATATTCATCAAGTACGGACGTGTGCTTGCAGTGATTGTGATTGCGATACTTTCTGAAGATACGCCTCGACTTTGCGGTGTATCTGTCAATGAGAAAGTTAATGTGATGGATCCAGCGGGGACGCTGTGCTTACTTCAAGCTCTTGTGCCTGTATGGTGTATCGTTCCTTGCGTACCTGACAGAGCTACAATTATGGAATGAAAACTGACATCAATACACCATCTATTCAATAGATGAGTACCATGGATTTGCAAAATTTAATCTCTTCCTCGATCTCCTTTGTGTGGGTTTCTCCTTGTTTGACAAACTCATGCTTGTCTCCAATACTCAGTACGCATAATGCTACTAATCAATGGAATGGACTTACGTGTTCATCGGACTCCCTAATAGCGGCAGACGGAAACAAAGCTAATTTGAGACCTTGATATAACAAACTGTCATTCAAACGAACCCTGAGTAGCGATACATAGAAAGAACGTACGATGGCAGGTTGTAGGTATAGTAAGTTGCCGAGCTAGCTGGCACTTTAACTTCGTGAGGAACAGTTGATGAAAGGGGCAGCGCCAGTGAGGGAGGCACTGGAGGGGCTATTATTGAGTACCATTAACGGTCCCTTGCTAGGAACTCAAGCATACCCCTCGAACAAGCCACTCTACAACCAACAGGCTGGACAGCCAAAACCACATTATTCCATAAGGAAAAAGAATCAGACAATGCACGCATAATGGAAGTCGCACTTTCATGGATGGACGACGTGACAGAGTCAATATTCGGTAGGTAAACTTGAGTGGGGGAACAGGGCGATAATTGAGCGGAGAGACAAATCTATTTTCAACTTCCAGAAGGCGGGGGAACCTGCATCGTGTAAGCCTCGTGTCGAGGAACCACTACATCCAGAAATAACGTGTCATTCAATATTGATGGAACGTTAGTATCGCGGCACCAGCCTGGAGGGAACATAGTGATTCATGAAAAGAGCAACTGCGGTCACGTGGATTGTACGTATTAGTAGTGCCCTTCGTCATGCGTATCAACTCATACTTGAACACGAGTACATCCGGTAAGGTTTCTGTAATTGCCAGCGTCAAGGACCGTGAGGCTATGGAGTACGACAACCCGCAAACACTTTGGTCGTGTACAGGCTTCTCGCCAAATGAACCAGCAGCCAGCGTGGCCACCGGGGGAACAGAAACTCATTCATTACCCCGGTGTCCAATCTCGCAAGCGACCTTTAACAGGCAATACAGTTGCGTCTCATATTATCCAGGCTGTTATAGGCTGAGCTTATCGGATGGCAGATCTTCGTCAAGCCGTCAGCGAATTTTCTACATCAGCACTATTAGATGACTTTCTGTGCACCGTGCACCCGCAGGCTTGCATGATGCAACTGACTGACTCTCCTTTGCCGCCTTACGACCACTCCGCTGAAATAACTGGTGCTTATTCTACTTTGGTCCGATCTCGGTACCGGCGTTATTGTACCCTTCATTCTCTGGCTGTGTGGGGGTCTCGATGCCGTGAATATCATCCTACTTCGAGGCTGTCAACCAGTCCCGTTTTCTGCGCCCCTGCTCCATATTCCGTTCCCCTCAACATTTTGACAATATCTTGCTCTCTAGTCCCAATGACTGCCATATTCACCGCTGAATGCGTGTTTGTGCAATGCGAACACAGATTTCATCATCATAGAACCACATCTATGTAGGCTAATCCGGAGCTGATGATATTGCGCGTATTCGGTGTGTTGATCCCACGAACACTTGTTTCGCATGATATTTAATACATTGTACAAAACCGTCGTACATCTACATCAAGTTCATATCAACTTGTTACGATACTGCTCAGTATAGCCTTTGCGGTTGTGGTAGTGGGCTAAGGGCTGGCAATGGTCGCAGGGAGCACGGTGCCCAGCTCTCATGATGGTGTCCATCCTCTTCTTCGTCTATGCTGTGCGAATCTGTGGATCCATTCTCCCAATGTTCGTCGTCTGTGTCGAAGCTGCAGTAAGAAGCAGAAGGCGACGATGGCACGGGTGATTCTGGTATTGGCTCCGTGAGTGGTACAGGAGGTCCCCCCTCAACAAGCCTGACTGTTATTTTCCGTATGTCTTCGTCGATGTCCAAGACAACGGTCTTATTTTCAGGCACATCGTTCTTGAGGAGGAGCTTTGCGAGGGGTTCCAGGATCTCTGATCGAATCAACCGATCTAACCATCGTGCGCAGCCTACACGGATCAACGCTGCCTGGAACTGCAGACGACTCTTAACTGCGTCATGGACTAACAGCTGGAGGTTGATAAGGGACAATTGCTTTCTCAGTTCCTCCAGGCGAGCGTGGATTATTGTAACCAGGGTGGCTCCAGACATACGGCGCTAGATAAAAAGTCTATAAGACATTATGCTTGTCATTGAAAATAAGATGACAAACGCACGAATACCACTATTTTATCAAGGCGTGACAGAAATTCGCCAGGGAAATAGTTCTCAATCTCGTTCATGAAGCGCTTGCGTTCCGTCTCTTCCGATATAGCGCGCCCCACGTTCGCTTGGCCAAGACTCGTCGAAATGATGATGATGCAATTGCTGGAGTGCAAGTCCCTTCAGCTGACCGAAGAAGATAGACGACATACATGTTTCTTACGTGAAATCAACAACATTCCGATCGCCATCTCTGATTGTTCCCTCATCGAGGATGGTTTGTATGAGCAACCTGAATTCCATGCAACCCCGTTCGATGCTAGGCGAAAAAGCGGCTTCAACAATGATCATGCATAACCAGATAAAATCACGCCTACTCTTTGATGTGCACGACAGAGAATGGCTTTCGCCTGACACATTCAGTCAGCTGACCACCATGGTCAAACCCCGTACATGCGGGAGTTCCAATCTGACAATCATGATTTAAGCTTAAAGGACCCTAGTTCATCTTGTGCTGCTTACCAGTCGTGTGAGACTGTGCGGTTCGATGTAGTCGCTGGCATTGATGCGTAGCAACTTGCCAGATTGTCGAAGTGCAATCTCGGAAAGCTATATAGAGGGTGAGCACATAAGAAGTAAACAGCAGTTAATGATCAGCGAGACTCACTCCCTTCACGAGTAGCGTTTTCCCGGATCCTGACGGACCACCGAAAAGGAACGATGCAATAGGCCTTCGTGGATTTTTGAGTCCTGCCCACATATATTGCACTGTGTTTGCGACGGCTTCAACAGCCTCCGGCTGGCCAACCACCTTATCCCAGAAGTTGTGAATACTGTCACTGATCGTAAACAAGGTGGTTCTTACCACTGTGCTTAGCCTGTCCGCAACTTTCAGGATCTCTGATGGATCAAGGGTTTCAGCTGCAGGAATAAAGGTATAATACATGGCAGTCTTTGCAACCATCTCCTTCGTAATTGGGTCGCTGTTCTTTTCAAATTCATCCAAATTTAAAGCGAATGTCTCGGAATCGGCCTGCTCTAGTTGGGTTCGCAAATCGTCTTGATCGATCCCAAGGTCCCGGACTCTGTCTATGGCCCTTTGTCTTTCGTCTTCATTGTTAAATAAACTTTAAACGGTTGAGTCTAAGCTGTCGCGCAAAACTTCAAATTTGTGCTTACCCAAGTGTGAATCGATCTTCTTCTGTCCTGATCTTCTTGTCGACTTCTTTCAGTTTGCGACGTATGATCCGGCGAGCTCGTTTCGAAGAGCTTGATGCTTCGATCTTTCGATCAAGGTTGTATAGTTTAGTTTGAGCTTCAAGCAGCCTTCGATCACTTTCCTCGTCAACCTCTCGCTACACCAGAGGTTCAGCGATGAGCACCATAGGTAAGTATACAAAACACGACACACCTTCAAGGAGCGTATGTCCATTTGCAGCACAACTCTGCTCCTCTGAAGCCTCCACACTGTTTCTGAGTTGGTACTGCGTGCAAGGTTGGCCTGAGCGCATGTCTCATCAATTAGATCTATCGCTGAGTCTGGCAGTCTTGAGTGTCAACGACGAGAATTAGACAAGTCAAGAATGAGAAGACAACAACCGAAGCAATGACCTGACCTTTTATGTGCGAAGAACTGTGTAGCGATCGTGGTCGCTGCTACAAGGGCATCATCCAAAATGGCAATCTTGTGAAAACGCTGTAGGGGGTCCTTTAATCCTCGCAGTATTTCCACCGTTTGATCTGGAGTGGATTCGCAGACGTAAATCTTCGGCGGGTCAGCGCAGGGAACGGTTTCGATGGACGATCTACTTACAGGCGAAAATTGACGAGCTAATGCGCCATCCTTTTCTATATACATTCGGAAATCTTCGACAGTTGAACACCCAACACAGCGTAGTTTTCCCTTCATGAGGAATGGCTTCATAATGGTGGCAGCGTCCCTATAGAAGACATCGAGTAGTCAGTTTGTAGAATAAAGTGACTATAAAATTTCATAATATTTACAGACCGGTCCCATCGCCGCGATACCCTCCTATGGCGATCTGGCTCAGATTGTCCATGAAAATGATGGCCTTGATACCCCTTTCCTCGTGGTGTGCAATCTCTGCAATAAAAGAGGGGCATGAGCACATGTTGAAGTGGTTAACGTAGTCGTACCATCCAGTATCATCTTGACAATCTTTGGTCAATGTGTGTTGTTAGCAACTGGAAAACGAAAAAGGATGATAATCTCCAACCTGTTCATAAGCTGACTTGCATGCTGTGCTTGCAAGTAATGACGCGAGGTCTAGATTAAACACCCGGGCAACGACAGACTCTGGGACTTGCATGGTGCGTCCGACACTCCTTTGATCAAGGCCTTCAACGACACCAGGCTGATTTCTGTTAGGATTCCCTGTTTCACATCCTCTAATTGATCAACTGCTCAAACCAACTTTTAGAGGTTCAACGCACCAGTACCAACTTTCAAGACTCCTTCAACAAGTCTTTGGGCTAGGCCTTCAGCAATAGCGGTTTTTCCAACGCCTGGATCGCCTGATTCCAGAATTCAAAACTAGATCAGCATCACCCACCGAATTCGGACGAGTGGTCATACCGAGGAGGACAGCACTATTCTTCTTGCTGCAGCGGATGCTATCAGCGGATGAAGAAAAAAATTGTAAATTCTCACTCACCGTCTTGACAGGATAGCTATAAGGCGACGCATTTCATTACACTACAAAGACGATACTTAGCGTGAAGAAACATCAATTATATGAGCACACACTCTGCCAATCAATGGGTCGATCACTTCTCCCCGTTCCTTCTTATCTTTGACATGCTGCGTAAGATCGGTTGCCCATCTATGAATGGAATGGAAACAAATAAAACACAGGCTAGTAAAAATAAACTAACTGGTTTAACACGGGGAACAATCGAGTATCATAGCTGCGAATGGTTGTGGGTCTGAGACGGCGAACAACATCAGGAAGCTGTTTGGTGCGTAGGCTTGGCGATTGTTCAAGAATGTCCTGGAGCTCCTTGTGCTCAAGGAGCGCCAGCAAAATGTGGTGCAGAGCGATACTCTCGCTGCCCTGAAAGTACTAATGTTGTTAGTTCTGTGATTGTCCGCCCAAAGACAAAGCCTAACATATTCATTGCAAATCTCCTTCGCCCGCTTTAAAATGATTTCGGTGCCTGTGGTAGCTCGATTTAGAATATGCTGTTTGATGTCGTTTTGAGTTGAAACAATACACATAGAAATATGATGTTTAATGGTCGTAACTCACATTTGTATCAGACGAAGCTCTGTTTTCTAAGCCTTGCTCGCTTTTCAACTTTTGCCATAGCGCTTGGCCGATACATTGCTGTAGGAGCAGCTCGCTACGTGGCTTGAACGTCGCCTCGCGAAGATGCAAGCCAATATCGTCAGGGATGCCCGAGGCCTGGGAAATAGCGGTCCAGAACAGAGGTAATTGAAGAGACCTGGGCAATTCAGGGTCGATAGTTTGCAACCTTGAGTCCTCAGCATCATGGAGTCCGTCAAAAAGAAGCTCGAGAGCAAGATGAAGAGGCTTTACGAGTGTTGAACTGCGTTCGGAAAGACCGTCAACCTGAGTGTTCAGGCGGGTCCCACCAGCTAGCCGTTCAGCGTTGGCCCACAGATTATCCATTTCACTGTCGAATATGAAAATGGTACTGGCAGCGGTTAGAGATTGTGAGATTGATTCGTTGGCACCATCGCCGCGAAAAGTGGTGTCCGTCACTGACATAAAGCAGTTTGTTACGGGTGTGATGAGAGTTCGTTTCTCAAGTTGACGCAAAATTGACGCTCTAACTTTGTTATGCACCAGCAGTCTTTTGCTGTTACCGTACTAGTGTGGTGTCAACTTGGGCTAGGGCGGCCCATCAGCCTTCAATCAGCCTTCCGCGACTCCGCACAGCCTGAGTGCTAGCAAAGCTGTGAAATCGAGATTGAAAGAAAAAAAACTTCATGATCTATGTAGTAAGAACACGCAGTGACTTACCTGTTCCCGCGGGCAGTATGTACTAGAAATGAACAGCATCGTGAATCGGCGCGATGAAGTGCATGACGAAAGGGTCATGCCACTTAATCAGGTAAGGAACTTGTTCGAAGTTCGGAACTTACCGCAACACGAGCAACCAGCGCCTAGTATGTGTGACAGCAAATAAGTCTGAATCGTGCCAGCTGTGGGCCTAGTGGTAAGCCTGAGCTCCTGCCTCGTGCAACTTGAACTCCTTCTATATCTAACTAATCTATGGATACACAGGACCCTGAAAGTTTATAAATTTGAACCCTTGAACTCGGACCAAGTTGGATCTTCGAACACAGCTAGAAGACTACCAGTAACCGCCTGACTATTCGGAGGGCACACTAGGGTTCCAGTATCTTCGTTCTTATCCAAAATTCCAAATCTTATTTTTGTCCTACCTGGTGCTCGCACTGCCAGCAGATGTGGCAATATGTACATGCTACATGCGGCATGCTCTTGTATGGCATCGTGTAAGTAATACTACTCGTTGTGACTTAGGTGCCTCCTTTGACTAATATTTAAATGATTCATAGCGGCTAGGCTACATGCACGTGGAAATACTCGAGCATTAGGTCAATGTGCAATCTAAAGCTGGACTTCAATCGCTAAAAGAACAACCCGGACTATGCCATCTTACTTCGTCTAGTATAAAGTCGCTGACGTGCGTGACATTGACCCTTGATTATCAGATGTCGTCCGAGTCACGGTCCGAGCTAATAGCCCGCTTCCCCATTGTTCGATACGTCCCCATACCTGACACTGGGTACTATGATTTGACATCTTTCCCCGAACGGTTGGGCGAGTCACCTGTGCAGAATGTTTACCTCGAGGCGCATAATGCACGATGTGACATTTGTTTGGTGGATTTTGACCCTCCTCCGAGCAAAATTTTGCATACCGTCGCCGAGATCGAGTCTGATCCTCTTATACAGCTTCCATGTTCTCATGTATTCCATGTAAGTCAGCCGGATACATAGAGAACAAGTTCTGAGTATTCGTTTCCTGCAGAAAAGCTGTATTGGCAACTGGCTTCTTGGAACATCGCAATCCACGTGTCCTTCATGCCGCGCAAACGTCATTCAAATGGAACGTAGTGGTATTCGGAATCACGGCAATCGGTCTGTGCCGATATCGAAACGCCCCGAAACTTCTATAGAGCAATCTATGCGCGAACTATCACCGTCACCCTCCCTAACCAGCCACAATAGTCCTTCACATGTGTCGGAACGCCCCGGAATTCCTATGGAGCAATCTATGGGTAGATTATCACCGTCACCCTCCATGACCATCCACAATAGTCATTCACGTGTATTGACACGCTCCCAAACTCCTATGGAGCAATCTATGGGCAGACTATCACCGTCACCCTCCCGGACCATCCACAATAGTCAATCACAGGACTCATTGCCGTTCCCACCTGTTTGCCCATCAGCCTCAAGCCAAAACTCTTTGCGCCCAACTCGGAGAAGGCCGAAGCGCCAATTTCTTGCCAACGGTGAGGCAATAACATTTAAGCTATTTCGTGTTGCCTCAACTTCTTGACAGCATTTTCAAGTCTTCGTAGACTCTTTCCGTAAAGGGGGCGAGGTGGCTATATGTATATTAGAATAGTTCTAGGCACTCGTATCATGTAATTTTGTATGTCGTTGTCGGTCTTCAGATGTCCTGTACTGCCAGTGTGAATGAGTGCTTTCGACTCTTGCTGACAGTCCCTTTAGCACCGTCTGAGCAAAAACTACAATATTATATTGCTAAACGCACATACGTATACAACCAAAACAATGACCTCAATGATTCACATCTCGTCACCGTAACTTCACTCTGGCCCAGCGGGCAGCGAATTCAAAATCGGGGTCAGGTTCTTCGTATGATCAGAGAATAAGCATTACCGGCGAGGATTTTCTTGAACAACTGAGACTAAGGACCTTGTTGACAGTTGGGAGCATGGAAGAAGCATCGTCAGCTGCATGGAGAACGGCTTTGAGTGCGGACGCATTGTAGTCATGGTGGTGGAGGTGGGTCAGCCCACATGAAACAATTGTAGCTATTTCTTCCGTGGCACTGGGACCATAATACTTGATACATAGTGTTCTTGGTCGTTGAATTTTACAGCAGCGTTAAATACAGTGTTTACATGGCCATAATCGTACACTACACATCTGCATCAGTGTCTGCATATCGTACTAGAGGATCAATGGGAAACCAAAACATAATGCTGCATGACGATGTTTCGCCTCACAATCCTCCCCGTAAACGAAGTACTGAACAGACTGGGTTAACGAAGACCAAAAAATCTCGGCGGACCCATTTACTCACCAAGATGCAACGTACTCTCCTTCGAAATATTGTAGTCCGCTAAAATCCTATCGGGCACGAGTTGTTTCCCACCGAATAGGATGCGCTGCTCAGAAGGTGGAATGTCCGTCCTCTCCTGGATCTTCTTCATCAGATTTTCTACCGTATCCGTCGGCGAGATCATCAAGGCCATCGTCTTTCCATTCAAATTCTTGACAAAAATCTGCACCTCTGATTCTTGTCCTCGTCTTCGTCTTTGAGTCTCCGTCTTCACAGCAATCTTAAGGCCGGGTGGGATAGCTACAGACATTCCAATTGATCATAAGGTCAACAAGGCTGGAGACAGGAAGAGAAGCGTACACAGCTGCATTACACTCCCATTTGCAACACCATAATCCTCAAGGGTACTGTCGTCTTGGAGAACTCTCCCGGAAAACAGCAAACGCTGATGTTCAGCATCCACTTCAATACTCTCCGATATTTTCTGTTTGAGGAACAAAACGGAGCTGCTGGGTGACGCAAAGATATCAAGTTTTTGGTCATGTATCGTTCGGATTGAGATCATGATCTGTCCTGGAACCGTCATATTGATTATATCCCTTTCCATCTGACGAGGAGCGACTCTGTCGTCCGATTCCTGAGGGGTGGGCAATGGACATGGCTGTGGAAGCATTCCACCCCTCAGGCGAAAGTCTGAAACATGAGTAATGATACTGTTAGACAAGAACCTTTTTTTTGATCCGATCCTGGGCGCACCAAAACTCAGCGTGCACCCGTTGGAAACATTCGCGCTCGCAAACGTTGCGCGATCAGGCAGATCGTGGCCAGCAAAGGTCAACCGCACATCTGCAGTATTGAAATCCGACGAGCTTCATATCCGTGGAACAATGAGACAGGGAGGGAGATTATCAACAGAGACTTGCCTGGTGATCCCTAGAATCCTGCTCTTGAGAGAATCAGCAGTGTCCTGCGGGGACAACTCAACAGTGAAGGTCGTGCCGAAAGGATTGTTCACGAAAAGCTGCATTGGATGAGAAAGTCAAAGGAAACGGCTCTGGTGCACAGCAAACCCGTTGAACACAGACAAAATGACGAAAAGCAAGTTACCAAGAGTCTATCCGTGTGTTTGCCTTTCTAGGGGCCGCAAAGCACCACTGCATGAGAAATTCAAATGCAAGTTGCCGAAAGTTCAAGGCCTCATGGCACCCTCATCGTTTCGAAGAATTCCAGGATGGCTGATGCAGGAATGAAAGTTCAATATCCACTATTGCGTGCATGCCCTAAGCCCTAGAGTCTTATCGGACAAGATCGAAACTCTGATGGAAGCGATGGGCGTCATTGGAACGCGCGCTTTCAGCATGACCACAGCCCGCTGATGCCGGTGCTTGATCTGCCGAGACGGGGCATGTCAAGTTTGAACTTAGTACACATTCCATTATGTCAGAGATTCGAGTAGGCCGCGTCACTACAAAAGGATGTATCAGTCAAAGAATGTTCGACATCTTGCCTTGCCAGTTGTGATCATGTTACAAAACGAAGATAGCCATGATACCTTCAAGTTCACGGCACGAGCCAACGAGATGCTGCAAAAATCTACTGACATCGCCGTCAAATTGCATCAGAACGAAGGTTAGTCAAGGCTCACCTTGGGGGCATCATCTTACCTGGCTCTTCATATCAGTCACGCCCATGCACATGATGCTCGTTGCCCTGTGCGGGGTTTCTGTTGACATAGACCATTTGGATCAATGCTCGCCGGTGCACCCTTCTCACCTATGGGGTGTCTTGAAAGAACTCGAGATTGAGCCTGTGAGATATCCCATTTGAATTGACAAAGCTAAACTGAGACTCGGACCAGCTTGATGTTGCGAAAAGCGTCAGAGCAACTCTACTACAAGTAGTATCTGAACTCCCACGGTCCCGCCCGGGTAGCCGTTTGGGCAATACAGAGGCTGCCGAAACGGTTCCGGTTGCACATGCAGGCTCAGTCAGTTATCAGACTCGCCTTTGCTACCTTTCTACTTACTGGAATTTTTCCAGAATGGGGCCTTTTGGCGTCGCCAAAAACGAGCTCCTCAATCCAAAGGCATTGACAGAGTGCATTCTCAGGCTAACTTGAATGTTCCTGTGCCGACCCGTGAGCTTAGTATTCTTTCAAAAATGGACGAGGATTGACATAGACTACAGGCACTCCTACCCCCGGGCCTAGTCAAGCTCTGATCGAGGTTTTTCAGCGTGCCCAAGCAGTGATGAAGGAAATGGTCGGCATCAACCTATAATACTAACATGATACAACCAGTTAACTGATCACGATCCAACAGCAAGATTTATTCGCCAATCCGTATCATCTAAGCATTGCAGTCGTGGCATCCCCAGAGATTGCGACAATACTTGCCAAAGATCATGACATTTCGAAAGACGATGTAATCAGATCATTGAAAGATTTAAAAGGTTCGAAGGTCACTACGAAGGATGACGATGGCTTTAAGTACCTTACTCGGTAAGTTTAGTTCCTCCAGGGACCGTCTAGCAAATTTGATTTCTCCTCGCTGACATAGGTACGCAACTGATATGTTGGCATTGGCGCGCGACAGCAAATATGATGACACTATCGGGAGGGTATGTCCCTTCAAGTTTTCACGCACCACACTTCTGTTGTTTTAGTGGAAGTGTAATATTCACCTTAATTGCAGGACGAGGAGATTCGTCGTACTATCCAGATCCTGTGCCGTCGGTTAGCATCCACAATTGCTCATCTGTATCCGTTTGTTGATCATCTCGACCAGAACCAAGAATTCCGTTGTTCTGTTAGGTTTGGATTGTTTGCACGATGTTTGTTGTTTCTAGTATTGAAAGAGCTCCAGGTGAACCAGGAGTTGGAAAGACAGCGGTCGCTGAGGGTCTCGCCCATAGAATGGCTGCAAATCAGGTCCCACAAAATCTGAAGGGCACACTTTACAACCTAGACTTGGGCGCGCTTTTTGCGGGAGCAGGAAAGGGTGAATATGAGGAGGTAATAGATACGTTGAAATGCTCTTTTATTTTCCCGCACTGATGACCCTTATAATCGCATTAGCGTGTCAAAGGTGTCATAGATGGTATGCTTCGCTTTGATACGTGTTTTATCTTCGTTTATACTTGTTTTCAAAGACGTGAAACGCAGTCAAGAAAGCCAGTCCCCAGCTATTTTATTTATCGACGAGCTCCACCTTATATCTGTTGGAAAGGGACAGGGCGGCCAAGCTGGGATGTACGTCTTGTCATTGTATCGTTGTGACACATCAAAGCTCATTTGCATTCACAGGGATGCAGCAAATCTACTGAAGCCTGAGCTTGCGCGTGGTCAATTTCGGTGTATAGGAGCCACGACGCTAGCAGAATATCGGGAGCATATCGAGAAAGATGGCGCGCTTACACGCCGGTTTGCTCAGGTTTGTATTGCTCTGTTGGGTAGAGATAGGTTGATAACGTGCTTCATAGGTTATAGTTAACGAGCCAACAATAGATCAAGCCAAAACTATTCTACGTGGCTCTCGGGAGCGGTACGAGAATCACCACCGCGTTTGGATCATGGATCAAGCGATAGTTACTGCAGTCGAACTCGCTCACAGGTATCTCACTGCAAGGAGGTATTTGTCCACATTGTGATATCAGAACTGCTATCAAATTCTCTAGTATAGATTACCCGACTCGGCATTTGACCTCATGGACGAAGCATGTGCTTCTGCAAGAGTACAGCAAGATTTAAAGCCAGAGACCATAGAGGAACTTGAACAAGGCATGGTCCAGCAGGAGCATTACATTCGGTCCCTCGAGGTACATTGTCTCTTTTTATGTCCAGCGGATGTGAGCCTCGATGGACGCTTAATCTTCTTTTCCATAGCGCGATAATCATCCTGATGACGACAGTGCGCTGAATGAGGCCAAACAAGCTATGCTGAAACTCAAAGCGAAGTTGAGATTTCTGGAACGTGAACAGAGTGCAGTGACAGAATGGTGGGAATTGATCGCGAAGTATCGTGACGGCATTCAAAAGAAGAGGCTGGAGTTGAACACAGCGAGAAGGTTTGTTTATCCACCCGTGACAAACGGTGCACGCGATTCATTAATTTGCTATAGCCAACCTTCGATAGATTCGAAGAAGATTGCCCGGCTGGAAGATGAAATGAAACGACTACGAGATAGCCTTGTTCGAACGGAGCAGAAAGGTCCGGTCCAAAAAGGTTCGGGAGACCAAAGAGATTCCGAAATTATGGACCATCAATTTGTGTCCCTCTTGGCCAAAAACCGGCGCACTGTCTCATCTCCGAACATCATCACGCCAGAAAGCATAGCTGTTATTGTAGAGAAGGCAACGAAAATCCCAGTGCGACAGTTACTGGACACGGATAAAGAGCGTCTCCTGCATCTTCAAAGTACCCTGGAGAAAACGGTTCGCTAAACCCTGTGAGAGCGGAAACTCGACTTACGACTATGTGCGTCTATCCAGGTCATCGGGCAACCGGAAGCCATCAATGCCGTAGTGAACGCTATCCAGCTGTCTCGCACTGGACTGGGCAACGCCAACCGACCAAATGCCTGCCTGCTCTTTACCGGACCATCTGGTACTGGGAAGACATTACTGTCGAAGGCTGTAAGCTGACAATCCATCTGATAAACTCAAAACTTACTAATAATCTTCAGCTCGCAGAGGAACTGTTTGGACAGTCTACGGCAATGATCCGCATTGATGGCAGCGAATATTCTCAAAGTCACTCTGTTTCGCGACTGGTAAATATTCCCTTGCGGGGTGTCGGTGACGCAGTAACGCATGCTGACGTACGCAGATTGGTGCCCCTCCAGGATATGTGGGCTATGATCAAGGCGGACAGCTTACAGAGTATGTTCGACGGACGCCGTATTGCATTATCTTGCTAGATGAGTAAGGCTCATTTAATAATTTGTTTGTACCGCTTTACATATGCATTCAGGATCGAGAAAACTTGCACAGAGTTCTTGACATTGTTTTTGCAAGTCATGGACGATGGACGCTTAACGGATGGACAGGGACGGCTGGTGGATTTCCGGTGAGTTCTGGCTGATCTACCACGGTCTGATGTCACTGCTTACTCGGATTCGCAGTAATACAGCAATTATCATGACATCCAACGTTGGTGCGGACATTTTGAGCAAGGAAAGTGGGACGATATCCGATCACATTAGGCAAGCTGTCATGCAACGTTTCAAAGAGGCCAGATTTTCCCCCGAATTCCTCAACCGAGTCGATGAAGTTGTTATGTTTGTAAGCACTCACGCAACCACCATACCGCATTGCACCGCTGATCGTACTCATGTATGCCTATCACAGAGGACCATGTCGGCTGATATGATGAAAAAAGTTTTGGATAAACATTTGGAAGACTTACAACAGCGGGATGGCCTCAAGAAAATGAAGCTAGACCTCGATCATGCTGCAAAGCAATGGCTCATTAATCGGGGCATTTCAAGGGAATACGGTGCCCGTCTGCTCACGAGAGTCATCCAAGGAGAATTGCTCAACCCACTTGCACGTGCCATCCTGCAGAAAAGCGTACGTAATGACGAAATTGTGCTGGTTCGTGTCAAGGACGATGGGGTTGGCTTGGATATTCGCTCCAGCCGGAGATCCTAGTCGGCGTAGTTTGTATATGTGCCTAGACCCACTTTTGCTTTATGTTCATGCAACCCACGGAGCAGCGCCGGTGGATAAAGTACTTGTATCTTTCTCAGCGAATCAAATTGTGATCATATGCGAGCTGGGGCACCAAAATTGATATTATTGTCACCATATTACCTACCCCACTACGAAATACTGCAGCCTCTTGAATTCAACCGCTCGAATCTTAGCTTGAAAGGTCGATCATTACATGACATCGTGTCTGATATATATATCCGTCACCAACCCGGTTTAGAAGGGTGGTAGCTTGCCATGGTTATGGGGAGGCAAGGCTTGCCTCGAGGGACTTCTCAATCACAAATTACATATTTTGTTATCACAGCTGATGCCGATACAAAACTAGCACGATCTTGGTGAACGGTCGACTATTCTACGGCGTCTTGCATTCTAGAATATGGATAATAAAAGTTAGCGCGCGGGTAGTCGGCGCACGATAGTAGGGACACGCCACTTAGTTATAGTAAGAGTACTGCATCACACGAGGCATCTTCCGATTGGGAGATAGAGAGTTATGAGCCGGGCAGAGGGGAGAACCCTTCTGATAAATTAAATACAGCAGTATACAATACATGCCGAAATGGTGTACAGCCCAGGGAAAGCTGTGAGCCTGTGATTTGGAGGCAGATGTATGATGGAATGGTACATTGGAGGTTCCCAAACTCGCCTTGTCTGTGGCCCACTGTTGCTTCTGCAGTCTGAACTAGGGAAATGGCCAGTATGCTACTCTTGACAGACCCAAATTTTCAAGAGCTACTTCCAATACCCATCTTGTGCGCAGATGTTGCGAAGTCGTCTGAACAGTATAAAAAATATTGGGTTGTCGAAATAATTCACTTCAAAGAAAGGAACCAAGTGGGTAAGTATCTTAATCACCTGGTATATATGTATACCACGCATAACACAAACAGGACACGAATTCGTCATTCTTAGTGTCTTCGATTGCGGCAGTAACCGCCCGCTCTTTCACTTGCGTGCAGAACGTAGACCATCCAGACGAAAGCCCGATGAACAGAAAAAGTCTGAGCCGCCTTCGTCGAAGCTGGATCTCTTGATCTCTCCTAGCGACGACACTATCAGCAGACTTCGGGAGAATTTCAAGGCGAATGATTACGACCACCTAGCCACTCTAAATCTTGGCTCTCCCAGCCTGAAAAAACTTAGCTTTCTCGCAGCCTGCCAAATCTTCGAACAGGTTGAAAACCAAGCGTGGTATTATACACTGTTTCGACGGCAATGCTACTGGTTCTGCACCAACTTTCTCAAGCGGGTGGAATCCAAGACCCAACTATTTAAGATAGCCGGTAGACATGCTAAACGTCAAGGCACACCAGGATACGGATGCATCTTTGGGGGTAGATTCAAAGTATTGAAGGAGCATGATGTCGAAGGGGACATTCAAGAGAGAAACCGCAGACAAAAAGATCAGGCAAAGAAGCACGAGGATGAAGACCGTGAGGGGATGAAGAACATGATGGTAGATGCCATGCGAAGGAGAGAGCAGGAGAGACTCGCAGCGTTGGAAACAACACGCCAAGCAATCCAGCCGATGTTAATAACAACCCAAGCACGACAAGAAGCGGAGGTTCTAGCTTGGAGGTCGATGTTCTCGCGGATTGTTGCCCAGCCAGGCTCTACTTAGTATGTTATGCATATGCTACCCCACGTATGGAGACGACAGATTCAGATCCATTCGTACCATGACGCCTGCGCTAGTTCATTGGTAATGAGACTATTTATACTGTATATTGTGGTTCCAGGTTGAGATGCTTCCAATGCCTAGATGTTAGTTTTAAAACAAGTCCATGAGGAACACAGAGAGCGAAGGGGCTGCTTACCATATGCTGCCAGCGCGGCAGTTCTCATGACTTGGAGTTTACAGACACGGCGAGCTTACTGAGGATAGGAAATAGCTGTCAGAATGACCTTGGAGGAGAATCTGTGTCCCCGACCACCTGTGACGACAAGCTGTCTGTCCGGGGAGAAGGCTACTGTGCTCACCCCAGAGGTATGCTGGAGCACACGATCAAAATGTTTGCGGGTAGAGGTCACGGTGCTCAACAGCCTCGTGGTATGATTCCAGGATGCACTGGCTATCAATTCACCATCAGGTGGGACAGCCAGCAAAATAACAACGTCGGAATATGCACACGGTGGGAATCCCAGCTAGGCACCAGTCGGTGCACCCCAGAAGTAGATCTCATTAGTGGGAGAAATGAGACGACGACCATCTGGAGAGCAGACTATCGAGCGCACTGCTTCGCCATGAGAAAGTAATATGATTTGCTGCTTACCGGTCGCTGCATTCCAGATGCGAACCGTCTAATTGTCTGACCCACTTGTAATCTTGATTCCGCCGGGAGAGAGGCTAGAGTCCGTCCACCACCTTGGTGAGCATCGATGCTGAACATGACAGCCACACACTGCTTCTTGCAGTACAAACGCACCCATACCTTACAAGCCTTGTGCGTATTTGACGCCAATTTCCTGACACTCGCAACATACCCGCCAACAACACACCCGCCAACAACACATTAGGCGAAGGGTTGGGTTCTTGGCCGTATTATCTTCATCGTCCTTTGTGTTTCCCAGGCTGGCCGTGATATCAAGTAAGAGGGATGGGAAAGGCTAACTATGTCGAGCACAAGGGATGAATTGAGATTCATGCTAACTTCGAGGCGCTAGCTTCGCGAGCTGGTTTAGGGCCGGCTGTGTCGCGTTGATGATGTAATCCAAGACCACAACAATATTTATTATTATTGGTCGCGGTCCAACAACTGATCCAAGAGAACTATCCACCGTTCACCTTTCACCCTTTCCCATATTATTTAGAAGCCGAAGATGTCTTCGAGTCCGTCTTCGTCGTCACCCGTACCGTTTGCAATGTCGTCGGCTCCAGCAAGTACAGCTGCCTCATCACCTCCCCCTAGTGAAGAAGGAAAAGCACAGAAGAGCACACGCGAGGTGGGTCAGACTCAGCATCCAGTGTATCGTTCCCTGTACTAACAGTTTTGTGCGACAGTCCTCAGAGATATTAGAAACAATAGAAGACGAGGTAGAAGTGCCCTATCGCTCATTTGAACGCGTCCTGACAGATCTATTTTAGGAATTTCAAGAACGCTTCTCCCGCCTCGAACGCCTCCTCGAGAAGTCTTTTACATATTCCAAACTTTTAGGGGCGCAGATGGATAAGGAAAAGCGTGCATGTGCACTCCGAGCCGCCATGCAAGCTGCTGCACCCTCAAAACCAGAGTCTTCAAGAAGGCGCCTTCCGAGGCGTGGCAAGAAACGCTCACGCGTAGAGGAGTCAGATGAGGAGGAGGCGCCTCCTGTGAAACCACCGATTCAGGAACCTCCTGTAGTTGAAGGAGAGAATGGGCAGCGCCCGAAGTTCCCCCAGCCTGCATTAGTCACGGGGGCAAAGTTGAAGGATTATCAATTAGAAGGAGTGGAGTGGATGGTTAGTTTGGATAAGAACGGCGTTTCTGGTATCCTTGGTAAGCCCTTGACCTCTAATCGTCGCGTTCCATTTTCTCAAATACAGTGTAGCGGATGAGATGGGTCTAGGCAAGGTAATATAATTAATTTCACTTTTGAATCATATTTAACAGATGCCCTCAGACCCTTCAAACCATTGCATTCAATGCACACCTACGTGGCCTCGGTCATTATCAACCCTTCCTTATAGTTTGCCCCTTGAGCGTCCTTCATAATTGGATAGAGGAATTTCAGAAATTTGCGCCTACTGTAAGTCCTCTACTCTTCCATCTCGTCTTTTTAATATCGACCATCTCTAGATACCCGTTTGCATGTACCACGGCACGCCAGCTGAGCGTGCTGATATTCGCCGGACTGTCATGCGAGCACCGGATGCTCAAGAAGCGGCTGATGACGAAGTTATGGTCAAAACGCCACGCAACCGGAAGGGCAAGGGCAAGAAAGCGCCTGCCCGTAAAGCTTCTGCGCCGAAGCGTAAAACAAAAGGCAGACCTACTAAGAGACGTAAGACAGACGTCGATGAGGACGATGGTTCACAGGCAGATGAAGACGATGAAGACACCTCAGATGTTGAAGACAACCGTATACCCACTACTAGCGATACCCTCCCCCCGCAGACCCCTGCTTCTTTCCCGGTTGTTGTCACCACCTACGAAATGATTCTTAAAGACCGTATACACCTTGCCACTTATAATTGGGGCTATATCGTTGTAGATGAGGGGCACAGATTGAAAAATCTTGACTGCAAGCTCATGCAGGAGATCAAGAAATACCCGAGCGCAGGTCGAATGATTCTGACTGGAACACCATTACATGTAAGTTCTGTTCAGTATGCCGACATTGTTCTTGCTCACGTTCTACAGAATAATCTGGCAGAGTTGTGGTCATTGTTGAATTTTATACTACCTGATATTTTTGACGACCTGGATACGTTCCAGGAATGGTTCGTGTTTGTTTTTCTTGCAGTATCGGTGTTCGAGCTAATAGAAAATTAAGGTTCAATCTTGGAACCATGCAATCTCGCCTCTCTGAAGACCAATCATCTCAATTGATTGGCACCCTTCACGGCATCTTGAAGCCTTTCCTCCTTCGACGACTCAAGGCAGATGTCGAAGGCCTCCTCCCACCCAAGAAGGAATATGTTCTGTACGCCCCGCTTAGCGTGGGTCAGCGTGATTTGTACGATAACATCCTGGACGGGTCGTTACGAGACTTCCTTCTTGGCATTTCCAAAAAAGCAGCAGTTGAGAAGGTCGGTGAGATCGACCTGGATGGGCCGATGAAGCTCCGGAAGCAGAAAAAGACACGATACGACCTTGATGGCAACGATGACGAGTACTTTGAGATGCTCGAAGACGGTGGAGGGGCCAAAGTTAAGGAGTCAAAGGAGGATGTCTCTGAGCTAGCAAAACAGCATCAGCAACTGGCGACTCGTTGGTGTTTTTTGTGTTTTCTTGGCTTTTATTTGACTGACGGTTGAATCTAGGGAAGCAGATCAACAACATGAAGCTTCAGAACGTTGTCATGCAGCTACGCAAAGTCTGCTCCCATCCGTTTTTGTTCCACTGGCCTGTCGTCCCAGGTACTCAGGAGCTCGTGCTCGATGAACAATTGGTAAATGCGAGCGGAAAGATGATGGTCCTCGATCGTCTGTTAGACGAACTGTTCCGCAGGAAACACAAAGTTTTGCTGTTCAGTCAATTTACCACCATGTTAGATGTCCTTGAGGTCCGTCCGTCTTTTTTCCATCTGTGTCATTGTGCTCAATCCCTCGTTACAGGACTGGGCTACCGAACTGAAAGGCTGGCCGATATGTCGAATTGACGGGTCAACAGCACCTATGGACCGCCGCGAGCAGATGAACAAGTTCCAGCAAGGAGGCAACTCTCTTGACGCTCCGAAGTTGTTCCTCCTCAGCACTCGCGCAGGCGGCCTAGGCATCAATTTAACAGCGGCTGATACGGTGATATTCTATGATCAAGACTGGAACCCGCAGATGGATATCCAAGCTCAAGATCGAGCACATCGTATCGGTCAGACGAAACCCGTTTTAGTGTTCCGACTTGTTACGGCGCATACGATTGAGACGAGGATCATGCACCGTGCGACTGAGAAGAGGAAGCTTGAGGCGCTTGTTATAGCCAAGGGTTGGTCTACTTCGACTCCTGTCGTTTTGTCACTCACATATACCATCGCAGGCAAATTCAAGCTACCCGGACAAGGAGCACCTAAATCAAACCCGCAATCCATGACAGAACTCGCAGCTGATCTCTTAAAGCTAGAAGGCGAGCAGATCGACGTGGTGACGAATACGTCTGTGGAGGGTAAGAAACGGGTGTTGTCGGATGAAGACCTCGATATGTTGCTTGATCGGAGTGGGGCTGTGTTCACGGATAGGAAGAAGGGATGGAAGAGCGAGGAGAGTGGGGCTGGGAAGCGTGCGGCTTTTGCTGTGTATGAGGCGCCTGTGCATGAGGGGAATGACTTGGTGGCGAAGATTATGGGGGAGGATGTCGCTGAGTGAGTGTTGTGTGTTGCTGGGGTTGTGGTTGCAGCGTTGAGGATGTGCATTAATGGGCATTGTGCATATGGATGATTAGAGTTGATAATCGCGCTATAATATTTGTTGTACATGGACGCTTAACTCGTATAATAGTACGTTTCCGATATGGTGGGGATCAAGGGACTTTTCGAAATTCATGAGTGAAACTGTTTTATCGCGTGGGGGATTCCGTAGCTTTACCAAGCACATGGAAATGACGCGAGGCGGCTGTTGCAGGCAGCGTATGTTCAGACAGTGTGATCCAAACCACAATTGAAAAGCTGATATGATCTGTATAGCTAGGTAGCGCTCCGAGTCGGAGTCGGAACCTCGTACCGCTAGGTTGCTTCCTCCTGGGAAATATCGTTTGGGCCGGGCTTCGGAACCTGGACGTCGGACCCCTGCGAACCCAGCTTGGAGCAGAAAGTGCGGGATTTGGCCAGTCTGCTTGAGGTCTATACAGGCAAGTCACAGACTCCGTGTTAAAGTCTGGGGGACAGGTTGTCCGGAAAGTGCCGGGAAGTCTATGTTTGCCCGCCGTATTATGTCATAACTTAGCGTCAGTCTCCCGCCATCAGCCTCTCCCGCCATTTCACGTTGCCCGCCGTGCCCACAGACAACATACCATCGACTACAGCTCCACAGCTGCCAAGTATTCCAGGTGCCATCCTGCGGATGTCATCAATCGGACTCGTCATTGATTGCACCTACTGATACGTGACACAGGGATGGCTGAAGTGCTGATGGAGGTGGTTGATGCAGATGGCAGGGGTGGCTAGCCACTGACGGGGGTAGCTGATGTTAGCCCTCGAATCGTTTGGCTGCGCCCTATCTAAAGTTCAATGTACACGCCTCAGAACACTTCCTGAGCAAGTTTCAAATTTCAGCCATGAAATTCACAATCTATACCACCAAGTGAAGGACGACTCACATGCACAGCCTGTGCACTCCATTGCAAATTCAGAGAAGCACTACATTGGAACCGGCACGCAGTCCTCACTTTGCCAATCTGAATCTGCGGCGGAAGTGGCACTAGCTCTAATATTTATATGACCGTGCACACACCAGCTGCTGCACACGCCATAAACATATTGCAGTCTGCAGGCATGAATGTTTTTAACCTTGAACATCAACCTGAACCCTCCCGAACCCGTCAACCACTACTCTGTTCTCCACGCTCTGAGTTGCTGAATTATATAGTTGAGGTGTGTAGCTCCCTTACATGACTATCGACCACCTTTGATCAGAGGGTTTATGCGGAACCTACAGGCGTGTCAACTGTTTTCTGATTTGTTTTAATTTCTGGAACTGCACCACATCATAACGTACTAGAGGTGTGTACCAGCCAGCCTACAAGTACTTTGGTCCCAGGTTTATGTGGCCCCTATAGGTTGTCCTATTGGTCGAGAAACAGACCATGGCCCAAGATAACTCCCGCCGCAAGAAGCGTTTCACATCTTTCAGAAAAACTAATCCAGAAGCTAACCAGGTTCGCTTGTTTCCATTCCTTCGCTATCGTATCTGATATCTCTGCAGTCTTCTGATCTCCCACCACCGCCCAGTCAATGCCGCAGAGGATGTTTCGCCTTACTTCGTAGCAAGTCCAAAGGTCTTTTCACTCGACGTGCTAGACACCCCAACACCTCCCAACTCGTTTCTCCCATGACGGATGTAAGACAGGTGGGTAGTGTCTTCTGTGAGTGTGTACTGCAGTATTCTTAACAAATTCCCAAAGCAGGACTCTGCACAGCTTGTAGTACCAGAAGAGGTAGTCAACAAGCTTCCGAACATGAGCTCTAACCATCCTAGTGTTTCGCTCAATGACCCCTACGATGGCAGTTATAACGTGAGTGAACGGTCCTGCGCAACACTTGAACTTACTTGATTAATCTCCATGCAGGACCCCACCTCAGATCAGCATGCTCAACGACAGTCTGACATGCTCCCCACAACAGACCAATCGACGCACGAAGGTCAGACAGCCCATGGTGCCGAATTGAATGTACGTCCAATAAAGTCGCTATTTGCTCTGTCCATAACAAATAATATGTTATGATCAGGACTTCGCAACCAGTCTGACCGACAAACCTGGTTTGGATGAGGCAAATGAAGCTCGCCGGGATGCTAGAGAGGCCGTTTCTAGTTTAAAATCCGTTTCTGGGCCTGTGCAAACTGCGCTGTCGGGCATCAATGATGCAGGACACCTGGTTGCTGCGGTCGACCACATCATCCCGTTGCTTGGAAACCTTTCCAAGTTCAATTCTCTTGTTGATACGATTGCAGAGGTATGAAATTTCATCAGGCAGAGATCGCGTCAATTACCTTGTAATGCAGATCCATCCATACGCCAAGGCAGCATGTGGTGTCCTGTCAGTTGTGTCCAAGGTATCTATCCACACGATATCTGATGTTTCTGATACACGTCTGACTGACATACATTTCCGACAGACAATAACGCTCCAAGCAACTCGCGACGACTCAATCAGCCAGCTCCTTTCAAAGATGGATGAGGTGTACATATTTCTCACAGAGAACGACCTGGCAGCTCTCACATCAATGAAAAGTGTTGTCGTGCGGATATGTCAGCAGACGCTCGAGTGTTCCTATTTCCTTCGCGATTACTCCAAGAGCAAGAATTTTTGTGAGTCGAACAGCAATGTGCGGTCCTCCTTAAGCTCACAATCTTGTTTCCCAGGGATCAGGCTGGGCAGAAATGTCGTATCGGAAACTGATGGCAGAGTAAAGGGATACAACACCGTGTTCGATGACCTCATGCAACAGTTTCGGGATAGGGCAGCGCGGGACACAGTGGTGGTCGTGCACCGGATCAAGTTGGAAGGCATCCAGGAGCTGGGTGTAAGCCTGACGCTTACGCAACCTATGACGCAGCATATGACGCAGTCCCTTCGGCGTCTCACCTAGCACATCGCTGCTTGGACACCGTGCACGATACATATAGCTTGACCTATCTGTACTTAGATAGATCTCATCTCTTTCTTACCGCTTGTCAATCATACGCTCTTCCACGTTATCGTTCCGTCTGTTAGTGTTGTCGACTCTTGATGTTCCTTAACATACACGCTCCAGTCGAAGGTGCGGACCTGAGCGGAATGAAATGTGCGGAAGGAACAGGATTGGACACGAGAAAGAAGTGTTTGCCGGGAACCCGAGAGGAAATTCTGGATGAGATCACGACTTGGATCAACAACACGGAGGATGATGCTTCCCGTGTTTTCTGGCTGCACGGAAATGCTGGCACAGGCAAATCGGCCATCGCACATACAATTGCAGATCGTTTCCGAGAACTTGGACGCTTGGGATCCTGTTATTGTCTCGAGCAGCGCAACGGCGTCATGAAAAATTTTCACCACAATCGCACGAGGTCTCGCTGACCGTGACGAGCAAATGCGACATGCGCTAGCGGATATTGTCCATCGTGACAATTCGCTCACCTCCGGGGACGCAATGGATTGTCCCAGTGCTCAACCCTTCGCTTGATCTCAGCCGAATGGCCCACGGATTATCATGGGAGTCTTGTTGTAGAGGACACACTCATGTTTGACATACTCACAGAATCCGGACAAGTACAAGTTTCGCTGTAAACCACCTTAGTTATTATCACACTTACAAGCACCTTTGGAGTGTAACTTTTCTTGGAGATGGTGATTGATTGAACATGCGAGTCTTCTATGTTGACGAATGTCTCATCGTTGATCGCAGACTCTAATAAGATGAATTTGTTGTGTGCCAAAGGGAAGTACGGGTGATTAGTATCGTGGCGTAGGTATTAGCGCATTACTACATTCAGGATGGTCACTCATGGGATACGAATCGAGGATATGGAGCGGAGCACACTTACGACTCGTGTAAGAATACTAATTGTCCAGTACATCTCTTCTCACTTGATGCTGTTGTGCGCTTTAATGTTGTGATCAAGTTGGTGGACTCCATCCAGGGGGTGATCTACTATCAATCCCGTTCTGCTGGAGGCCGACGGTAAGGGGGTTTGGATGTGCGATCAACGGTGGATCTGCCGCTGAATGGAATGCTAGACCATTGAATGGACGTTATTAGCGGCACAAGGATAGGACTGAGTTGGAAAATATTGAAAAGGACGCTGAGTCGTGGTGTACATGTTATGGACTTGTCGATATTTGGATGAGTTGTTCTGCGCCAGTCTAGACTCTAGAGGCAAACGGTACACATGGGTAATACGCCACCGGCCCGGGTGCCTTCTGATAACCAAAGTCTAACACTTTGGCACCATCGACATTGGTGAGGTCTAATGCGTTTGATGGCATCTAGCTTTTGTTTTGACTTCGTATCGTTGTGAATTCCCATACTGAGTACTGAGTACTGTCAGTACTACTAACAGACGACTAGCAACACACTTTCCAAGTAGGTATGTGCAATATTGAAACACCGTCACGGCAGATATATTACCGGCAGGTGCGTGACTTCGGTACTTTCGACTATCTCACTCAATTCTGTTTCAATTGTGGTCGTTCAACCTCGTGATGAGTTGTGTTAGAGAGAAAGGTTGGTGTCCAACTAGAAACACGAGTTTTGTGAAAGTGCCGACTTCTGTGGGGTGCCGATTGCACCGGGTCCGGAAGGAAGTTCAACATGCCCAGCTCGACACTCGCAGTCCTAGCTGATTGTTGTACAGAAATATAGCAGAACCGGTCTGGGCCTTTCCATCTCCGAATGCCTCATGCAAGGCAACATGTGGGTCGAGAGCGAGGTCTCGAAGAGAAGTTCTTCTTCACGATCATATCGCACATTTCCCAAGTACGCTGGAGATTATAAACCAAAAATATGAGGGAATATGAACACCTGTGATCTATTCCCATCATAGTATTGGCGCCTTCGATGCCACGTCTGAATCGTGAGTAGTACGAGGACATATGTGCTCTGGTGATATAGAGCTGATAGTCACAGCTTCTGCCCTCATTTCCGCCCTGGAGCCGAATACGGTTTCACCTGTCTCGGCGCCAAATGATGTTGTCTTTAACATCCTGCTTGCCGAGGATAATACGGTTAGCCAGGCACTAGCAGTCAAGATTCTGGAGAAGTATGGCCACACAGTCGAGATCACAGAGAATGGAAGTCTAGCTGTCGAATCTTTCAAGGCACGAGTACAAGTGAACAAGCCATTTGATATTATCTTGGTGAGTCACTTTTTTACTCGGCGGCTCACTGGTAAATTATTATCTCCCCAAGATGGATATATCAATGCCTTTCATGGGAGGAATGGAAGCGACTGAGCTTATCCGAGCGTATGAGATGCATAAAGGACTCTTACCGACTCCTATCATTGCCCTCACTGCTCATGCTAGTACGTTACAATCTCAAGGTTCAGGGCACTTGCTCATTTACGTTTTCAGTGATCGGTGATCGCGAACAATGCCTGCAGGCAGGTATGGACGATCACATCACCAGTATGTACCTCGTTTACCCATGCATTCTCCGGATCTCACGATACTTATTTTGCAGAGCCCCTTCGTCGTGGAGAACTCTTGAATTCGATCAACAATCTCGCAGGCTGGCGCGCACAGTTAGCCCAGCAGCGCCTCCACCACAGGCCACCTACTTTCATGACAACATGACTTGTATCTTCGCACGATTTCATTGTTTCAGGTGTTGTATACCCTTGTATGATGTCGATTCTAGTTTGTCGATGCTTCTACTCATATTCACGGCCTTTTAACGCTATTCCTGTCAGATTAATCTGTACGATAGGATGTTTGTGGCACTCTCTCAGACTCATTGTGGGATCTCATATTCGAACACCATGTATATTAGTGCGTCATGTTGTACTTTGGTTCATTATACATTCAACTGCTTTCCTTCCGATATTAGGTCCGTTTAGCACTGGTGGAGTTTAAGTTCACGTTGGTCCTTGGTTCTTACTGGTGTATTGTCGATGATTACTCGCTGCAAAATGGCGAAACGTTGTAAAGATACACCACTCATCTGTTCTTTTGAGGATCACCGTGATTATCTTCAACACGCAACAGGTTTTAAAGCTCGAACAGCTGACCGGTCACAATTCTTCATCAACTTATAGAAACTTTCAAGTTCCAGGTATATACAACGGATGTTTTAGGGAACAATCTATATATCCTTCTAAATCACGTATGTAGCTACAGGGGGATGACATCTGATACAGAGATTATGGAAATCAGAGAATAAACACTTTGTGCGAACATATTGTATTCAGTTGACTTAGCACCAACGTTATGAGCTTATCGAGTGGCGCCGGTATAGGCAACCACTACTTCCTTTTCAGCGCCTCCGGGAACGCAGAGATGGGCCATATCATCCCACCAGTGGGCATGCCACTGGAAATATGGATATCGAAGAACTCGATGCATTTCTTCTTGCAGCAACCCGATTTCTTCCTTCTTGGTGCGAGCTTTGGACCACTCGACCCGAAGAGCTGTTAATCGGGCAAGCGGTAAATTTCAGCTGTACGAGAAAAAGCCATACCATCATGGATTACTTCGTCCTCATCCTCGTCGCCTCCGACTGCCTTCGTTCATTTTCTCCTCTCATTGGCTCTGTCATCCCACACCCGTCGTCTTCATTGTCCAGGGAGGGAAATTTGACGTTCTAGCCTACATTGCTGAATTGATGTTCGGATTCTGCAATAGTACACCAAGGAACCGGCGTAAGTGAAGTTCGCATCGTGTTCTGTAACTCGTAGCAACGTTTGATCATGTGCTCCTACAATTTGCTCGGTCATATTGAGATGCAGGTGACGGTCCGGTGGGTGCGTTTGCCGTATCACTGCAATTGTGAAAATTGGGTGGCATCGAGAAAGAGTTCTTCTAAGGACACCCAATGCGGCTACTGAATCTAGAGGCTCAAAGTCATGAGTTGTAGTTTTCCCAGAACCAATGCTTTGATCTATGAATTGTTGTGTGCGACGTCGTTACTCACAATCGTCTTCAGAGCAACAGATAAGTTCGATCTAGACAGACCATATTGCATAGAAACGAAGACGGTCGTTCCTTCTTGGATTATTACAAAGTTGAATTGAATTTTCAAGCCCGTGCGCCAAATCAAAGTCCAATTGCAGCCGCGTCATTTCAACGATTATTAGCACCCACCAAGCGCCTACAGCAGCTACTATGATTGCACCAAAGCTTGATACAAGGCAGACTACAGCGGTGGCCAGCCTGCCCGCTGTAAAAGCAGACGTAAAGGATCCCGAAACACTTACTTTGATCCTTCTACCCTCCGAGTTACTGGTAGAAATCCTTCGTCATGTAGACGGTCGATCTATCTTGCAGTGTTCCTCTGTACGTATGCCATACTGCTCGTTTGTCGTGGACTGAAACTTGACTAATTTTCAGGTCTGCCGCACATTGAACAGGTTGATTGATTCCTCTGCAGAGCTTCAGTATCATATTGAGCTTGCTCTTGATTGCATGCTTGACGGCCCTCCGAGCACCGTCACCGTTTCAGAGCGTCTGGAACAACTGCGGACCCTCCGTCGTGCGTGGACCTTGTTCGAGTGGAAGAAAGAAGTTCGGGTACCCATGCCTGGTTTCTGCCACGCATACGAGCTTGTGGGGGGTGTATTTGCGAAGACGTTCTCTTCGGCGAGCATTGATCACAACCAATCCGGTTCACGAAGATTCATTTCTTCCTGGCTACCATCCTCGTCAGCTCCTGGACACATGCTGGTTCGGAATGACATAGGCATCTCAACGAGAGACTTCGCCATCGATCCATCGCAAGATCTCATCGCTTTTGTCCAGTCTGATGACGACCTGTGCGTCTTTGTTGTCTTTCGCTTTTCGTCGCACAGATGACTGATTGTTGGATGTAGCGTGAACAATTCGAATTACACAGCGGTCCATATACGCACTATCTCCTCCAATGTCAAGCATCCTGAAGCATCATCTCCTATTCTTCGCACCCTCACCCCGTCCATAATGACCAGCGCATTCATACAAATCGTGGATGATGTGATTGGGATGATGTTTTGGATGGAGCTCGACAATCCTCGCATCACAATCTGGAATTGGAAGACAGGTCAAATACTTGTCGTAAGTGCCTGTCTATGAACACCTAGCAGCTCATAGCCAACGCTGGCCTTGCAGGATCGCGACGGCGAAGACTTGCCCACTCATATCAGCGACTTTTCGTTCATTTCGAACCGTGCATACATGATCACGCGCGGGATCGACGGGGGTTCGATCCAAGTTTTCACATTTGGGGAAAATCAACATGAAATCGTCCATGTCGCGAGCTTATCGCTGCCTCTCCTGGAGTCCCGCCATTTCGTGCACTGCGCGATTCATACAGGTCCCTTTGTGGCGAGGTGTCCTCCAAACACGCCTTTCTGGACTAATCAGGAGGAGCGGATGTATGTTCTATCCGTGGATTATATTCAGATGGACCCGCATATCCCTCGAGCTAGGCCCAAATTTTTTCTCTTCTTCAAGAATAGCACTCCTCTCAGATATATACGGAAATACCGTGAACAAAGAGAAACAAGCCCCTTCGAGGTGCCTTGGGAGGAGTGGGGCCCCCACGAGAGCCGCATGCTCCGTCATCAAGCCCCATATCAATGGCTGAGGTAAGAAGGAGTTGAAAGATTCCTACCCCAACCCACGCTGATCAACCTTGAGTAGATACGTCCATGGCTATCGAGTGGTCTTTCCGCTACAATCCAGCAGCATGCAAGTGATGGACTTCAATATACGCAAAACCAAACGGCATGTCTTCCCTCCGCAGCCAGACTCCAAGGCGAGTATTGAGGTCATTGATTACCCCACGATCATCTGGTCGGACGGTCTTTTCCCGGGCTCTATTGAGACAAATTTGCCCTATCGCGTTTGTCGAAGGGATGAGCTCGAAGGCTTTTCGGGCATGATGATCGATGAGCAAAGATTGGTCGGTTTGAAAGTAAGCTATCGTTGTACTGAGGAGTACGTAGCCTCGTGCTGACTGTCTTGTTTTTCAGAGCCCCTCGTTTGCTGATGGCGATATGAAAGATCTGCATGTTTTCGCGTTTTGACTGCTGTTGAACGTTGTTCACAAGATAAGTGTTATTCATAAATATAGATTAGCTGGAAAGACTGTACAAGTATGGAATGATCGCTGGATAAATGAAATCTTATGAATCTCTCGTTCCCTTACATGGATCCTTGTTGTCCAGAGCTCGCCCGCAGTGCCAATAATCATGACTAGGAGTCAACATTTGACGGGCCTAATACCCCCCAAAACACGCATTTAATCTACGCCCCCCCAAAAACCCACTGGCCACTTGATTCCAATCTGTATCATCGTACCCATCTGTTATATAATAACACCCCTGCTACAGTCAAATAATGTGACTTGATCGAGCACGCTGTCCTTGACCATTCCTGTCGTACGTTTCGGTGGCATGCCCATGACTTATCTCGGTTACTATGCTTCCGTGTTGCATTCTCGCCAACACTATTCATTTTGCCATGCATCTGGAACACGCCCTTGTTAACAGTAATGCACTTCTTGACGAAATCACTATTCCAATGCAAAAGCCACCAGTGAGAATTTCGACGGATAGTAACGAATGGGCGTAAGTGACCAAAGGACACGCTTCTGTTTTGGGCCCCACAGACATGCAGTCTCCGTCGTACCCTCCTAGGATTGCGTTGGCTCATTCCCACTCATACGGCTCACGGGTTGTCACCGGAGTCTTGCTATAAAATACAGGCATGTCATCGAAAAGTATATATGTACGCGTTTTTCTAAATTACATCGGTGTAAGTTAAGCTTGTCTCAGCATGAAGCAAAAAACTTGAAAGTTCAATCTACGATAGTCTCGTCCATCAGTGGAGTTCCCCTTGAGTGCAACACCAAACTCCTCGTGTCCATTCTCGTTTCCCTCACATGTAAACACCTTGAAAGACGAGTTTGCGTTTCTTCCTCTGAGAAAAAGAATCATAATGAGCATCAAATCACGATTTTTTTTGGCACGTACATGGAAGGAATATTTCAACATGATTTCACTGGCGAGTCCATGGTTGGGCAACATTCATGTGCGCAATCGGTTGTAGCAGTTTGCGTCAACTGTTTGTAGGTCGAGGGACAATTATTAGGCGCCGTGGTCGTACATGCCCCGCAATCATTCGACGGTACTGAGCAAGTGTCATACGCAGACTTCTGCGTACCACATTGCCTCGTGTCAGTAGCAGATGAAGTTTGGACGGTGTTTGAATCACAAGTCAGACTGCATGTGACTGTCGGTTCTGCCTTCGTGCAATCGCCGTCTCGCACTTTCACACCTGGGGTTCCTTCAGCGCATGGCGCAGGACAACAATCGCTTGCACACAATTTCTTGATGACGTCACTACAGGGCTCTCTGCACGGATTTTAATACAATATAAAGCCTCAAAATGTATGGCACGTACGAAGGAGGTCCCTTTGGTTCAGAACAGCATGATTTGGAGTCTGTGGTCGAAGTGCATTTATATGCGCAATCGGTAGCAGCAGTTTGTGCCAACTGTTCATCGGCCGGGGGACAGTCATTAGGCGCCGCGGTTGTGCATGCTCCACAATCATTCGACGGCATTGAGCAGGTGTCCCGCGCATCACATCGTTTCGTGTCAGCAGCAACACATGAAGTATTATTCTCCGTCTGAGATGAGCATTGGACGGTTTTTGAATCACAGGTCACACCGCATGTGACCGTGGGTCCTGCCTTCGTGCAATCGCCTTCTTGAGCTTTCACACCTGGGGTTCCTTCAGTGCATGGCGCAGGACAACAATCGCTCGAACACGATTTCTTGATGACGTCACTACAGGGCTCTCTGCACGAAGTTTATTACATTATAAAGCCTCGAAATGTATGACACGTACGAAGGAGAACCCTTAGGTTCAGGACAGCATGTTTTGGAGTCCATAGTCGAAGGACATTTATATGCACAATCGGTGGCAGCAGTTTGTGCCAACTGTTCATCGGCCGGGGGGCAGTCATTAGGCGCCGTGGTTGTGCATGGCCCACAATCATTCGACGGTATTGAGCAGGTGTCCCGCGCACCACATCGTTTCGTGTCAGCAGCAGCACATGAAGTATTATTCTCCGTCTGAGATGAGCATTGGACGGTTTTTGAATCACAGGTCACACCGCATGTGACTGTTGGTCCTGCCTTCGTGCAATCGCCTTCTCGAACTTTCACATCCGAGGTTCCTTCAGCGCATGGCGCAGGATGACAACAATCGCCTGAACTTGATTTTTTGATGACGTTACCACAGGGCTCTCTGCACGAAGTTTATTACAATATCAAGCCTCAAAATGCACGACACGTACGAAAGAGGTCCCTTTGGTTCAGGACAGCACGATTCGACTGGTAAGGAGTCCATAGTCGAAGGACATTCATGTGCGCAATCGATAGCAGCAGTTTGTGTCAACTGTCCATCGGCCGGGGGACAATCATTAGGCGCCGTGTTTGTACATGCCCCGCAGTCATCTGACGGTATTGAGCAAGTATCACACGCATTCCACAGCGCACCACAACGTCTCGTGTCAGCAGCACATGAAGTATTCTCTTGATTCTTCGTCTGAGATGAGCATTGGACAGTGATTGAATCACAAGTCACAGATGTGACCGTTGGTCCTGCCTTCAGGCAATGGTCTTCTCCCGCTTTTGCACCTAGGGTTCCTTCAGCGCATGGCGCAAGATGGTTGCCCTCATTCGAGACAATACCCTGGAACGTGCAGTGTGCCGATATATCCTCTTTGTCGTCCCTGAGTTTCGGTGTACTAGACAATTTTCAGTCGAGGACAAGCGCAACGTAGAAGTAGATACAACGTACGAGGAGCCTTGACTAGGCAGGTCTCTAGCCTCATCTCGACCGCAGGGTTCCCCGCATTCGTAAGTGGCCGGAGAAGATGTCTGACCTGTCGTTGGCACGCCTTCAGGTAAAGATGAATCCGGACTATTAAAGGCTGAACTCGGTTGCTGCGTGTTCTTGGATAATGCTACGCTGAAGAGCTGTGCTGGAGTTGGATTGTTTTCTCCAGGTACCGAGAACAGGTGGACGGGGGTAGTTGTTTGCGATTGGTTGACGGGGGGCTCGTTACTCCAGGAGGAAGTTCGGGCTGGCTGTTGGTAGACGTGTTCATTGTTCACAGTCGACCTATAACTCGAAGTCTGCATGGAATTCGTTAAGGTCGTGATGACCTTTGAAGAGGTGGCCACATCCCGTAGAATGTCTGGCTCACTGCAAGGATATTATTCCACTGTAAGAAGTTCAAATAGCGCACTACTTACGCGATTGACAGTTTGGTCCTTATAGTAGTCGAGGACAGGGGAAACGCAGTGTCTTCGGCGTCCTTATCCATCCGCCTATCATTGTTCCCTGTCACAGTGTCTGACATCGATTGTCCGGGCATTCCGACGCTGCAGAAATGATACGCCAAATTTTGCTCCACCTCGCTGTCCATCCTCTGTTCATGATAGTCTCCTCTGGTCACCGAAACCTGGCGCATATAACCTGCTGATGCGTCGACATTGTTGTCCTCAAATTTCGGGATGCTGGATAATTTTAGTCAAGTTAATATCACTAAGTGTAAGAACTACGTACGATAAACTTCGACTACTATATCGGACCCTGGTCACATCACGATCAGGAGCCCCTTGTAAGGAATCACCTGCAGGAGGAGTCTGCTCCATCGCTGATGTGCCTTCAAGCACAGGCGAGCTCCGAAGATCGTCAGGCGTTGTACCTGACGTATGTGTATTCTTAACTGTGATATTTAATGGAGTTGTGTTGCTCTCCCCAACTTGAGGTCCGACGATACCAGATGAATGTACTTGCTGTCGACCTCTGCCGAGTGTATCACCAGTAAGTATCTTGGCGCTAGAAGATGTCTAAACTGACTGTTGTTGGGTGTGCCATTCACCGCTCTCAAGCGAGTGATGAATCCAGGTGGGTTCCGATTCGAAGGTCTTCGAAACCTCGTTGACATCTAAAGACCGGCGCTCGCATCTCGACTCTACGATAGCCTGGTGCATGCGATCAGCAGTTACACCCTCTTCATCAGCCTCATGTTTTGGAGAGCTAGCCAATCTTAGTCAAGAGTGAACGTAGTATAGTAGGAATTACACACTCTGGTAGTTCGTTGATGTCAAGTTTCCGAGCGCTAGTTAACCTTAGTCGAGGACAAAGATACACAGCATAGGGAATACATACGAAAAACATTCACGAGGTTGGCACCAGGGTCCTTCTTGCACAGTGACTAGAGAACTCTGATCTCTGTTCTCAATTGAACGATAACTTGAGGTTCGCACGAAAGTCTTTGAAGCTACGTTGATCTCTGAGGTCTGGTGCTCTCGTCCAGACTGAATGAAATTGATTCCCGCATTCTGTGGAACACCCGGTTCGCTGTAAAAGGTGTATTATAAGGAGCTCGAACTTGAATGAGGTTGTCACTTACGAAAAAGACAGCTTGCGCTCAGTGTAAGTTGATGACAGGGATGAGATATCGCTGTTAGCGTCCTCATCTGATCGACCACCAGCGTTTAATACCATGGCACTCTCGATAGCACTGGAATAAGACTTCGATTTGAGCGTAACCTCACTCTCCACCTCCCGTGCATGATAGTCTCCTCTGCCCTTCAAATCAGTAATTGACATATCACTAGAAGAGAATATCTAAACTGACTGTCGTTGGCTGTGCCATTCACTGTTCGCAGGCGAGTGATGACTCCAGGTGTGCTCCGATTCGAAAGTCTTTGACACCTCGTTGACATCTGAAGACTGAGACTCGCATCTCAACTCTATGATGGCCTGGTGCATGCGATCTGCTGTTACACCCTCTTCGTCAGCCTCATATTTTGGGGAGCTGGACAGTCTTAGCCAAGAGTGAACGTAGTATAGGAGGAACTACGTACGATGAACCTTGATTAAGCTGGTCCTTGGTCATATCTTGGCCACAAGATTCTTCATGCGTGCTAGCGACAAGAGAATGACCCTGATATGTTGTCGATGTCAAAGATTTCGAAATTCCATTGACCGAACTCGACTCCTGCATATTCTCAACTGCTTTGTCGATGGATGGTGGTAAATTTGAATTGTTCTGTTCCAGGGACAGGTAGACGTGGGTAGATAAGGTTGCTCCAGGCTCGTTACTAGAGAATGACTGAGCTGATCGGTACCCTTGGATTGAGCAATCATAGTTCGAAGTCTGCACAAGGTCAATTGAAGCTGCGTCGACCCCAGCGGAAGACTGGTGCTCGCATTCAGACTGTATAAGATCGGCTTCCGCATCCTGTGGGATACCCGGGTCACTGGGAGAGGTTTATCCCAATATCAGACGCTCAAATGGTATGTCACTTACGAAGGAGACAGCATGGTCATTTGGGACAAAGGAAACGCAGGGACATTGGTGTTCTGATTCATTTGCCCATGAATTTTCGATACCACAGTCTTCGACGTGGATCGCTCGACAATCCCGACAGAATGGGAATCTGCTGTCAAGCTGAGGTTGAACTTGCTTTCCGTCTCCAGTTCATGACGGTCGCCTTTGCTCTCCACAGCCTGGTGCACGCACTCCGATGGTTCGGTGCTGTCAATTTTCGGAGTGCTGGATAACCTTAGTCGAGGACAAAATAAATAGCATGGGGATTACATACGATAAGTGTTGACAAGGTTCGTCTATCGCCACATATTGAAAGCAAGGTCCTTCTGGTATAGTAACCGGAGAACTCTCGACTCTGTTCTCAATCGCGCGATGGGCCAAGGTTTGCACGGAAGTCGCTGAAGCTATGTCGATATCTGAGGACTGGTACTCGTGTGCAGACTGAATGGCATTGATTCCCGCATCTTGTGGGAGGCCCGATTCACTGAAAAAACATTGTTAGCAGCTCGAACTTGAACGGGATTATCACTTACGAAGAAGACAGCTTACGCTCAGCGTAAGTTGATGGCAGGGATGAAATGGTACTGTTAGCGTCCTTATCTGATCGGCCACCAGCGTTCAATACCATGGCACTCTCTAACTGCCCGACACTCTCGACGGCACTGGAATGAGACTCCGATTTGAATGTAACCTCACTCTCCACCTCCCGTGCATGATAGTCTCCTCTGCCCTCTAGATCCTGGCGCATATAATCTGCTGATACAGGCACTCTGTCGTCGACATAAGCATTCGGGGGACTGGATAATGTCAGTGGGGGCAATACGACGGTGAAGCTACGTACGAGAAGCTGTGAGTAGGTAGTTCCGTGCCTACAATTTGACCACAGGATCCGTCCTTCAGGTCAATTACTGGGGAAGAAGTCTGACCCATCCTGGACGTGCTTTCGGTCGGAGACGAGTTCCCGAGATCATTGTATGCTAGACTCGACTTTCGTGTATTATCGAGAGCTCTGTGTGGGGCCGGTGCTGGTGTTCCAATGTTCTCCGCAGGTATCAAGGACGACCGGACCAGCACAGAGGAGTCTACTTCTTCACGAGCCCTGTTGAGCTCATCATCAGTAAATTGCTCGTTCCTGAGGGATAAATTTGGGGCTGACTGTCTTTGGATGTGCTCTTCACTGCTCTCAGTCGAATCATGGCTAGATATGTGAATGGAATTCCTTGAAACTGTGTCGAGGTCCAAAGACTGGTGTTCGTATTCAGATTCGATGCGATTGATCATCGAGTCCTGCGGAACACCCGGTTCGCTAAAGGAGGTTTATTGGAGGGCAAAGAACTCGAAGTGCATCACGTACGAGGGAGACATTTTTGACCTAGGATTGATAGACAGTGACAATGCGGCACCGTTGGCGCCCTCATTTATCGTCCTGTCATCGTTCAACACCGCAGACTTCGACGTGTTTCCTTCGACAACACTGACAGTACGGGAATAGGATGTGGGATTTTGCTTCACCTCGCTTTCTGCCCCTTGATCATAATGGTTTTCTCTGTCCTCCACAGTTTGACGCTTGCAATCCTCTTCAAGTTTCGAAGCACTAGACAATATCAGTTGAGAGTAAACACAACGTGGGAAGACGTACGGGGTCACTTGACTAGGCTTGTCCCTGGCTACGTCTTGATCGTAGAGTTCCTCGTGTCTGGTAGAAGTCAGAGAGGGACTCTCGACTATCGTCAATGTACTTTGAATGAAAGATGAGTTTCGAGTATCGTTCGATGCTGGACTTGTCTTCTGTGTGCTCTCGGCCGCGATAACTCTAGTTGAAGTATTGTTTTCCTCGTGTGCTAGGGATGCACAGACGAGGACAGACGAGTCTGCGCACTCGCGAAGGCTATGGAGTTCGTCATCCGTGACTGAGCCATCGTTACATGAAATTGTCTGGGCAGACGGCCGTTGCGAAGGAGGTGAGTTTGGACTACATGTGACAGTCGACAATGGTGCACATTCTTCAGTTACCAGGGTTCCGCGAGAGGGAACAACCGATGTTGACTCCCCCATGCCTATAGTTTGGGATACTGCAGGATCTGCGACTCGATTCTCTTGAACGAGCTCCCGTTCAAGGGTGCTCTCCTGCACTACGGCACGACTGTGCTCCCGTTTGCTGTCTCCAGCTACTTGAGATGCAGAGGTTATGAGCGGCATAGGGTGAGGCAGAAGTTTGACTTCACTCGTCACGATCCCAGCGTTCGACGGGTTAATGGTGATTGGCGCAGGACGCTCGCTGGTAAATACATCGCTTCCAGTACCATCACAAGTTTGTGCTTCGACGCCAAAGGTTGTTCCGGAGACAAGCTGCCAATGCTCGGAGTCGCATACATGCTCTGACTCACAGCCACACACATGCTCCGAGACAGTCATGTTTTCGTCCTCGGATGACGTCTCGGCGGGTCTCTTTGGCACGTCATGGCGTGAGTAATGAGTCGAACGTAGATCAATATCTGTATGATCACCGGCGAGAGAGCTCTGGGCTGGTGGTGAATTGGTGGATAGAAATGTAGGAGATTGCGGAATGTGACTTGGGCTATCCTTCAAGTGAGATTTCTGGTATTGCATGCCACGTTGCCATACATGTGTTTTGGCAACAGGAGATGCCCATTGATCATACTGATCGACATGCCCGAAATCGCTCAAATTGGCAGAGATGCCGATCGTGTCTGCGGGAGGGTGTACGGGACAGTTGGCCAGTTTTGACTGATATTTGTTCGTGTCATTGACGTCGTCGAGGATGCAGAGACACAAAGCAAGGCTTCCTTGGGTGCCCGCCCAAGTACCACGAGAGAAAACTGTAGATGGTTGAGACAGTGGCGAATCACTCAACACTTGGTGTGAGGAAAATGAATAATGCGTGGGGGTGAACTGAGAATCGTCCTTCGACGAAGGATTGGGAGTATTGGTGAATCGAGAATCAAGGACATTGCTTGCCAATGAGTGGCTCGTTGCCGAAGTCGACAAGAACTGGTTTGTGTGGTGATTTACAGGCGTGGAAGGAGCTATACCAGTGTTTGAGTATCTTCGACGCGGTGAAACATCTTGGGCAAAGCCAGCATGTACCGATTGAGCTGGAGGTTCACGAGGTGAACTGCTGTATGCACTCCATCCATCGACATTCACTACCTCGCGGAACCCTGTGATTTCGGATCCAGCGAACGAACCGACTGGAGTGCCTCGCTCATATGCGGAATATTCAACAGCACTAGCCACGCTGTGAAAACTGTCATCAAAAAGCGTCTCTCGGTTGTCACTGTCAACTCACGTAGGAAGCCTGTACGACCCTTGACTGGCGCAATCAAGACGGACTCGAGGTTTCGATGACGTCACCACACTTGGGCGGGACACCGGTGCATGCTCAGACCTGTGAGTAGCGGACGTAATGACCGTAGTAACATCAGCGCTTTGTGCACTGTCACACCGAAAAGTACCCAGTTCCGCCCTAGCATCAAAGCTTGACTCAGCTGATCTTCTTGCTCTGGGAGGGAGTGATCGTGACCGTTCCGTTAGCTCAAGAGGAGATTTCAGGGGAACGAAAGTGTCGCGAGCTTTCAATATGTCAACATCTAAAGATTCTTTTGACGAAAGGCCATATGTAGAGTTGCTGCGGGCCCTGGTATGCGATGCGACGATGGTGGGGTCGGGATCGGGAGTCACCGAACGCTGGTTGTTATCGACCTTGTTGTGATTATCTGCGGAATTATGGGCGTTTTCAGGAATATCCTGATGATACGTGAGAGCTTGTTCAAGACCGTGATTGATGCGATATTTTGTGATGACGGTGTCCTGGCGCATAAAGCTTGTCCCAGAAGAATATGGAATCTCCCAACTCAGCCGTCCGGCGCACACGAGTACATCATACCGGGTCACCTAGGTCATACGCTCAGCAAAATTACGACCTCAAAAGTTGTGGTCACTACCGTTATTTCTAAACTTCCGTAGCTAATGATAGCACCGCTAGTGAGCTGAGGACCAGCCTTGCCCAGGACTGTTGCGGGTGACACGAATGAGCAAAATCGATGCCTGATGGAGCTGACTTACAAAATGCTCCCTGCACTCATAAGTCACAAATGATAGAGCATTTGGATGAGAAGACTTACCTCTAGATAAGCTCGGGCTATGAAAAGAGGTCCGTGACTGTCCAAGGCGAATGGAACAGCGTGAGGCGGGATAACGTTGTCTCGGACTTCAACCTGTGCCATTGTTTGATTTTGTCCGCCAGATAGAACGTAGATAATCACTCACCCAAACTAGAGGCAGCGATGAAGTTTCCTTGTCTGATCTGACATTGGTTGTTTGGGATACCGATTGGCATTTCGACGTCGGTCTGTGCTGAGAGCCAGGTCTGCGAGGGAACTCGAGAGAACGGTCAGCATCAGACGTAACTGGAGGCGATCCCTTCCGATACGCGGAAAAGGTCTGGAAAACATCACGATATGAATGCGACATTTCGAATGATATGACGGAAAAAACTTTGGAACTGCGAGTTGATATGGACTTAGTTGAACGTTTTAAGGTGCAAAGTAAGTTGAGCTCCGTCACGGTGTGAGATCAAACACCAAATCAGACCGTTAGAGACGTTGCATGTCATAGGTTGTTTGTTGCATTACGCCTGACTAGCTCACAGCGAGGCACATTTCACTGCAAAAGGTGAAAGATGGACTGCTAGACCGGTAGAAAGACGCTCGGAACTTATATGGTTGCGGAAGTTGGGAACCAGTTGGCTGGAGATTCAACACCTCGTTGTAGAGTGGGTTCAGGGTGACTTGATAGAAGGGAGAAAAACGTTCCTAATTCATATCGTGAGGTCGAGGGAATTGGAAGTGAAACACACTATATATACGCACCTGAAACGGGACATCAAAGCACGACGCCTAACGATACTCTGTTTCTGGTGTGAACCTAAGTATCAGTACTTCAGTCACGGTAGGTTGGCAATGTGTTCTTCGAGGACTAGTTGATTTGACTCGATTTCGAATTTTCTTATGAATCGTGGCAAATTTGTACAGCGTAGAAGCCTGGAGCGTGCGCAGGCTTGCGCTCAGTGATGGATTGATTAGTATCATGGCAAGTTGGCATGTGCAATGTGCATGCCTCGAGGTCATTGCGGCATTTCAATTTTCGAAACTATACGAGTTACATAATCCAGCGCCCTCCCATCTTGTACTCATCAATATTAATGCTGAAGGGCACGCGGCTCGGGACAACAATAATCACCTTTCACCGGCACTCATGGACCTTGCAATACTACTGTTGTGGAAATTTTGGGCCGGTCAGCTGGAAATTCGCGACCTCGCTGCATCCTCATTGCGCCGCCACTGCCGCAAAGTCAGAGGGTTCTTGCTAGGAGACCTGAGGCACTTTGAATCTTCGAACGACGATCAAAAATACACGTTTTAAATCTCGATTTCAACCCTACAGCAATCCCACGTGTACATTGCACTCGGACTTGTAATCAGTTTGGACTAACATCTTTGATGTTACAGGCTTCGCCACTCGACTTGTCCGTGGTGTACAAGCAGCCAGGTTTGTCACAAGCTTACATTGCACTGGCAGCGCATGCTTATTTGGAGGGATAAGTTGAAGTAGTCGTAGACATCTTCGCAATTCAAGGTACGTATATTTCCCAACTCCGGACTAGGAGATCCTTCCCATGTTGATGATATTCTAGGCATCGCACCGCTATTGAATAAAGATATAACAATCTGACATTTCTAACACGCCACCAGCAGGAACATCCAGTATCGTTGGAGAAGCTACCCCAACAACCTTGCAGTCTAGGGTTACAGGTGTTCATGCCGCAACTGGCAGACCCCCTTCCTCGCAAGACACTCTTTCGTGGATTTCCTGCCTTGCTATCCTCATATTAGGCTCCCCGCATATACATCGCACTTGATGATAATTCCCGCTGCCCCTCATTGATTTCGTGTTCGTTTCGAGACTGCTTTTGTTCGGCCCGTTTCTCTTGGATCGTACGTGATACTGTATATTGTCAGTACATCCTCAATGTGATTTCCGTCACACATATATCTTACATGTTCCTGCACTTCAGTTGGCTCATCGGGTCGTGATAGACCACTGAGTCACCCTCCAATATCAGGCACACCTTGAGCTCACGAACCTGAATTGTCTCAAACGGCCAGAACAGTTGTAAATTAAGGGTCGTGGTGTTCAAGTTCTCGTTGAATTCCTTCGAGGCCACCGTGGGTATGAGGCTAGCGAAATTTACAGTAACATTAGACACAGATTATAATACAAGATAGTTCGTGAACGATGCGCCACATTAAAAGTAATTACCGTAAGCCATATCTTCATCACCGTAAGCCATATCCTCATCATCACTCGAAGCTCTGCACTGGTCACAGACTATATCAGGATAATCGCTGTCGTCTTCTTCGTGTGCACAAAGCTTACAAATGCTCTGATCACATCTGCAGCATGTTTTCTCGTCAAGATCAGAGCATGTCTCGCACAGGAGACCTTTGCAGCCCTGGCACATAAACATGGTGTGCTCCTCTTCTATGCTCTTTCCGTCCCTGATGCAGTCGTAACAGGGCTCCACATGATTGCACAGCTCGCAGGTCCCGATGTATGAGCACGACGATGAACAGAAACGCCGGTGGCACCCAGGGCATGTGATAAACCGACTAGCGGAAAAAGCCTGTGACTCGCAGCCACCGCAAGTCCAGTATCGACCACAGGGACAGGCGAAACTATCTTGTGTGACACAATCAGGGCACGTTGCGGTACCCACCCGAGACCAACAACGAGCATTGCAGCAGTGACGCCCATTCTTTCCGCTCTCTCGAATATTATCCACACAGGCGATGGTCCGGCAAGACAAGGGACGCGCAGAGTGTAATCGGGTTACATCAATATTTGGTGGGGAAAGCCCGGTTCCATCATTAGAAACTGGGCGCCCGATACACCATTGAAGCTCTGATGAACAGAACCAGCGTGCGCACATGGGACACTTGCCCAGACGCGGCAGAGAGCCTGGAAGTTCCAAACACGAGGTACAGAATTTCGTGTTGTGATGATTTGAACACTGTACGATAGGAATGGCGGAAGAGACTTCACAGTCACCATTGGAGCAGGAGATGACCTTGCACATATTGCACGACGTCTGCTTCGCTGAACAGACAGGACAATGCAGACTGTCACCGGAGAAGTGACTCGCATCCTCTTCATCAATGAAACCGTTCTCAACAAGACCACGACAAAAGGCCTGTGCTCAAGAAGGAAGGAATGAATTTTGCAACACACTTGCAACTATGTACTTTACTCGCCTGTACTCGATTTCGTTGTTCTTCTCGCTCTTTCTCAAGGCGACGGGCTGTCTCGCGGTTTTGCGCTTGTTTCGCTTCCCATCTGCCTCGGACAATGCTCCTCACGTATTCTTTAAGTTCTCCTAGGACGGGCAGGATCTCCTGGGGTACTGGGAAACGGTGGTCCTGAAATTTATCATGGACACGCATGGTTGTCAAGTTAATCATAAAATGGGTGTCCATAGCCGGCTGATGTGGTTCTCCTTCTCGGAGATTGAGGATAACAATTGATGGTTCGCGTCCAGACTCCTGTACCTGGTATGATAGGCTTAACGAGTGCCACCAGATGTCCACCGTGAATGGTGGTGGGCGTTCTGGATTGACGGCAGTATAGATGCATCGCATAACTTGAACGACCTGAGGCAGCATAGGATGACCAGACGTCGGGTCCTCAAAAATGATGCTGTTCCAACCGGCCATGTTGCAATTGAGGCTAATGCGGCTTTGAGAATTGAGAACCTGCATCGGAGTTTTAATTAGCCTCCTAATGGTGCGCCATTATGTTGCCGCCCACGGGACGGGTTGGCTTGGCGTTTGAAATCTTCATCCATCACATGTCCTACTTCAAATCAGAAAACTCCCAGACCAGCATGATAAGACTCGCGTCAAGGTTTGATGTCTCCCGAGTCAATGAGAGATACTCATCAGGTTCATCATCCTCAATGAGCATGTCCAATTGTCGTGAATGTCAGGTCCGACCTTGCAATGATTCTTGCTGAAAAATAGAGCTGGTTTCCATATGTTCGAGTCCATTCGGTTTTCAAGTGTCGAATTTTTGGATTTCAAGAAGCATGTGCGTCGCGTGGACGACTCGGATCGATGAGGCCTTGAGGAATTTGGTTTTTAACGTCTTTGCATCATGCAAATAGTCACGGTATCCATCACTTGTCGCGAAAGTCATGTGCATAACACGAGGCGGCCTTGGGCAACAATGCGGATGAAGCGCTTGGTTCCAACTTCCAACAACAAACTCCATGGAAAACCCGGTCTTGGAACAACTCGAAGGTCAAGTTCATCATCCATTCGAAACTGCTCACCTATTGCCAGATGATGTCCACAAGTGTTACGAAATCATATGCGCCTCGAATGAAAAACTGGAGCAGGAGTTGGAAATAGCTGATTCTAGAGGACGCGAGGATTATGACAAGGACCTGGGACGATGGAAGATAGAAGCACGGAAACTCGGTGATAGCGAGCTTCAGCCCAGGAAGTTCGCGTTCATTGGAAGAACTGGAGTTGGCAAGAGTACCGCAATTAATGCAATACTAGGTGCGCCCGTATTATCGACGGCAGCTGATGTGAGTTCATGATGTCATGGTTGTTGACTGTAAACTAATTTGAACTGACAGGGGTCAGAAACAAATTCACCTTACCCATCTCATTTCTGACACTTTGTTATGCAGAGCATGTACATCCGTTCAGACGGAAGTTATCTACGAAAATTTGCCTCCTTCAGAGTGGAGGGTGAGGGTCCAATTCATTGAGGAGGATGACTGGGAAACTGTAAGTATTCGCAACGTTCTGTTGGAATACGGCGGTTCACATTAACTGGTACACAGACTCTATTTAACATGCTAGATGACCTGTACGTATGATTTGTTCACTTCCGCATCACCATCAGCTTATCCTTGTGCGCAGAGAAGTATACCGTGACCGAGGCCCTTCGAACAACGGGCGGGGTACTCATGATGATAGTGGGCCTGCGATGGAGGCATGGGAAATGTTGAAACAGGCAAGTCCTGATTATTCTTTCTGCACTATCACCTGAATGCTGATGTTGCTGCTGGCACTACTGTACAGGTGTATCCTCAGTGAGCACCAACTTCATTCTGAATCTCGACCTTCACAGCTCAATTCTTGCCATAGCCTTCGTACCCTATCGTTCCCCCCGCCTGAGCAAGATGTACATACACTTCTTGAGCATGAGGCTGTAGCGTCCAAGCTTGGAACTGAGATCTCTATATGCGGCGTAGGCTTCGACAAACTGGAAGTACAGGAAAGTTGTGATTAGACATCACAGTTTAATACGTATCTGAACCATACACAGCTTCGGCCGTATCTGACCTCATACTCAAACATTGCAGCGGGGGGGCCAGTGCGTCACAAATTTTAAATCGCGGATGACTGCTGACTATTCGAGGTTTTCTAGCCCGAGTCATCTGTCTGGCATCTAGTAGACAAGTAGAAATCTCTACAATAGATTGACCTACTTGCCTCACTTTTGTTGTAGGGTTCGTATCTATGGAGCATTCGAGGTACTCGCATCCCGTGCAGTTGCGCTCGTAGACGTCCCTGGCTTTGGGGATGCAAATAAAACGAGGTTCGATAAGCAGTGTAAACATTCTCAGGATTTCGTCACTCTGACAGTATGCTCATGGCAGAACAAATCGAACCGAGGAATACCTCAAAACCGCTGAGGTTGTTGTATTAGGTTTGCCGTTTCGGGCGGGCTCTCGTCTCGCGTTAATTACGTGTATCAGTTGCAGATATCAAGCGGGCAGTCGATGACCAGGTAAACTTGACAAAAATACCGGTACGACTTGACTGCTCAATTTGATTGTTAGGTCATGCGCGATTACCTTAAGAAGTTGTAAGTCCCGAAGAACTTTCCAAAACTTTGTGCACACGCATCAGTTGATCGTCATAGCCTGCGAACAATGATTAGAGTAGACGGAAGCATGGAGTCACTTTTAATAGTCCTTACTGGAGCAGATGTACGCCACCAGTCCTGTTTCTTTGATCGGTCTAGTTCACATTTATCATTTACCAGGTGCCAATTAACGAGGACCAATTACATCATCTCGATGCAAAGCAACGTGGTGTAATCCAGGAAATGTGTCAGGTGCATAAGCTAGTTCCAAGTTGAAACTGACGTGGCATTCAAACATACAGTAGGCTATCGACAGACTCGACGACAGCCTCAAAGAAGTCGAGGATAGCAGCAAGAAAATCAATTATACTAATTTGGCCGCATTCAAAGAAATCGTGGAGCTTCAGCAGAGGGTTTGTATCCGTTCATGTCAAGGTCATCAATCGGTTGACCGAATTTACAAAATTACACAGCAGCGTGACATAACCAGTAAGTTGCGAACCAAGCAGGCTGAAAAGAACACATACATCGCAGTGTGTATACCTGTTTGTTAGATCTTATATCTGCTCATTTGCATCACATCAGCACCAACGAGCTGCTCGTGTACGAGAGGTCTTTCTCCATCTCTATCGTCAAGTATACCACAACATCAGTAAACAGGTACTTCACTTAACTTTCGTAAGGGCATTGTAGTCAAGTCTTTCTTTTTTTCAGGATACCGCTAAAGAACCCCCTCCACTACCCGTTTTTTGTGTTGGGAGCACAGATTTCAACCAACTTTTGAGTGTGGGCGGACGCAACAGAGCTCCTTTGGTTTTTACCAACCCCGAAGATGTACCATATGTGTTGCTTTGACCAGACGAATATCCTGACTGATTGTTGTAGACTGGTATACCGCAATTGTGTCGACACATCCACGACTTTGGCCGCAAAAGAGCACTTTCCGACATCAAGACCCATATAAATCAATGTACCTTGCTATGCGCCGAAGTCAATAGTTTCTTCAAACTTCTCTCCGCCAGGAACGATTCCATGTCAAAAACCCATGAAAAAGCAGCAAGAAGTGCATTGACAAAGTTTAAACGCGTGAGTAAGATGATGTCACTTGATAGTAACGTGGACTGAATAAGTGCGAAAGCTTGTCGAGGAGACATGCGAGGAATCAGGAGGTAAAATCGACAAGAGCATCAAGGAGCTGGAGAACGCTCTTCGAGACGAAGCTGAGAATGTCTACCTCGCAATCCTTGTATGCAACGCCCAACGCTGATTGAATATTGACTGCACAGGCCGCTGACTGCAGTCTCGGCATCATTATGTCGCTTGGACTATGCTACCGATATCAGACCTATCGTGCTGTCATGCGCAGAGAGGGCGAATGGCAATCGATCGATCTAAATGAGGACCTCGTACGCGACATGTTGGAAGGGAGTGTTTCAAGGTTCGTCGTTTTGTAACAGTAGATTCGTTGATCTGAACCATCAGGGAAGTATATGGCACGAATTGTTCAATGATTCCTGGAAATCAGAACTGGAGTTACTCATTTATGTAAGGATCATCGTTCGCCATACTGTATCATGCATTCACTCCGCTTCAGTCGATTTTGGGTCACTATCGTGCGGCGATAGGCTCTATCAGTATGTACTCGGACTAACTGCCGGTGAAGCGATGTTGACCTTGATTGCTGTGCAGAGGACGGAGAGAAACAAAACGCAAAACCAAAAATTGCAACACGCGTTCAAGATGCCATCAAGGCAGAAGACACCTTGGATACCGCAAAACGGCGCTATTTATTTGCCATTTCGAAGATGCAAAGGTAAGGCCTCTTGTCACCATTCACCGATTTTACATATCATTATTTCGCTATAGAGAATTTGGTGGATCCTTCAAAGGATTCATTCGTAACGAGCTTAAAGCTCATTACGATCTCGTTGGAAGTGAGTGCGGCAAAGGAATGCTCCAACGAATGAAGGTGAGTACAATCATCCTGACTTTTCGTAACAAATGCTCAGGTTATCGTCTTGCATTAGGACATGAATGAGGAGTACTTTCGTACGGATAACGCGCAAAAACTATATTCTGGCCTTGTCGATGATGTTATGTTGGCTATTCGCTGCGCCAAAAATGCAGGAGACAGGGCGCTCGAGGAAACAATTCCTCGACTATGTGCTCACATCGAGCGCAGGTTTGTCTGTAGGTTGCTTATTACTCAGTCTAAACAAGCATCGACTGACATTCACATCAGTCATTCGGAAAAACGATAAAATGAGCAAAGACACACGGAAGAAGATGCTGACATTCCTCGATGAACAGTACATCAAATCTCTGGCAGAGGTCACACTCATCACGGATAGGTACGAAGAGCGCGATACGACACCGATGGAGTAATGCGCCGATGTACGGATATTGGTTGTACTTCTTAAGACTCGTAAATCTTCCTTGTGTATAATTACTTTACAGTTACTTGAGCTTGGGACATATGTATGCACGTTCTCGGAATAACACACTTATCATTCATATTGGTGTAACTACTAGTCTGGTGCGATAACGGACCCGCGTCAATGTCCCACGCGGAGGGCAAGATACACTTGTCGGTCTCACTGCCCACACCGAACGTGAAAAGGCCTTCAGAACAGTTTTCGAGACAAAGTTTTGACATAAGCAAAGTGCTCCGGATCCTACATAAATTCGAAAACATATTAACGTGCTCTCCATGATTCAGGTACTAATCTAGCTGAACGTACGTCGTCAACGACCGATTTTGAAGCTATCTAAGCTACCTTAGCTACAGCCTACAGGGTAGAATACAATATCGTACATATCAGTTAACTTCAAACATATGGACGTATAGATAGCAATATGGAAGAACGAAGTTTTGGACAAGGAAGCGTTTCAAACTTAAAAGATGACGTACGAAACTAATAAAATGCAGATGACTTGTGCGGTACTTAGTACATCGGACACAGATCCGGGTTCCGTTGCAGTCTAGGTACTTATGTTGGTCCATTTAGAAAGCGGTCGATGGCACGGGCTGAAAAAGCAATGGCAATGGCGTTACCCAGGGCTCCGGCATACGGAAAGCGCTTTGCGAGTGCGAGGGCGGATGGGAATGTGAAGTTGAATGAGAATGCGAGGAGGGGTGAAGATGCGAGGGCGGGTGAGAATGCGAGGTCAGGTGAGAGATAATATGCGATGATTGTGATGAGGAAAATGACAACGGCACGGGTGAAAAGGTCTGATGTCGTGCGGAGGTCGTCGATGACCGGCGCGTACGCTCCCCCATAAATGCGGGAGGCGAAACGCTGTGGGACGACATGTAAAGAGAATGCAACGAGGACGCCGACGCCGGCTGTGAGAACGAGTGCGGGGCTAAGCTGCTTGACATCGTATGCAACGAGCAGGGCACAGCAGGAGAGCGTGTGGTTGATGACACAGGAGGCGACTGCGCGGCTGATTGGGTCAGCGCCATGTGGGATGACTCCTCTGGCAAAGTGTCAGATAACTTTTGCAGATGGTGCACTGCATCGTGTATACGGTTTCGTAGTTCCTGCGCTTGCTGGGGTTTGTAGGTGTTGTAGCCCATGGGCCAGCATAGGGTCTTAATCCACGTCTCCATGATGTGAGGCGTCCACTGGACACCATTAAGTTTCGTGCCGTGGCGCAACATTGCTACAATGTCAGTAGGATCTTCTTTCTTGTAGCGTACGAGCTTGAGAGCAACACCCCAAAACATGGTCACGCTAACGACAACGAGACCTGGTGAGTTGTAGACGGTGTTCATATCAATGTTGTTCGCCTGCTTGGAGTCATGGTAGATGGGGTCATATAACTGCCCTTGTGTGCTGAAGGAAGAGCGTGAGATGTGTGGAGGGAAACTGCGGAGCGACTCACTTGTGGGCGAATGGGAGGGCAACATCAGGGTCTGCATTCATCCAGTCGGTGCTATGAGGCGTATGCATCGATAAATGCCTTGTGTGAGATACGGAGAAGGATTCACATACCCAATGCGAAACTTGATGGCAACAGCGTTAATGCAACGCTGTAAGCGCTCTTCAGCGTCATAGACCCCTCGCTTCCGCCACTCATGCCCGAATGCCCGGCGTATATAGTCAATATCTCTCGTAGTTCGTCGACAACTGGATATGGAGAGGTTTGGGTGTAGAATCATTACTGCGCCACCATGAATGAATAGGCGGATTTGGCGACCGAACTCTTGTAAGACGAGTAAGGAGAGTTCACCGAGGAGGGTGAGGAGGAACTCTCTTGAGAGCTGAACCTCATTGTGTGACGAGGATGTCATGAGTGTATGCTCTACGGAGTGAACGGAGCCTCGTGTGTCACCAAAAACTTGAAAAGGGATGGATGGATCCGCTTTGAACACTAAGCAATCCTTTTGTTAACGCATCGGTCATAGTCCGCTTTGGAACGAACGCTTACCTTCGCAACTCTGTGTGGCCTCCACTGCCAAAAATTCGGTTTCGGTTGAGTTCGGCAGCTGTGCGAAGGTGTCGAAATTACTTGCCTACACGCCTTTGCCTCGTGTGAGTCCCACACGATATCGCCGAAAGTCAATGCCAGGGGGTGCCTCGGGGGCAGTGCTAGTAAGCTGGCCGTCGGAGTTGAGTTGGGCTAAATTCAACGAGGTCGTCCACGCTGATTCAGTAGCACGAATCGATGAACGTTGTTGGAACCAGACTGGTTAACGTTGCCTTCAAATCGCTCAAGTAGCTCTTTAGGAAGAGACAAAGGGACAGGTTATCCGAGTCTATATATGCCCATTGCATAATGAGGACCAAATCGGGTAACACAATGGGGTACTGTACTTCAACTTCCATCAATACTAATCACGGTGAGTTGGCAGTGGATAGCATCTTGATTTTTAACTTGTTTCATCAAGTTTCGGCATTCCGCGTTGTCACAGTTAAGTTCTATGCCAACCACCATACTGCTGTATTAGCATGGCAAGCAGTTTCTTTGATTCCACAGCATCAGGTCCAGGTTCTATCAGAGCAATCGACAGTCACTCTGTGCATAGGATCACCTCTGGTCAGGTAGTCATCGACCTTCAGACAGCAGTGAAAGAACTTGTCGAAAATAGTCTTGATGCCCGTGCTACAAATATCGGTACGTCACATCCTCAATTGACGCCTGTGTACGCAATTGACGTCTAGAAGAGGTCCGGTTTCTTAACTACGGGCTCAAGTCTATCGAAGTTATCGACAATGGATGCGGCATAGCCCCAAAAGATTATGAAAGTGTCGGTAAGCCTCGTCCTTTTGGTATCCATGTTGGCACTTCATTGCCGCTCAGCCTTGAAACACCACACATCCAAACTTACTGCCTTTGAGGACCTCTCAACTGTCTTGACCTTTGGTTTTCGGGGAGAAGCCTTGTCCTCGCTGTGCGCTTTGAGTGATAGTGTCACCCTCACGACTGCCACCGCTAATGAGGCTCCGATGGGTACCATACTTGAAATAGATCGGAACGGTAGACTTAGGAATTCCAATTCCAAGGTCGCAAGACAGGTATGTAGGACTTTCCTACATCTTTCCTAGCATAATGGTGGTATGTGCAGCGAGGAACTACAGTTGTTGTATCCTCCCTTTTCAAGCCCTTGCCAGTGCGACGTAAGGAGCTTGAAAGAAATGCGAAGAGGGAGTTTGGTAAGGCGTTAAACTTGCTATATGCATATGCGCTGGTTCCGTGCGCAAACGAGAATAGAGGTGTGCGGCTGGCTGTGAGCAATCAGCCTGAGGGAGGGTACGTTATCGGCTTCCTTGTGCCCGTAGAGGCGCTCAACGCTCTACCAGCCGCAAAACTGTACAGCTCAAAACTGATGGGTCACCCTCCATCAAAGCGTCGGTTACAGCATTGTGGGGGTCAAAGGGGCTTGAGAACATTGTTGACCTTGATCTCTCGTTTGATGTCCAAACGGAGAAAACTGTCCTACGGCGTCTTGACCAGGAGAGGTGGTTCCTTTTATCTCTTTTCAGCAACCAGTGGTGCTGAATACAGCTTATTTCAGTGCCAGCGTTACCACAGTGAAAGTCCGTGGACTCATCTCCAAGTTTGCTGTAGGCTTAGGCCGCACAGGAAGTGACCGGCAATTTTTTTTCGTTAATGGGCGCCCCTATAACCCTGGAAAGGTAGTAAAACTGTTGCCACTGATATCTACATCTGATTGCGAACATTCCCAGATCCAGAAGGCATTCAATGAGGTATACAGATCATTTAACGTCGGCCAGTCTCCCTTTATCATAGCAGACTTCATTTTACCCACTCGTGAGTCCTTCACTCCGGCGGTATAGCTCATCTTCACTCGAAGGCAGATGCCTGCGACGTCAACGTTAGTCCCGATAAACGAACAATATTTCTCCACAGCGAGCAGAATCTAATTCAAGCTTTGAAGGTACACAGGAGGTTCATCTCTACATTTGTTTTCTCATTATTGTCAAAGGCAGCTTTGGAAGAGGCTTTTGCTTCGTCTCGCTCGACGTTTGATGTCGGTGCTCAATCGTTACAGCAGCCGACACTGCACCCATCATTTACGCCAAAAGCTTCGCTCACTCAAACAAAACACACGAGGGCCACTAGTCATTCTGCCGGTACAGCTGACATCAACCCACCATCAGAAAAAGACCAACCAGCTGAAAGGGGCCGTGAAGATGAGTCCATCACGATGGGCGCCCCCCACCTACTTCTTGAACCCGAGCCGGAGCGGCCATCACAAAGCGAAACAGACCGGACAGCAATGGTATCACCCTCTGCACAGTCCGACAAGATCGGGCCGGCACAGCCATTGTTTTTTCCTGGTCCCGATGTCCAAGAGGGCGGAGACAACGGACAAGCTACTCGTTTGGCCGATCATCACGGATCCGATCAAGAAGACGAGACTGCCCGCCAGCAAGTTGTTAGCGCCATTGATCGTATACGTGCGTCACGGGAGCTCGACGAAACGAGAAAACGGTCCGTGAGCCAAGCACCATCGGCACAGACGGTTTTAAGCACCAAGGGCGCTTCGTGGAACCGTGGACGGTCTGGGGGCGATGATATTCAAGACGATGGTCCCAGAAAGAGACTGCGTTTGGCTGAACGGGATGGGAGGGCGAGTTTTAGGTTTACATTGAGTCAGTATGCAAGGGCTGGAAGCAAGGTAGCCGAGACTTCTGGAGATCGGACTGAAGACCATCTTCACACAGTAGGCATGAATGCTCGACGGAGTATATCCGAGGAGACTGATGGTGCTGAAGAGCAAGACCAGTTGATGGAAGACGAAGAAGTGGTGAACATAACTTCGAAGACTCGACCAAGACGGATCTCGGGCCGTACTGGCAGAGGGTCCGAGGAGACTGCTGTTTTACCCGATGATGCCATGGTTGTTGAGGATTCGGGACCCGCCCGCCGCCTCCCTCTGGTACTTGAGGAACACCCAGCCCCGGAACCAGACTCTCATGCAACAGATCAAGATATTTCTGACGTCGTTGACCTCACAGAAGGTGACGTCAGTATGACTCTAGTGGACACCGAGGTGGACGCACCGACTACTCATTCTCCAAAGGATCATCTCCCGCCGGTAACCTTACGCTGTGATCTCAATAAGATCCGCCATACATGGTTGCATCTTGAGCGGGGTAAACCCACTCCTTCGGGGCTCTCCAGCACAGCTTCCCGAATTCGCGATGCATTGGACACGGCCAACGTGGAAAACGTGGAGGATGACGCCAAGGCTTCTGTTGCTCTTTCCCGGATCATATCAAAGACGGACTTCAACAAGATGCAGGTGGTTGGTCAGTTTAACTTGGGCTTCATTGTCATTCGGTGGCAGAAATATGAGGAAGGGCTAGACGACTTGTTTGTGATTGATCAACATGCAGCGGATGAGAAGTACAACTTTGAGACGCTCCAGCAGACAACTATCATTGAATCTCAGAGGCTATTTAGGTGAGTGTTGTGCACTGGCACAATGGAACAACTAACTGAGGCACGGTAAAGACCTGAGCCTCTGGAGTTGACGGCTGCAGATGAGATTCTAGCAGTAGAAAACATCGATGTTCTGAAGCGGAATGGTTTTGAAGTTATCCGTCAGGGCGGTCATGACGACGACGAGGGCAGGCTGCATCTCATAGCACAGCCAGTGAGCAAGGACACAGTTTTCGATACGAAAGGTATTTCATGGTTTCGTGAATCAGTAAAGGGTCTATACTAATGATCATGTGCAGATCTCGAGGAGCTTATCCATCTCATGCATGACCGTCCCGTAGGAACAATGGTAAGGTGTTCAAAGGCGCGAGCCATGTTTGCCATGCGGGCGTGTCGCAAAAGCGTCATGATAGGAAAAGCATTGAGTATGAACGGGATGACTTCGGTATGTCATGTAACAATTTACAAGAATCGCTTTAACCTAAACTATATCGCAGATCGTGCAGCACATGAGCACTATGGATCAACCGTGGAACTGTCCACATGGACGACCGACGATGCGTCATGTGTCAGACTTGACCTGCTTTGCAAGGTATCATCCATTCCCGCGCACAATCGATTGGACTGCGTTCGGACCTGGCACATAGGCCACCTTCAATGTTCCTAGTTTGGGATCTCTCTCAAGCTCAACCTTGGTTACCCCATCACCACCACTATCATGAATCTGACTGTTACATGCGGATCTACACATGTATCTTTGACGAAGGGTTGTATATATAGTACGTGCGAAGAGTCGTATATATAGTACGTGTGAATACTCATGCTTTGATTGTATCGATGTTGCACTTGCAATTCTTAACATCTTATCTGCTGAACTGTAACCACCATGTCGATTCATTCCGTGAGACGTGAGTGTGCTAACCTCGCTTGGGACAATAGGTATTCAATACTATCTCGACTTGTTGTTGCACAAAGGCTGACCCACATCTCGCACAGCATTCCTCCTGCACTGCATGTCAAATCGGGCGACGAAATCACCTTTGATTGCGCTGATGCATCGAATGGACAGCTGACTGCAGACTCAACAGTCGCAACTCTAGAAAACTTAACAAGCTTGACAGGGTTTAATCCAGTGAACGGTCCCGTATTTGTGGATGGTGCACAGCCTGGTGACACACTCCAAGTTGACGTTCTGCGCATCGAGAATCCCGAATGGGGATGGACGGGGCTATTCCCGGGATTCGGACTTCTTGCGGATGAGTTCCCAGAACCGGCGCTCAAGATCTGGAAACTGGAGCAGGAGGGGTTTGCGTGGTTTGATGAGAAAAAGGGTATAAAGGTACCCCTGAGGCCGTTTGCCGGGGAGATGGGGGTTGCGCAGAAGAAGAAGGGTGCATTTTCCGTTGTTCCGCCATATCATACGGGAGGTAATATCGATACGAAGCATATTACGGTGGGTTCGACTCTGTTTCTTCCAGTTGAAGTGGAGGGAGCACTGTTTAGCATTGGGGTGAGTACTTGTTTGTAAATATTGACAAGATGATTTGCTTACAAAATTGTTATCATGTCATATTTAGGATGGTCATGCTGCACAGGGGGACGGAGGTGCGTGCCGAAGCCGGCGGCGCCCTGTACAAAACTGATCCGGGGTTAAATTATGTTACGTCAACAGAAGTATGCGGTATGTCAGATCGGCCTTGAACATACACCCGATCAGAAATTTGACCTCGATCTACATGGCGATAGGATCGGCAATCGAGACACCCATGAAAGTCACGGTGCGGCTCTCAGTAAGGAAAGACAAGCCGTACACCAAGACACCACATTTTAGCACGGCTACTGCTGATACCCCGTCCGGGGAATATTATTGCACCACCGGCATCGACTCGGGTATGAAAACTTAAAATGAAATGATTTATACTGACGCGCGGCTTTATGTTTTTCCGGTCAGATGTTAGGGAAGCGATGAGATCAGCTGTGAGGAACATGATTGCTTTTCTGGTTGCGGAATATGGGTTGGATAGGGTAGGAGCGTACATATTGTGCAGCGTCGCAGGAGATTTGAGGATGCATGAAGTGGTATGTGGGCGTGCTGGTCTTCGGGTTGAGATACTAACTACAATTGTCAGGTGGACATGCCAAACTATGTGGTATGTAATGTTATGTCAGCCTTGTGACAACGCTGACTCGACTGACCAATCGTTCTTCCGCAGATTGGGATGATGATGCCTAAGTCAGTGCTCGGACCGTCAAATGAAGCGTGAAGAGTACACGTTCTCATATAACGAGCTGCCAATAAATTCTTCCTTCGCCACATGTACCGAGCAATACTTGATATATGGAACGTGAAACCAATGCACGTTATCAAGTTACCACGTAACAGATAATTCGAACCTGACAGCGTTAGTGCGGCTCAATGTAATGAATCAACACTGCACCGGTATGACTCACCGGTAGAACAATAGCGCCAATATGTTCATTGTCGGGCAACGTTGTATCAAGGGTACGGATCAACTTACAACACAACACCACCAAGGTTTGTCACGTTCGGCAGCCGCAGAGTAAGAATGGTGTCTCAGAACATTGTATCCCTCTGACAGTACTTGATCGGTGTCGTAATGAAGTATGACCTTGAAGGATCAAATCATAGTGCTGAACGCATGCATTATGGCGGTTAAAATTTTAGCATAGCCCGCATGATCAAGACTCGGAGTTGTACGAGTTTGCTGACCATGATGTAGTGTACTGTGATTATTCATTGAGTATAAATTAGGTAGTTGGCGTATTATTATTTCCCCATTTGGTGCAGCTCCGAGAAGATGTCGGACTCTCGAAAAGGAAAGATCTGGATTAGATCTTGGCAGGGCCCAAATCATCTTTGGATTTAATGGGCTAGCGCTTGCCAGCGCCCGGTACTACTCAACAGCACTGCTTCGCTCTTTCTTCATTCTCTTCTTCCATGGCTCAAACGAAATCACATTCTCGGTCCTCTCTTGATATGTTCTCTCCAGTTAACCTGAAGCCTGTACAAGACGATGCTTGGTCAAACATATTCAAACCACCTCCCAACGAGTCCGTCGAGGAGAGACGAGACCGCATTGCCCGCCAGCAAGAGGCTCAGCGAGTTTCTCGGGAAATAGATGAAAGTATTCTGGAGTCCAAGAAGTTGTTCGACAAGAAGAAGAAGGCTATCAAGGTCCTACTATTAGGTATGCCTATCTCGATAGTTCTCTTCAGATAGCAGCGCTAACATCGACATCATTGTCATTAGGACAGGCCGAGTCCGGGAAATCAACAATGTTACGAAGTGAGTATAAAGTTGTATCTCAGTTGAGTCTTTGAATCTGACGTGTCAATACAGATTTCCAGCTCGCATTTTGTCCGACCTACTTCCATGGCGAAGCACTCATATGGAAGACCATCATACAACTTAATCTCATTGGGTACGTAGCCTCATTTCCTAAGCTACTTCTTGTATCTCATACTAAGAAACATTAGTTCCGTGAAAAAACTTCTCTCAATTGTCGAGGATGAACTAGAAATGTCAGGCCCCCGTTCTCGGTCCCCTACCGGATCTACATCATCATCACTTTCAGATCACCACCGACGTACACGAATGCGACTTCTTCCCCTGTTGTCAATGGAGACAAATCTCACGCGACAACTGCTCCCTGAACACTACGACCCCTCAAGAACGCCCGAGATCTGCGTGCGGGCTGGTAGCGGATGGAAGACCGTCTTGGAGAGAGTCACATTGGAACGACGGGTCCCTCCCACCGGTCAGCGTCGACCAATGACGAATGATGGGCGAAGCAAGGATGATCCGACTTTGGTACTTGCTGCGTCCAAGAATGATATCATTTCATTGTGGGAGGACGAGAGCGTTCGGGAAGTACTCAAGCGACGTGGAGTTCGACTAGAAGACTCTCCTGGTTTTTTTCTGACTGACACGGCAAGAATCGCAACGGTGGACTATGAGCCTACGGAAGGTTTGTTACACCCCTGATAATTTTTCCCGTTCCTTGCCCTGATATACTGTCACAGAGGATATCGTCCGTGCTAGATTACGAACATTTGGTGTAGAGGAACATCGCTTCCTTCAAGATAATGGTGTGTGACCCTACTTTTTCCTTTCGTATTTCCCCTAACCCGTGTAAACAGGTTCAGAGTGGTATATTTACGATGTTGGTGGCAGTAGATGTATGCGACCCCAGTGGGTGCCCTACTTTGATGACGGTAAGCTTTGACGACATATCTGAAGGCGTGGCTATTAACATCGCTTGTAGTTCAAGCTATTATTTTCCTTGCACCCCTGTCATTCAACCAAGTTCTCGAAGAAGACCGACAGGTTAACCGACTTGAAGACTCAATATACCTCTGGAAAGAAGTTTGCTCGAATCCCCTCCTCGCGCGTGCGAACATCATCCTATTCCTCAACAAAATGGACATTCTACAAAAAACTCTCGCAGCGGGGATCAAAGTAGCAACATACGTGCCGAGCTATGGAAGCACGCCTAACGACGTGGAAAACGTGACGAAATACTTTAAGGAGAAGTTCCGAGCTTATCACGTAGGTCGCGTCTTAGGTTTTGATATGAAATAAACCCTGATTGGGACTTCATAGAAACGATTGTCCCCGAGACCTCGGACGTTCTTTTGTCATGAGACCTCTGCCATTGTGCGTTACCTTTTTGGCAGTATTTCCTTTGTCCCAGGCTCACACCGGTTTGCACAGGATACGAAAGCAACGCAGGCTGTATTGGCTGGAGTCCGTGATGGCATTTTGCGCCATCATCTTGAGGAACTCAATGTCATCTGATTTTTATTTGCACCCACGCCCCCTTATACACGCCTTATTCCTTATCGTCAGTGTTGTGATTGTGCTGTGTTGTCATCTAGGCAGATTATATTATTATTTATATCTACCACCCTATCTTGTTTTCTGTCTTTTCTAACTTAATCTCTGTTGTTATTACTGGGTAATTATAATATCACGACATAGATAAACCCTTGTGGTGGAAAGAGCTGGAGATTCGCACAAATTTATTTTATGGGAGTTCCGACTTCCGTCTGCCTGGCGGAAAAGAGGAGAGTGGGCGGTCAGCCAGCGTGCCCACGCATGTTCGCTTGCATAACAGCGATGGTAAGTGATGCGAGGCACGAAAAAAGATTAGACTCATTGGAGTAATATATTCGGGTGAGTGGACAAGTTGATAACGGCGGCAGCACTCCTTACCCTCCCCCGCCGACAACAACTGTTCGATGCGACTACTGCTTCGTCGAGTTCCTTCTTTTCTACGACCGCTGTTGCAGCGCCATCGCCAGTACTAGTGTCAACCGCAGGGATCCTTTTCAGAGCAACAAGCTGAAGCGCATTGTCGTAGCGCTTTGCATAGTAGGGCAGGTTGATGAACAGAACGTAGAGTATCTTCCATACTCTGCAGAATACTAGATTCGTCTCGAATAGCATGCTTGGCTTTCCACTCTTTCTTGAGGCATGTGACTTTTGAGTGTGGGTATATCAGTTTGATTAATTATGAGTTCGCTAATACCAGGAATGGGAACTTACCATGTTCCGCTAGACACATTCCGCCATGTTGACATGATGGAGAAGTTGCCAATGCGTGAGTGATTACGCCCTGCCATGTTGACATGATGGAGAAGTTGCCAATGCGTGAGTGACTACGCCCTGCCATATTGACATGATGGAGAAGTTGCCAATGAGCGAGTGATTACGCCCTTCCAATGCCGACAAGTGAGAAACCTTAATTTCGCCCGAAACCACGATGCGCAGTGCGCGCTGAAAACTGACTAAAGTACCTGAAAACTGATCTGGGACGCCACAGGTACATAGCTTTTGATTGTAGGTAGCCATGGTGTGACGCTCAACAGCTTGAATGTTTTGCCAGTAGGTTCCAGGGACAGTGAATGTGAATGTGTTGACGTTGATACCACCGCCAATCTCATCCAGTGACGGGATTGTGCTGTGAGCGCAGGACAATATTGTTGCGACCGCGAGAGAAAAGAGAGCGAAAAAGGCAAGAATTGTGATGTATAAGCGTCACATCTTAAATCTGCGGAGAAACACAGGAAAAGATGTCATCCTCACTACTGGTATGGCATAGTATGGCATTGGCAGGTGCTTCGCAGATGGCCGGTCGTACGACTCGAACTCACAATGCTGTAAAAGATAGGCAAGTTATTTCGCTTAACAACTTTCAAGAGGTACCAATACGTACACGAATTGACGTCCAAGGAGGTTGTAGCGGTATTTCTGTGGCTTAAGGGTAGGATTATTATATCTTGAAAGTCACAAGGGTTGTATGTTGATAAGTTCAAATCTGCGTGCAACGAGTGTTGCTTAACTCCGGCTGAGTGCGCCTGTCCTTCCTCGTTGCCTTCCGGATCCGCAGGAGGTAGCGTAGTGTCCAAGACCCCAAGGTTGTTTTGCTGTCCAAGGATGCCAAGGCCCAAAACGAGTGTCTTGCTCCAAGTACTACTACTAGCTGTAAGAGGGTTCCCACGCGTCAAGGAATGACTCAGCGCCACCCATCATGATCGACCCGGCACCACAACATGTACAGCAAACTCTATACCACGCTTGAAACATTAGAATCTTATCCTCGGAGAGGTGCTTGTCGTACGTAGACTCATACAACGAGGATGAACCATGTAGTAAGTACGTCGCAAACTTTTGTGGAGTCTCCATTGACTCTAATGGTGCTCCGACTCCACTTTGAGTCCAGTAGACATCAATTTTCTGGATATGTTGGTTGTTTCAAGCCTTGTCTCCGCTATTTCCGTGCCAAGCCTCATCCGTGTTGTGTCCACCCCATGTCAAATCCCATCCATGCTTTGTTAGTGCCGTGTCAAGCCTCACCCATGCCGCGTCACGACCGCGTCGACAATTTCAGTATCCTAATCATATCGCATGGCCTGCGCTTGGTTAAGTAGCTATCCTGATGCACATATTGTATCAGAAAACCTACTACGTCTTTTCGCTATGCAATCCGAGTCTGTTCTAACTTCTGGCTCAGTATGTCTGTCCATTTGTTCAACTGTGCACCATCTAACTTATAGTTAGTAAGTCGTAAGTCCAAACAATTCTTTCTTCCTACCGTTCAGCATTATCTGTCTCGATCAATTTCTAACAGGCTAAAAAAAAAGGGTGAGTTGAACAAAGAATAAGTGGTTGTTGTATGACGATGTCATTGCGTTGCCATTACGCAGCCGCATCATATGAAGGTGAGAGGGTCCAGACATCCATGGATCGACATAGAGCCTGAATTCATATATCTGAAGCGTTCGAAACATGATGGTGAATTAATGAAGGAGTAATATGGTAAGATACTTGTGCCGCGTCAATATGATATGTCAATGCTTATGGTGATTGAATCCCAGGGAAGCTCCTCATAAGTAATTCATGTAAAGCTACATGACGACAGAAAGAATAGGAAATGCACAGTAGTCGTGATTGAAGTAAGCCAGCTGGAGCTGTGGTGCTTTTTAATACCAAAGACTAAAGCTGCGAATAAGCTGGACGAAGTTTGACGCGTGACACCGCGTCAATGTGTGTCACGAGTCACGACCGCGGCAGTACCGCGTCAAAATAGCTACGCCCCTCCGAGTCGTACTAGTAGTACTGGTAATGATCCATGGTCCTAGGTTGGTTACAGTTGAACTTGGGTCCTTACCAGTGTTAAATCATTCGTCCTCAACTAACCAATTGATTACAAGACAGTTTAGTAAGGATGTCAAGCATGACCACTTTCTTCGGGCCTCCTCACTTGCTCAACAGCTGTCGTATCGATGAAGCAAGAGGATTGTGTATGGACCACTCAGTCGGTCACAACTTCCGCCAGAATGCATGGAGCTTACACTAGAGAAAGTGCAGAAATTTGCAGTAGATTCTGACTGAGTTTCCACCTCAAGGTATGCATACTTCCATGTACAGATAGGTTTTGCTCCACCTAAAATTAACCGACAATTGTAGTGACGTCACGACACATCCATCTTGCATAGTATACACTCATCCATCTCAACATTGCACAATTTGCATCGCTTACTGCCATATGAATCGCAAGTCTTGTACGTACGCAGGCACAGTTCATCAGTGGCACATCTGCTTAATGTCTCATCACAGCTCATTGAGACTGATATTCTATCTCTGTCGCGGTCGCTTTACGACCGCGGTCTTATCGCGTCGCCCAAAAGTCTGTTTTGAGTCATGATTACACAGGGGCTCATCGTCCTTTGCTCAGATTTTTCCACGCATTACAGGTATCGGAATCCTAGCTTGTGACGTTTTTCCATCCTGTGCGCGTGCCAAATGATGTATTGTCAAAAAAACTTGACCCGTGTTTCCCACTTTCATTGTATGTTGGTGTAGGTATGCTCCGATGACTAGTTCTTGGACTCGAGGCAAGGCTTTATATCTCCATTAGTTTCTCCGTCAACACCCATTGCTTCCTGATAATTGTGGCATAGCGCCACAGGCGATGCTCATATTCAGGGACCAAGCTTGCAAAAGAACCTGCCCAGGAATGTCATTTCCTCTATATCCAACGAGTTTGTCAATATCGCTGACATACGGGCGCTTCGGAACATAACCAAGAAACGAGACATCCCAAAATGCACGCATGAAGATCATTCATACTAGCCATGCATTGTGTAAGAGCATCAAGATGAGTCTACCGTAGTACTAATTGAATTCTGCACTGTGAACCCATTCAACCCAGACAGCAATTCAAATTCAATCTTCAAAAGCATCCCGACCGCTTGGCACGTCCCATCAACCCCCATCAACTCCCATCAATATGATGCCCGCTTACACGTGTCTATCCAGTGTACGTCACTATTTCCTGATTAGTCGAACCCGCGCAACGCCGTGGTTCATTTGGTCAAGATAAACACTTATAGTCCAAATGCTAACTAGACTGGTACCAGTTAGTACGTTACATGTCTAACTATCAACGCCACTCGCATACTCATTCGTTTGCAAGGCTGCGGTTGGATCAAGTTACTGCACTGCCCGACCAACCCACGCGTCAGCGATGACGGTACTGTGATTGGCGGTAGTATTAAGCCATTCAAGACCATGACACTGGGGTCTGGGGATCTTTGAATTAGCCTCGAAAATTTAAATATGCCCCGCCTTCTTATTTGATTTCGTAGTCCTCATTATTACTCACAAGTTACAACTTGTCCGCTACAGGCGAAGCTCATCTGCAACAGAACCCACACAATACTTACACGATGAGCCTGTTATCTTCCGCTTCAGCCAAGTTTCTACAACTCAGCCCTACATATCAGCAATATACCACTGCAACCACCAGGCAGCCTACTCTAGTCCCACACAATTCCATTGTATTTTGCCCATTTTATTTTTTCGTGAACGAGTGTATATTGCCGTGGGGAACGAGCGAATGAGAAAAAATAAAATGATATATTGGACTGCTGGGTATGTAACAATGTTGTTCAACGTTCGTCATCGCGTAGTTTCCACAGTGCGAGCGTGTGATGCTACTTGTCTCCAGTAGTACAATCATGATCATGCGTCACGACGCATTTACGACAACATCTCCGACATCGGCCACTGAAGCCTATTATCATCGATCTGCAGCTAACAGCTTGTCGTCTTTGCCATTGCACAACTAACTGCAGCAGAAGAACACTCCCAGGTGTGTTTCCGGTGTGGAATGTCCACTGTAACACATCATCCATGACTGTACCACTAGTTTGCAGTTGATTCCGCCCAGTTATTTCTTAACGAGCAGCATACTAAGTAGTCGGCGAGATCAAAAGGTCATTCAGACACTGCTCAAGTCGATCAGATCTTGTCACAAGCATATCCTACCAAGTCCCACTCGTAGCAACGTTTGACGATGATATCATAATTCGCTTGATTATAGGGTGTCAGATGCATATGGTCCGTGGATGCGTCTGCCACATCACTGCAAATGTGAACATTGTGAAAAGTCAATCTCATTTACTGAAGTTCACCGAGCAGTACCACATACCCGTACCAAAAGGACTCGCGGAGTGCGTCTGTGAATGCGATCGGGTGCTAGTAGTTGTCATCAATTTGCGTGTCACTGCACTTTAAAGCTTGAAGAAAATTATGCCACGGAGGATGAGCTGGCATCTGTTTTGTTCCTGAATGTACGGCGATGAAAGTGTTTGGCTGCACCATACACAAATTGCGTATAAAAGCCAATCTATTCGTCTCGGTTCAGAAAGCACCATCGATATTCCACCATGAAATTCACTTCACTCACCACTATTATCATTTCTGTCGCAGCGATGGCTGGCATAGCTATTGCATCTGAAGACTTGGTGATCACACCCATGAAACTGCCCTGCGGCTCCCCTGGTGAGCACTCTTGCAGCCTACGTGTAGACCTTAGACCGCGTACTTACAGTTATCCACAGATACAGTAGGGTGCTCAACGGGCATCAAAGGTTGGAACAACGACGACGATTTTGGGTATTTCTGCGGACCCAAAGGCACCATTATATCATACACAGCTTGTTCCTGCAAAAACTGCTGTATCTTGACTGCTGATGGGGATGACTTCCAATGTGGTTCCTGAGTGAGTCTGTCTTTCCCTTCAGCTTTTCGAGTCCAAGTGTTAATGTGCTCGCTCAGCATGTTGTGCGCAAGAGGGTGTGAAGGAACGCTGTGACGTAGTATCATTTTGAATATGACATGCATTGAAGTTCTGGAGCCAATCGATTGTTATCGTGATTCATGATGCATGATGATGACCACGAACTTTGTATTATGTAATGTCGAATAATCTTGATGGACGGCCTTTCCTCGCAGAGCTTGCATGAACTCACCCATCATCAGTAATAGAACACATACTCACGAGGCGTTCATGATTGATATCAAAATGGGTTGGGAGGAAGAAGTAAGGATGACCAGCTTCAGGAATTTAAAGGTACCATCCCTCACCAAACACGGTTGGAACTCCAAGTCGCCTCCGTCGCGGTGTCCTCGTCTCCACCCCAGTACGTCTTCCCGTGGCACCGTTTCATTATCTTGCCTGTGGATGGCATTCAAAGAGGATCGCGTCGTCATGGTTCGATTTGGTCACGACCGAAATCATCTTGGAAGTGAAGAAGCTCCAACACTGCCAGGATCCACGGAGAAGATGAGTATCTTTTTTTCCGGTCATACTCCTCAGTCTGGCTGTCCTTTGAAGGCAAGGCGTTCACATAGCTTGCTAGGTTCGAGACAAAGGGGTGCTTGATGATTTGCATGGTGGAGATCTCGGGTAGATCGAAGTGTGCCTCTCCCTCGCGCTTGAGCCTGGAAATTTTATGCGTCAGTGAAGGTCGGTTTACAGCTAAGACAAGTTTAATCACTTGTTGACATCAATAGAAGCTCTGCTGAACTCGAAGAATCTGTAGCTCGCTGACACCCCGCGTTTCGCGAGGTCAAAGACGCCAACATATATTTCCGCAAGCGCTTTTCCGTCTAGGCGGATGGGGCGATGAGGGTAGCACTTCGTGCCTTAGCGAAAAGCTCTTCAGCGCACGCGATGTGCTTTGCAAGCTGGCATTGTTTGAAGAAACTGATAAGATGCGCACGTTTTCTCCATCTGGCTCACAGGGACGGGAATTACGGACTAAGGTGGCAGGGTGATCATCTTCATACAGATATCCCGCAGGGCTCGGTGTGTGGCGAAAAGCTTTTGAAGGCATCTGCTCCGTCGAGGTCGAAAGTCGGCGAGTAGATAATGATGATCGAACCCTTCGGTCTCCTGGCCAGGAGCGCGGTGGGGTGCAGCAGCGAGGAACGAGTGCGTGATCCCTTCAACCGTCTGGACGTTGGTTTCGAGCACAGGGATCACATAGAGACACCATGAATGATGATGGTGTCCTGATGCGACCGCTAAGGCGCATGACGCTATTTTCGATGATGCCAACATCGTCGAGTGGTACCAGGCGCCCTCAACAAAGCTAGAGGACGTAGCCTCGACATTGTTGTAGTAGCTTACGAGCACTATCGGTCCACGAATTTGAAGCTTGCCGCTCTCAACATCAGAGCGCGGGGTGGCGCCATCTGCGGGGTTTGCAATGAACTCGCGAGTAGAGACCAGGAATAGAACTGATTTGCGCAACCCCGAGCTCACTGGTCAGCCAACTTGCAGAACCAGACAAATGATTGATATGGGTGACATTGCTCTCCTTGTACGCCTGCTGGGCGCTAAGCATGGGCTACAAACAGGGCGGATAGCCAGCCAGAAGACACCCAGACAGTAGCCATATCATCTTCGTGCTCCGTCAGGTTCACAACGATAACTGAGCCTCTGGGTTTGCACTCGAGTATAGTCCGTGTAAGGTTGCGAATATCTTGGCTGAACGCGCTGAGGTTATGAAACCAAAATCGTGTAACAGATACCGGTCGATAGCCTGAGCGATGATATCGTAGACAGTATTGGGTGCAGTGATAAAGTCGGTAGTGGGGGTTGCGACGGGTGCCATTGTAAGCAGTGTCTGCTAGTAAGACTTGCGGACTTTCTTGAAAGTACCTATATACTCGGCACTAGAATTCAACATATGAGAACAGTTAGTACCATTGCTACATTACAAGGGAAGCGAGAATTCTCGCTGGCAAAGCGAACAGCCAGAATCCGTCGGATCCTCCCCTCACTGACGCAATAATTGTCTGTAGTAGCTCGTCTGGGTCAGGCGATGCAGCACAATCGCACATCCTAGGGTGTGGGCCATGTTCAAATATCATGTGATATCACTCCAGGCGAATATTTGAATGCTCATCTGTGTACAGGCCCTAGAGTTACAGTGCTTATCCTCCGCCGTCGTACAGCTCGGGGGCGTATGAATTAGTAGTGTGCCTCCTGTATTGCCTCTCATGGCAATGTTGGTTTCAGATACCGCATCAAGCCCAGTGAACATCGACCAGAAAGAAGTCGATGATACGTCAAAAACTGTAGAATTTGTTGTTGTGTTTCAAGACAGAAGGCAGACTCGATGAATGAGTTCTGGGAGGAGATTGCAGCGAGAGTGGACTTGAAATGCGTGAAATTTAACCTGCCCTTGTTCAGTGATAACTCTGGAGTTTGTGGCTCTTTCGCTGTCGTCTGAAGAAGAACTTGCGCCCGTGAACGTTGCCCTGCTTTGCGTAGAATTCGGAGAGGGAAGACGACAAAGTAATCTTTGGCTGACGTGTAGCCATCAATTTTTGTCCTCAGAGGATAAATAAGATAGCTATGACCAGGGAGAATTCAGACACGTTGAATATTGTTGATCTGGTTTCATTTGTTACAACATCGATAGCCAAATTCCATTCACCGCTCACCGCTCAGCCTTAGCGCTTTCTAACTTGTATAATTTTGACAAAATTTCTCTAATTTCTCCAAGTTTACCTGGGAGGGTTTCCTGATGTATGTTCTACGTCGATTTTTGCCATGGTCAACAATATATACGACTTTAAATACCAATCTCATCTGTTGACAGGTTCACCAGCACTGATGGCCCGCCGTAGGACCTTGGGCATGCCAAGAAAATAGCACGTCTATCACGAAATACGATCGAAGTCTCGTTGGCGCCATCAAGAGAGAGTTCCACGAGCTGGTCTTCGAGGCCAACATTAGACGAACAGATTCAACCTCGCAGTTCGTTCCATCTTCGTATGACCTCTCAATATTCATCATCATCATCATCATCAACAAAGACCGCTCGTTTCGATAGCCTCTCGAATTCAAGCTTAGTGGAGTATGAGCAAGACTAGACACGGTCAATGATCTTTAGGTAAATTCATGCTCAGCGGTATGAACACCTTTCCAAAAACAATTGTACTGATTGGCTCTGAACTAGGCGTCACACCATCAACGTTAACCATGATGCCAAAGCGAAAGCAGAAAAATGACTCACTGTCGCGACGTGCCGCTCGGGCTGCCGGCTCAATCTTCAATATCCATGTTGTGGTAGAGGCATACAGAATTAGCTTCAGGGAGCTAAGGTGCGCAGGCGAGTCATATGGTTGAATCCCGGCTGCATAGCGACCTGCTCATACTCACGATCCCATAATTTCTACACACCAATGGAGGGCAGCAATCCCAATTGAATATGCAAACTTGAAACGGAGGGCCACATGCGCTGACAGACATAGATGCTGTCAAAGCAGTAACAATGGCGAGGAAGGACAGACGCATTTTCTGTGCGAGGTGATATATGATCTCCTGAGGGGATTCTCGAATGATATCTCTGACAATGAGGAAACACTGTAGGACAATAAACAGCTTTTATACCATGCATATACTTATTGGCACGGTTCTGATCGATCTGGCGGAATCGGTATGTATTGCTGTCAGACCAACGTGCAGGAGCGTATTTGGTTGATTACGACCATTATGGAATAACCTGCTGGCAACACTGATAACCCCCCAGTCATCGTTTCATCGTTTGAACCCGCAATGGCCCGCAGTGCCAGCACAGCAACAATGCTGAAAAGTTGCTGCTCATTCTCGTCCATGCTTTTCCGATTTGTGCTCGGTCGATATATCATGCCATTCGTCTCGCTCGTTGCTTATATGATGGGCGTAGCTATTTTGACGCGGTCCTGCCGCGCCTGCCGCGGTCGTGACGCGGCCGTGACGCGGCGTAACGCGCATGTGACGCGGCACTGACGAGCCTTGACGCGGCCACTGACGCGCCATTCCTATATTCTATATTCCACTTCCAGGTCAAGTTGGATGAGTTCACGACCATTACTTTGTTACTTTATTTGCCTCAGAGCCATGTACAACTAGGTATACATAAGTCAATGACTATTTTTTTTTCCTTCCTCTCTGGACCCTTCGAGCCTGTGGAGCACATCGACGTTTAACGGGCGGACATTCTTCAGCCGGCAGAGAAGGAACTACAGTTTCGGATAGCTCGTCTGCGGACTCCAAAGATGTAGCATCAGAGTTATCACTGAATAAGGGGCCGCGCTGTCAATCACATGGTAAGTTAGATATCTATTGAACGGAGCAGGTAATGTCTTCCTCACTTGAAGTTCACTCTCGCTATAATCTCTTACAGAAACCCATTCATCAGGAATTCCGAGATACACATTCCATTGCCTGTGATGTTGGCCAGCATCCAAACCCCACTGCTGGTTGCCTGCAGGTCCTGCTTCTTCCGAATCCTCGAACATCCTTGCTTCTAGTGCGGTCAGACACTCGAGGTCGACGTCAGCCACGAAGCTATTGGTAGGATAGCTTATCATGAGATCAGCCCAAGCCATCTTCAACAGCATGCTATCGTTCCATTCTTCGTTTCGAGCTTCAATGCGTTTTTCGAAATCACTGGCCTTTCGATGAGCAACCACGAGAGTAAAAGCATGCACCAAAGGCATGCCACCAAGCCATTTTTCGACTTGGCCGGAAGCACCAGGAACATTCTCCGAGAACCAATGTGCAATTTTGGCATACTCGTGAGATGAGATGTCACCACAAAACGGTATGCTGTATGCCCCCACACCATCTGGCTTCTTCTTCAATCGCAAGATGTAGTCTATCACAGGGTATGCCTCCGCACCATATTGGTTCAAGTCTGGACTGTCAAGGAGCTTCTGAAGCGAAGCAATATGTGGTAGTAGAATGTCGTCCAGTTCTTTTGATACTTCCGCTGACATGAAGTTTTGAATCAAGTCTTCTTCGCGAGGGGTATCCCAAGAGTGGATCCATTCTCCGAGCTACACAATACTTCGTGTCAAGAGGACCGCGAGTATAACCAGTCACTGTCACTCACGCGAATCTCACGCCTCTTAGCTTGGTCCTGCCAAAGTTCATCCACGAGATCTCCTTGCTCAACATCACCAGGAGGTGATCCCAAAGTTAATGGGAATCTGCAACCGCGCCACCAGACCACCTGCCAACGTACTCGGTTGCGTGCACTAGTAGGGAGGCTAACAGTGTCATAGGACTGAATCAGCCGCACAGGATACCAATACTTCCCGAGGCGAGCCAGAGCTCCTTTGCCAGCACTATAAGTGAGTGATCAGCCATATCTCGATTCTCAGCTAGGGTTGGAGATCAAAAAACAAACATCAGATGTGTGTGAAGTGGAGTCGTTTTCTTCTTTGTTGTGGCTTTCCTGCTGCTCCTGAGTCATGGATGTCAGTTTATGTGAGAGGCACAGTTGTTTAAACTTACTTGCGGGTCGGTGGTGCTTTTGACTCCTGGGTTGAGCATCCATCGCAATAAAATGCTGCCTTTGGATGAAGATTGCTGGCTCGGCCACCTCTCTGACAAGCAATGTGTGACCAATTTTCACACAGATCACATCGGATTGTCATTTGACCACCTGCAACTTCATGGCCGTTGCCAAGAGCCCCACACCTACAATCAAATGTATAGTCAGATGCTTCACTCTCTCCGTCGTCCAGCTCTAATGGTTTCTTTATCTCGGATGTGGACAGTGATTCCTCTTCGTTGCGAGATGCCTGAAGGACCAATGGATCCTCGATTGGCTCGGGTACACTGGCCTGGTCAGACGACTTTTCACCCTCGTTTATGGATGGCCGATCTTCAGTTTCCAATACCGGTGACAAGATCCGAAGTTTTTTCGTTTTTGTGCGAGAACGTTGGCGTTGGGGTGGTGCTTTGTTCTTGGAATTACTGCCTGTGTTTAGTGTTACCACCTGCTCGTATTCTATATTCTGTGTAGTTGCAGGGTTTTTGAGCCAAATAAGATTGTCTGGATCAACAGCAGCCACTGCAGCGCGAGACAAAGAAATGATAGGAATTGAACTTGGTGATTGCAGGTCACGTTCGACATGAACATGGTGCAAATGTTCTGCAGCTGCTATTTGATGTTCAGCAAAGAAGTTCTGCGCATCAGAGCCACCACGTAGCCTATACACAACACCATGAACATTGAAGCCTCCTGGTGCCGGGATGTCATGCAAATTGCCCACAAGATGGCTCTTGACAGTTGCATTCTTCAACAATTGTGCATATCCTCCATGAGAAAGGTCATCGTAATGGTAGACCCTCTTGCCGTCCAGTGAGTAGCGAGTAATAAAGTGTGCCAGCTTTGGTGTAGGGTCACAAAAGGCAAGGCCAACCACATCGTAAACGAGGGAACACTGTTCTTCGGCTACATATCCTGGATGGTTCTTCTGGAATTCTGCGAAGTCATCAACGAAGTTCCGAGTGGACTTGCCCTGTAGTGCTTGCAGCTCGGCCTTGACACGGTCCTGGTTGAGAAGCACTGTGGAGATCGTTGCAACAGATTCACGGGTACCAGTAAGGCTGTTATGACCAGCAATTAATGCCGCAGGGCCAGCAGCAGGATTTTCGAAGACAATTTGTTCGAATCTTGTCCACTCGTCACGAGATAGATGCAAGATGTGAGTTTGTTTTGGATGGTGGTGAATGCCCTTGTGAATGTAGTAGACGCCTCCTTTGAATGAATACAACACTGATGTGACACCGCAGTCGATGTGCTTGAGCTGACTACCACAAAGGCACGATGCATTGAGTTGTCCCATGATACCAGCCCAGCGGGTCTGTGGACGTGTGATTACCTCACAGGTAGGTTCATCACAAGTAATGACACCCAGGCAAACACGTCTCGTCTTTTTGCCTTGCGACCACGCGAGTGCCGACTCTGACCCCCTCTTGTCTCCTCCTCCTGGCTGACAAGCCCAATGTTCACTAAGATTATCAGTTCTTAATACCTCCTCCCATGTGAATAACCCCTCAAAGTCACCGTCCGGCCATGGGTCCCATAACTCATCTCCACCGCCAGATTTGGGACGTAGTGAATTAGATGATTGATCCGGACCACGGCATTGATTTGTTCGGGCTGCAGAAGGACTAACACTTCGGGTACGCCGGCGTGGTATAGACTTTTTGTCTGTGCAGAGTTCAAATAACTCCTGTGAGTGGTGTTTCATGTGTTGAGGGAGGGGTGGTGGATTTGGGACGGAGTGTGCAGGATCATGTGATGGCTGAGCGGTCTGCACGGAGGCCGAAAGATAAGCTATTACATTGCCTGTTCTATTTGTCAAATCTGAGTTCACAAGGAGAATATGTTGGATGACGCACCTGAACGGTCATAGCAGGGTATGAGGTCCCCAAAACTCAGCAGCGGACCCGGCCAATCTGGATAATTTTGATTCTCTGTCTCGTTGGGATAGAAAAAGTTGAATATATGTTTGATTAATTCCTAAAAGATGGTTATAACAAGTTTACTCCGTATTTCAAAGCACTCACAAAGGCCATGATACGATTTACAAAAGCGCGATAATGAGGGTTTCTTCTCGAGCCCAGAGAAGACAAAACGAAAGAATGCTTAGTAAAACAAATTTATTACTGCCTATGGACAATTACAGTGTACGACGTCTAATTCTGTGAGGATGAAAAGGAACACTGTTAGAATATCAATTATTATGACAGATCTAAAATAAAATATACCTAAGTTATACGGACAGTGTGACAGTTGAGGTGGTGAGGCCTCCCAGTAAAAATCGACAAGAAAGAGGTAGATATGTGTTGATATAGATCGAAGAAAATAGAACCTATAGATTGTATTGTTGTGTTTTGAGGTCTCTCGAAAAAATGGCACTTTTCGAGACGAGAAAAGATAGAAGTCGAAAGGAAATTTAGATCTTTAGATAGGTCAAAATAGTTCGATTTGGCCTGGAAAATGGTACCGATACAGATCTAATGCCATTGAATGAGTTATAGGTGGGTATCGCCATGAATTGCTGGTATTAGGGATATATTATAATAGTGGGGTCGCTTCTCCCACCATCCCGCCCCCTCACGCCCACCCGCCATCCCGACGTCAATGCCATCGTGCACACATCCGCGGCCGCCAGGATCCCATCGCTAGTCGTCGTGCTCATTCCCGCCGTCGTTGCCTTGGAGTGTTGAAGAAGAACTGATCTGTAGTAGAAGAAGAACCCAGTTAGTACAGTGGCATATAGAACCAGCAGGCACGACGACACTTACCTGCGCCGTGGCCTTTCGTTTGTATTCCTAGTGTACTGCATTAGCGCGGGAGGTTTTCGCTGATGTAGCACGTACCTCCTTGATACTCGTAGACAGACTATTCCAGTAGAGTGCAAACGCACTAGCCGGTTCACGCTGGTGACCATTTGCTTGCCAATCGAGCGCACACAGATTTCTATGAAACAGATCAGGAAATACTATTAAGTAATATCAACTAAGAAAACATACCGAGGCGTCACTTTTGTGCCAATACGCATTGGTTTCACGCTCGGCTGACGAGTCTTCTTAGTGGGCGCAGGTACAAGCAGCTCTTTCTTGACCGAGAGCGATGCTGCATCAGAATTGGGGTTAGTTGGGGTCACTAAGGATGGTGTAGGTGTCGAGTCGTCGGAAGGGACTGTAACTGCCAGTTGGTCCTGGGCCCATTTATTGTAGGCAAGCTATGGAAAATCCGTTAGCATCACAGTAGTCAGAAATATCAACACTTACCTCATGGTCTTTTTCAAGGTGTCAACGGCACGTTGACAGGTCCTTCACAAAGCGTTTGCGTGGACCCTTCTTCGAGCACAAGGTGCAATTGCGATAGGTGCGAGGTTTGCCATCAACACCAGGCTCAGAATATTTCGGACTAAAAAAATTATCAACATCCTGACCTTTCCTGTCAGGCTTTTGCTTGATCTCGTCATTAGAGAGGCTCGCAATGTTGATATCTGCAAGAAATCCATCATCGTTGACAGGATCTGGAGCTGCGCGTGAAATTTCAACGTAAAACGTAACGTAAATGAAAGTGTTCGAAACTCACCTTGATTTTTTTTTGCTGTGGCAGGTGCAGCACGGCTGTCTTCTGAGTCGGAACTGATGATCACAGATTGGCTGCTATGCGACTTTTTCTCTGTGTGAAAAAATGTTAAGTGACATGCTGAAATGAGCAACACTGACGGTACTTACTTTTTGGTGGTTTTTGAGCGGCTGAACAATCTGTATCATACCCACTACCGGAAGAGTCAGTATTCTGAGATCTCTTGGTGGGGGTGACAAAGTGGGAACTCGAAGTAGCTGGTGCCGTGGTAATATCCTCCGCCAATCGTTTGGCATCCTCAGCTCGCTTGAGGGCAATGGCTTCAAGGTGAGCACTCAGCTCAGGTGTTGCAGAATTAGAAGCATCGGTTAACCTCTTGGAGGGCGCGGGAACCCGTTTGGGCCGCACCAAGGCTTCTCGATCTGCATCGAGTGATGGCGGCATTACCGTGACTGGGAATAATCAATGCCAATTGCATAGAGAAGATCAGGCACAAATTAACTGTACAGTTAATACCGGAATGGACCGAAAGACTTACAGGTATAGCCTCGGTCATTTTTGGAAAAACTCAGCCCGGGCCTGAGCCCTGGGTATGGGCCTGCAGAGGTTGCAGGCCCAGCCCTGGGCCCTCGTCAGCCCACTCATAGGGCTGGGCTGGGCTGGGCTTCTGTAGGGCTGGGCCATGTGGGCCTGCGGGCCTGAGCCCTGGCCCACCACATCACTATGCTTGACGCAGCCTAAACGAGGCTTCTGACATGCCATGGTTGGGGCTTGACGTGGTGGTGCAAGGGATAGAGAGTTGATCAAACTTGGCAGGGTGAGGTCGCGGCTTGACGCAGTGAGACAACATTTGACACTGCGTCTGAAAACCAACATAGATGGACGAATTAGAGGTAATGCAACAATATAGGACTGACGCGCAAGATGCATACTAGTAGTATGAACACAGAGGACAAGCACTGTAAATTTGGTGAGAGGTGAATACAGCACTATAGAGGCTGTACGCAGGCAGACACTCATACTATGTTATCATTAACGATGATTCAAAGTGTTTGGAATGCGATATGAAGTTGTGTAAACATGATCTGTACGTAGGAATTTGTTACAGTGCCGCGTCACATATGCCGCGTCACAGGCGCGTCACGACCGCGGCAGGCGCGGCACGGCCGCGTCAATTTCACCTGGCCCTTATATGATGTAATACATCAGTAAATTCAAGAGGGGTGCAAATTTAAAACTTCTGACATCATCCAGTCACATACCCACAGGACTCCGTCTGAAGCATATGATGAACATCTCAGTCAGTTCAAGCAAGTTTGTAACGTGTGGGAGTCAAGGGCCCTGTGTTTTGCCAAACGAATGGGTTGTCAAATGTGAACTTGGCATTTTCCTATTATGCAACCGAACATTCACGCTGAGCAGCAATTCCTAACTCATATGAAAAATTACAGCCTTCGCGCCAGGTATATTGTTCTGCAGATTGTCGCATGACACAAGGGCCTCCTCGCACCAGTAGTAGTTAGCAACTTTTGCACTCGTCCTAATAACTACGGACTCGCATCTTATTTCGTCGACTTAAGTCTCATCTTTCATTCGCAGGACAATTTAAATAGAAGATGATTCATCGGACACAAGACAACTTGGTTGATTATTCATTGTTCCTACATATACGGCTTTAAATACCAATCTCATCTGTTGACAGGTTCACCAGCACTGATGCATGATGGCCCGCCGTAGGACCTTGGGCATAGCAGAAAATAGCACGTCTGTCACGAAACACGATCGGAGTCTCGTTGGCGCCATCAAGAAAGGGTTCCACGAGCTACTAGTAGTCTTCGAGGCCAACGTTAGACGAACAGATTCAACCTGCGCAGTGCGTTGCATCTTCGTATGACCTCAATATTCATCATCGTCATCATCAACAAGGACCGCTCGTTTCGATAGCCTCTCGAATTCAAGCTTAGTGGACTACCAGCAAGACTAGACACCGTCAATGATCTTCAAACATCCACATTGCTCAGCGGTATGAGCATCTCTATCTCTCCAAAAACAATTGTACTGATTGGCTCTGAACTAGGTATCACACCATCAACGTCAACTATGATGCCAAAGCCAAAGCAGAAAAATGACTCACTGTCGCGACGTGCCGCTCGGGCTGCCGGCTCAATCTTCAAGCGATTAGGCGCAATGAAAATTACACTTCATTGGAGGGCAGCAATCCCATATGTCGCAACTTCCACCCTTGCCGACGCATGTACTCATTGCACTGACAGACACAGATGCTGTCAAAGCAGTAACAATGGCGAGGAAGGATAGACGCATTTTCTGTGCGAGGTGATATATGATCTCCTGAGGGGATTATCGAATGATATCTCTGACAATGAGGATACACTGTAGGACGATTGCCAACTTTTATACCTTATCGGCACGGTTCTGATCGATTTGGCAGAATACGAACGTGCAGGAGCGTATTCAGTTGATTACGACCATTGTGGAATAACCTGCTGGCAACGTTGACAACCCCCCAGTCATCGTTTCGTTTCATCATTTGAACCCGCAATGGCCCGCAGTGCCAGCACAGCAACTTGAACAAAGCTGAAAAGTTACTGCTCATTCTCGTCCACACTTTTCTGATTTGTGCTCGGTCGATATATCATCCCATTCTTCTCGCTCGTTGCTTCCTTATATGCAATACCTGCAATCGGCCTGTACCATTAGTAGGCTGATGACCTTGCAACTGCTGGCAGGTCCGCTGGAAGAAACTCAGAGGGCATCTGGGAATTCGAATTCCGGGTCCCATACGCGCTAGCAGACACACTCAGACTAGATTGTCATGTATCTACCTAGCGGACACGCTAGGGTACATCAGTAAGGATTGAGTACTGAGTGCGGAAACAAGAGTGTCCACACCTCAGTAAGTCACGTAGAACAATACTGAGGTGTCATGTGAACGGCACCCACTATATACGACAAGGAGTGAGGTTAGGTAAGAGACCGGGGAAACGATGTGCGGAGAGAGTTCGTGCGGTGAAGAAGCAAGAAGCTGTCAAGATAAGGTGTTGCATGTGGTGTCAATGCTGATAACGTAATCGTTGGAGTAGGCGTCAACAAAGGCGCAGCACAGCTTCGGGATCGACCGACATCAAATCCATGGTGCTCCAGTACACCCCAGACATTCGACTACCAGGTGTGGAATAGCCATGAAGACGTCAAGAATGATATATTCCAGCACCAGAGCAGGAGCCTGTCGAACTCGCGTGCTTCAGGAGAGCAGTGGAAGGCCAAAACGACTCGGACAGCTGCTACGTCGGGTGCGCGAACTCAACTTGTTCTCAGTGCCAGCGCTGTCGCAGAATGCACCATCCCTAGCTCGGTCTGGCAGTGTCACACAAGTGCGAAGAGTCTACACTGCTACCATCACTGACAGATCCTCTTCATCTCGAGGACTGGAACCAATGGGTGCACCCACCGTCCCAGCCCACACATCATCTCACAGTCAATCACATATCAGTCCTACTCTCGCCGAGTCGCTCATGCTGTTGAGGTCTATTGCATTTTTTTTTTCACGAGTAGCACAGCTGGCTACTAGATCATTAGACGAGGCTTTCCCACTCTGCCACTAGATAATTCGTCCTGATCGGAACGCCGTCGACCCATTTGTAGCGGTTTATTTGACGGAGACTGGCAATTAAGTAGAAATCCAGGCCTGCCGGTTGGAAGTGGAGCATCAAGGCAGCACCATTGAGCTCAGGTGTTGTCATCGCTAAGGCTAAGCGAGTGGCCTACTAGTACTAATCATGGTATCAATGAGATCGCGTACTCGGATGAAAATGACCACTTTTATAGCCTGACGGGAATGTATGACATGGCAATCAGGGGGTGGGGTGGGGTGGGAAGTCGGGTATTTGTTTTGAAACAACGTCGGTGAGAGAACTCACGCAGTTGTAGAGGGACAACTTGACCGTTATATCATGGCATGGCAATCCACTTGATGTCGCGTGCTACGTACACCGTTGCTCTAGTAGGCATCTACTTGTGTGGAGGTCAGACTCCTATCAAGCTGAGGTCATGGCAGGGTGGTAATCTAGGGGCCAGGCAGTGAAATTCGAAACCTTACTAGTCTCATATCTCAGCTGCTGTATCATATCAACTTGCCACTCGTGCATCGAAGGAAAACAGTATACATGTTTCGAAGATAATACTACACGCAGTCGGTACGAAGCTTAAGCAATACTATACAGAACGGGACGAACGCGCAAAGAGCTTTTCCGCCCATAAATAAAAACACTGAACTATGCAAACATTTCCTCCTCGCTCACATCCCGCATCCCACACGCCGCCCACATAATAGCAACATCCAAATCTTCCACACCATCATTCTTCGTGCCCACAACCCCGTCCACCTCATATACCGACTTCGTCATACCAAGGGTCACTTTAATGGCCGGAGGCCCGGGTGCATACTCCTCGAGCTCCGAATCTAGGTTATCCCCATCCGTAATCCCAACTTTCTCATCTCGAGAAATGAGGCGTAGGATATTCCGGGCGGCAACCTCCGCTTGATAATATGATGTATGTCCAGCCTTGATCGCATCGAACGCGTCTGCTGCATCGCCCACGACAAAGATATTTGAGTATAAAGTCTTTTTGCTTGGGTACGGCTCGATCAGGGTATCCGTGGATGAGACAGGTGACCCCGAAGGTATGTCGGCATGTGCGATAGATGGCGATGATGGCAATAATTCTAGCAGTTCTATCCCTTCTTCTGTATCAAAAGTCAAATTCATCAACCATTGTAGTATATCATCTGTCTGAAACTCGAGAGGCTCGATAGAAGGTGGCGGGACGCAAAGTTGCATAGTCCGCAGAACATGTGCCAGTCCAGTGTCTGGGGATACAGTACGAGGGTCCATGTTGCGAAGGAGCCCAGTGTTCGGTGTTTGACCAGTGCATAGGAGCTATAACGCGCTCATTTAGCTCTCTGTCCCTCGTTAATCTGGAAAAACCTACCAGCAGGTCGGTAGATATTTCCTGTCCTGATAGAGTCCGTACTGCGCGTGGTTCCGAAGACCCTGGCATAGCGTATTTGTGTTGGAGAGACTCGAAATCGAGTCGCTCTCCAAGAATAACCCGAACGTTCAGCTCCTGCAAACCTTGGAGGGCTGTCTCATCGCTGAGTTAAAATCACTTAATAGACGACACGCAATACTCACTTTCTTCATGCATCGCATCGTGAAATTTTGGCAATAAACGACGGCGGGAATGCAGAAGCGTGACGTGCTTTTGTGGGTATACCGCAGCGATGTCGGATGCGAATTCTATATATATGTAAACATCAAACACGTCTTTCGTGGTATAATGACGTCACTTACGAATACCAAGCGCGCCGCCACCTACAACCAACACGGACCTGGCAGCCTCGATACTTTTCTGGCGTTCTCGGAGGGATGAGATACCCTCCGACTTCGTTCCTCCATACATCGATATTGTTGGTAGTTCCAAACTCGACTTTACACCTTTTTGGTGATTCCAAAGATCTATAGGCTGGGGCAAGTGGGAGCCGAGAGCATAAATGGCATAGTCATACTCCAAGTCCAAGTCTGATTCTTGTGATCCTGGCAGATTCGGAGAGAGGGTGATGCGATGGTTATCTATGGAGATGATAGTTGCTTGCACCCGAACATGAGACGAACACGAAGAAATATCTGACAGAGAACAAGAAGGGAAGTTCTTGTATGGAATAACTAATAGAGGAAAAGTCAGTATCTGTCCAGAGTGAAGCATGGTGATCGAGTGCACACTTACATGCTTTATGTTCGTGACCTGGAAGAACAGCATATCTAGAAAAGTTGTAAAAATCTAAAACAAAGAATGAATCTTCTTCACAATTCGAAAGTGGCAAAGCTCTCACGATTCCTATGCCTGAGGGACATCAGAGGTCAACGGAACACATCCATTGGATCCGAAACCGGGGCAACGCACGAGTTTCTATCTACCAAAATAACTCTCCAACCCTGCGGCAGACCCTCTGCAAGAACTTGAGCAGCTCGTGAGCCTAGACGGTGATTGAAGGAGGGTCAGTGAATATTAATTTCAACGCTACTCATATCGAACTCACCTCCGTAGGAACCACCCAAGATGACGACCGTCCTTGTGGGACATGTCGTCGAAGAGAGATGGGATGCCTTTGTGGGAACGGACATGATGTAGGACTCAGAAGGGAAGTAAATCTAAGTTACTACTTAACAGGCCCTGTATACGCGAGGAAAATAACTCGGGTGACGATCCCTTCGGAGGCCCAAGCTTATATATTGCGAAGTCGGGACTTGCACATAAGTGAACTTGTGAACAGACTAGCATGTCATACATAATAATTTCCGTAAACCTGGTGGCGGAGGTTACTTTACCTCGTGGAGGAATGATGATTTTTAAGTCAACCAGCCACGCTGTCTTAACCAGGTTTAAGGAATTGCACGGCAAACCCACGGGTACCGCGGGTGATACCCGTACCCGCTTCAATGGGTACGGACTTTTGCTGGGCATGGCGCGTTCGTACCCTTACCCGCGTCCATGCGGGCTTTACCCGCAGATAATACCTACAAATGTGATTAAATTAGACATTTTAAAAATATAAGATGCAGATCGTGAAAGAAAACTCACTGAGATTCCAACATGCACAAGCAGGTGACAGACGCGAGTGCGAATAAGTGTTCACATATGCAAATGGATACAAACCAGTGAGATTACTTGATCATAAAAGAAAAGAGACCGACAGCATACTTGTACGCGATCCGTGTAAGACCTCAAAACGTTATCTTCTCATTGTCGTCGAGAAGTGCAAGATACTGAACACTGCTGGTGTGCGTGGTTAGCACGAGGTTGCAAGTATTTGACGTGCCAAACACGATGCAAATGCAGTGCAGATGATGCCGGGAGCTATGTGGGGGTCATAAAAGGATGTAGGAGAGGTGGTAGTTGACTGTAGGGTGTCGTCGGGCTGGGATTTTACTTGTGGTTGAGCGTTGGCGCAGACGCACGGATACTTCTCCTACATGTGATGTGACGCAGTATACACAAAATGATCATTTATTTCCTGAGTTCTCGTCCACCTAAAGTGTCTCTGTTGAACAATGGTGATGCAATATATTGTACATTTCAGAAGGATTAAGATGACATCACGCAGAGAGTGAGTACGGACACGACAAGACATAGCGCGCTTTGTAGTGTTGTTTTCCCACGTTGTTCGGCTCCGTGTTACTTTCCCGTCGTTCCTGATTGAGACAGCTGTCTGCAAGCCGAAGGAATGATGAACCGCTTCGTTCGAGAATGGTAAGCATTCATCGCTACAATCATTGAATTGAATTTGATACTCAAGGCTGTCGCAGATGTCACAGATGTCCTTGATAAGTGTGAGCATTTGTTCCTGGAACGTCTTGTGTCGAGCGGCTGACTAAGTGTCCACGAGGTCTTCTTCCACACCATCCCCGCCGACTTCGTCGTCCGAAGACTGATTGAGTTTCCCTTATTGACTCGTACCTGTTCCAGTACATTAATATGCATCGATGCGTGTTGCCATGGTGGGGCGGACACTAATCGAAGGGAACGAGCGATGAATGCACCCAGAACAGTATCGTGCGGTTCCGTTGAACTTTGAGGAAAGAAGGTGGGCGAAACAGAGTGCGCGTTTTCTGCTCCCTCCTTGGTCAATGGTGGTGTCGTTTTGCTTAATGCCAACAGGGATGTGCACGCGCCTATTCCCTTTCGGGAAGGCTTGTGCTGGGACCGTGATGTCGTTTCTTCCAGCAGACCTGCCAGCAGTTGCAAGGTCATCAGCCTACTAATGGTATAGGCCGATTGCAGGTACTACATATAAGGAAGCAACGACCGAGAAGAATGGGATGATATATTGACCGAGCACAAACCGGAAGTGTGGACGAGCAACTTTTCAGCTTTGTTGCTGTGCTGGCAGGGCCATTGCGGGTTCAAATGATGAAACGATGGCCGGGGGGTTGTTGATGTTGCCAGCAGGTTATTTCGCAATGGTCGTAATCAACTGAATACGCTCCTGCACGTTGGTCTGACAGCAATACATACCGATTCCGCCAGATCGATCAGAACCGTGCCAATAAGTATATGCATGGTATAAAAGCTGGTTATCGTCCTACAGTGTCTCCTCATTGTCAGATATCATTCGAGAATCCCATCAGGAGATTAAACATCACCTCGCACAGAAAATGCGTCTGTCCTTCCTCGCCATTGTTACTGCTTTGACAGCATCTATGTCTGTCAGCGCATGTGCCCCTCCGTTTCAAATTTGCATATACGATCGGGATTGCTGCCCTCCGTTGACGTGTGGAAATGAGATCGTGAGTATGAGCAGGTCGCTATGCAGCCTGGATTCAACCATATGACTCACCTGCGCACCTTAGCTCCCTGGAGCTAATTTTGGATGCATGTACCCAACCAATATTGAAGATTGAGCCGGCAGCCCGAGCAGTACGTCGCGACATTGAGTCATTTTTCTGCTTTCGCTTTGGCATCATGGTTAACGTTGATGGTGTGATACCTAGTTCAGAGCCAATCAGTACAATTGTTTTTGGAGAGGTGTTCATACCGCTGGACAATGTGGACGTTTGAATATATCTAAAGATCATTGACGGTGTCTAGTCTTGCTCGCAGTCCACTAAGCTTGAATTCGAGAGGCTATCGAAACGAGCGGTCTTTGTTGATGATGATGAAGGTCATACGAAGATGGAACGCACTGCGCAGGTTGAATCTGTTCGTCTAACTTGGCCTCGAAGACTAGCTCGTGGAACCCTCTCTTGATGGCGCCAACGAGACTCCGATCGTGTTTCGTGACAGACGTGGTATTTTCTGGTATGCCCAAGGTCCTACGGGTAACGGCGGGCCATCATGCATCAGTGCTGGTGAACCTGTCAACAGATGGGATTAGCATTTAAAGCCATATATTGTTAAGATTCGCAAAAATCGACGTAGAACTGCTAACCACTTTCACGTTTTGTATTGTCGAGGAAACACCGATTTACTTATAAATGTCATTAAATTAGCCATTTTAAAAATATGAAATGTAGATCGTGAAAGAATACTCACTGAGAATCCAGCATGCACAAGCAGGTGACAGGCGCGAGTGCGAACGAAGGTTCACATGTGCAAATAATGAATACAAATCAATGAGATTGCTTTATCATAAAAAAGAGATGGACAACACACCTGTACGCGATCCATGTAAGACCTCATAACATTGTCTTCTCATTGTCGTCGAGAAGGGCGAGACACTGAACACGGCTGGTGTGCGTGGTTGGCACGAGGTTGCAAGTATTTGACATACCAAACACGATGCAAATGCAGCGCGGATGCGGGATTTGTATCGGAATCATAAGTGGATGCAGGAGAAGTGACAGTTGGCTGTAGGGTGTTGTAGGGCTCTTGTGGTTGAACGTTAACACAGACGCACGAATTCTTCTCCTACACGTCACGCGACGTACCGCCAGTATCCACTCGTTTATTTTCTGAGTTCTTGTTCCTCGAAAATGACCCTGTCGAAGACTGTATTAACTATAGTATGACAACAATGATGATGAATAGAACAATATGAGATACATTCTAGTGGGATAAAGCTATCATCGTGCAGGGAGTGAGTGGGATGTGGTACGGACACGATAAGACATAGCACTTGGCACTTGCAGTGTCATTTTCCCATGTCACTCGGCTCCGTGTTCAAGACGAACTTTCTCGTCATTCCTGACTAAGACGGCTGTCTGCAAGGCGAAGAAATGATGAACCGCTTCGTTCGAGAATGGTAAGCATTCATAGCTACAATCATTGAATGGAATTTGATACTCTCAAGGCCGTCACAGATTAAGTCGCAAATATCCTTGCTATGCGTGAGCGTTTGTTCCTGGAATCTCTTCTCCCGCCGACTTCATTGTCCGAGGATCGATTGAGTTTCCCTCGTTCACTCGGATCTAGTGGTGCCGAAGTTCGGTTCGGTCGGGTTCATTGCCCTATATCTGCGAACCCCGAACTCGACCATTGGTCAGGTTCAGGCCAGATGGCTGAACCTAGGACTGGACCCCTTCGAACGCGTTCGCAAGAGTTCGGTTCGGGTTCAGGATGCGTTCGAACCCTCGAACCGTTGCTTCAATTTGCAAAAAAAACAATGTGTACAGTGTCAATAGCTACTAGGACCCTTCCTTCACAATGCGGTTATCATACGGAGCGACAAACTCAGCCTGGGCTGTCGCAGAGATATGCCCTTGACGGTATGCACTCTTGAGCAATTGAAGAGCCTCGAATGTTGTTGGTTGCAAGCTGCCGCGATGTGCGGTCCCAGTAATGCCGCCGCTTGAAAATGCTCGCTCAGACACAACAGCCGAGCCCTGAATGGCCAGGTAGTCCTTCGCGATGCGGGAGACAGTCGGGTATTGCACAGAATGGTGCTTGAAAGTTTGTTAGTATGCAAGCAACACGAATAAAACAATGAGACATACCCCCCACCAGGCCACTACATTGTCAACATCCTCAAGCGGTGCGTCCAGATAGTCCTCGAGTTCTTGACGAGGCCTTCGCGTGGCTGTATCATTCACGATACGTGATTTCACAGAGTTGCGCATCCAGTTATGGCCATACAAGCCTTGGCGAGCAAGTGAGGGAGGTGCAGTAACAGACGGCCCTACAGGAGTCTGCGAGGAAGTACTAGTGTTATCATACATATTGAACTATGTAATATTAGTATACAATTGACATAAAAGAGTGATGAGCGACATACGACTCTCTCGAGGCATTGCATGCCTTTGTTGAAAAAATGAGGGGCCCATTTGTCACGCACATATGCGACCTTGTAGTTGGGGTCGAGCGCTACACCAAAAGGTAAATGTCAATCGAACATATTAAAATAAATATGATACATACCTAGGCAAATGAAATATGCGTCCGTGTCATCAGTCTTACCATACCACTTGCGGAGATTGATGACACCAGCTTCAATAGCTGTTGAGAAGCGGTTGAATTTTGACACGCCTGCCATATTTTGCAGTGTCTCTTGAAGACATTCGAGCACTGGGATAGTCCGCCATACGGTTGGTTCACGTGTCGCTGAGAAACTCTGTTGAGCGTCTGTGGGCTCCTGGAGGACTTCACGCATCAGCTCCAACTCGGTCCATTCAGGTGCTGAAAGTCTGAAATCCGCGTATAACTTGCCCTTCAAATTTGGGACCTCGTCACTCTCGTCAGCGAGCTGGATGAATCTGTTTATTCCCTGACAAATCAAGTGAGCAATGTATTCATGTAGTCATTAGTATAGTAGAGCACTTACTTTGCGCAATTGAAAAATACGCTGCAGCATGTTGAAAAGCGATGCCCAGCGTGTGCGAATCCATTTTGAGAGTTCTAAGGTGGGCTCATTCACTTCCGCGCAACACTTCTGAAGGAAGGCGCGCGCTTGAGGGGACTTCCGAACCTAAACAGTGTCATGTCAGTATACAACAACAGTTAGATGAGTACTTGAGTACTTACTTGTGCGATGAATGCGAGTGCCTTGCCGATGGTGTCACCAATGTCGAATTCGACACTTTCATCATCGTCGTCATCATCGTCCTCAGCCTGACCTGCCTTCTTGTGCAAGGCGCTTGCAGGCGTAGGAGCCACTTCTTCGACGAAGTGTTTTGCTGCTAGATGCAGCGCGTGCTCCATACAACTGAGTGCTGATCAGTAATCTTGACTTAAGTATTTAATAGACACACTTACCGTACTCGGTGCTCAATTGGTTTCCACTTCTCGCCAGAAGGGTCGATAGAGCCAGCAATACTTGAATAGAATGCCTCACCCAAAACGTGAGGCTTCGCCGAAGTAGCACAGCGTTAGGTCCGAACCGGTCTAGACGCGTCTGGACCGGTTCACGTGGACTAGGATAATGCCGAACCTAGAACCTATCAGGGGGTTCGGTCCAGGAGAAATAACGGACCCGTGACTGAACCATCGGTCCAGTCCACAAAGGTTCGGGTTCGAACCTTGGTTCGGGACTGGACTGCGGCAGCACTACTCGGATCTATTCCAGTACATCAATATGCATCGATGCGCGTATAGACACCAATCGAGGGGAACGAGCTATAGGTGCACCCAGAACAGTATCGTACGGTTCCGTTGAGCCTTAGACCCCGAGGAAAAAGGTGGGCGAAACAAGGTGCACGTTTTCTGCTCCCTCCTTCGGAGTCGTGTGGATGCCGACGGTAAGTCACGTGATGTATCGGAGGTTCGATAAATGACCCTTCACCATGACACCAACAACATTTGGATGGGATTTTGTCATTGTTCCAACTTCCTGACCTCCCAACACGCTTGCCACTGACAGCACTTCGACGACTCATTGCCCAAACGCTGGTCTCTCATATCAGACCACGGCTCGCCTTCCAACCTATCACACCTGCGCAAGCTGAGAAGCTGGACCTTCGTATCGCCCATATCATACATGATTATCTTCGGTTTCCCTTCTCCTTCCATTCTGGTCTCCTCTCATTGCCCATTGCACTTTTCGGTTTCAGTTTCCCTAGTATTTCACGGCTGTGATAGGTCTCCAGCGTGACCTGAACCATCCCATCAATGCCTTTCGTACCATGGCACAGATCACACTCACGGACGGGTCGTGCATGCCGAATGGTTGTCGCTACCCCTTAGCAAGATCATCTCATCTTCAGTCCTTCGTTCGTGCCCATCAGCACCTCCCCTGGGCATGGATTTTGGCACGACACACCCTCCTTGATGTCAATTGTTCTATTGTGCCCTCTGATCAGTCTCACTTGTTTGAGGGGCATGTCAGTATACGTCATATCCTAAACAGTTCACCACGGCTTGCTTCATCCTTCCTGAATGCTGCCTTGCCAGCACTGACACGACATGGTTTCACGCAGCTCTCTCACTTCGGATCTTGGGCTGCGCAAAATACGGCCTCGCCACGCCGTTTTGAGCCTTCGCGTAACTGGATGGCTGAACTGTCTACCACCGCGCCATCACTACGGCGTCATCTCCCTTCGTTGATATCTTGGCTTGAACATCTCTACCTCGGCATGCTGCTAGACAGTTCATGTGATGAAACACTGGCTATTGCTCGTCCTCTGTGACGCTTACATGCTGAAGAAGAGATCATAGCATTGTCATCGCTACATACCGCTCCCACGAACCCTCTCAACAACGTCCTTTTGCTGCCTCGGACGCATCAATGCTCCCATTACCAGCATCACTTTTCCAGGCTCGCTCGGTTACATCTGCAGCTGCGACACCTAATAGCCAGGTGGTATTCTCACTTGCAAGCTATGGAACATCGGCAGGGATCCTACATGGCGAGCTACTGGGCATCATAGCTGCTGTTTTACTGTCCATTCACGCTAACCCACAAGAACCCTACTCTGTTTTGGCAGATCACAAAAATGCAGTCCACATGATACACGAAGTACTTCCCGGTGCTCTACCCCACGTCTGGAACAATCAGCCAGCGCGCTCCTTATACCGCTGGTTGTTTTCACTTCTACACTCTCCAACACCTGCGCCCTCACTCGTCTGGACCGCTGGTCATACCAACGGCCTTGCGCCAGAATGTCTCACCAACGATTATGTGGATCGGATGACCTCGTATGTGCAAGAACGGCGTGGTGTAATTCCGTCTGCGCCCCTGGCAACTTTCTCAATGGATGACTACGCTATGTTTGCATCCGGTTATGGTTTTGTTGAAAATAACTTGTCTTCTTTGCTCATTTCTAGGCTCGAAGATTCTTATGCGTTGAGCGACTCCTTTCGTCCAGCGCGAGCTCTGACTCTTGCACTGTATGACAGTCATCGCCTGCCGGACCTCCCATACACTCGAGCATCTAGCTCTTTCTCTGCCATCGTACAATTGTATGCCTGGTCATCGCAACTTGATACTGCAGAGGTGCCGCATCGGCGTTTTCGTGATACGCCCGCCCTGGTGTCATTTTGGTTGTGATGCCTTTGAGAGTGTTCACCATATTTTTGCTCGCTGCCCGGCCTTCTTGACTATCCGTCGTGCACATAACATGCAGCTCTGTGACGAGACCTCCTCGTTACTCGAGGGCAAGGCTGCCGATCGCATGCGAGAGGTCTTGGAACGAGTGGCTCAGCACTTATTTTTCTGACGACGCGGGGCTTTGGCCACAATATCGGACGTGTTTTTACATGGGTGTGCTACCCCCACTTGCGCGTATTGTGGGCAACATGATTGAGACGAATGTGGGTGTATTACCCCCACAGTCTCATGATATGGGCAACATTGCGTCTGGTAATGCGGGTGCCTTACCCTCGCAGCTGAATAGTACGACGATAGAATCTAAGGTGTTGTCACGATTAGTGCGGGCATGGCACATGCATAGTATTCGGCTGGCAGGACGTACTGGGGAGAATACAAACGACAGGTCTCTGAAATGGCGTTCCTTCTGATAGGGTGGCACATAAGTCTTTGGATACTTATGCGTACCTATTACCAACGAGTTTGCGAGCTTTGCTTTAATTTCGGACATTTGTCTGGATTCGCAGGACATTTTGTTTCATTGGTAGTTGAGCCATCAAGGTACCTAGTTACCTGAGCTTATGATGGCCAAGTATAAAAATTCAAAATTCAAGATCCATTGCTTTTCAAAGGCTCAAATTGGAATTAGCTAAATCTGTTCGATCTTGCCATCTTATACTCAACTTTTCAGCTTTGTTGCTGTGCTGGCAGGGCCATTGCGGGTTCAAATGATGAAACGATGGCCGGGGGGTTGTTGATGTTGCCAGCAGGTTATTTCGCAATGGTCGTAATCAACTGAATACGCTCCTGCACGTTGGTCTGACAGCAATACATACCGATTCCGCCAGATCGATCAGAACCGTGCCAATAAGTATATGCATGGTAGTATAAAATTTGGTTATCGTCCTACATTGTTTCCTCGTTGTCAGGGATATCATTCGAGAATCCCCTCAGGAGATTATATATCACCTCGCACAGAAAATGCGTCTATCCTTCCTCGCCATTGTTACTGCTTTGACAGCATCTGTGTCTGTCAGTGCATGTGTCCGTGTGGGTCAAGCTTGCACATTACACACTGATTGCTGCTCTCCAATGATGTGTGGAAGTTACGTGAGTATGAGCAGGTCGCTATGCAGCCAGGCTTCAACCATACGACTCACCTGCGCGCCTTAGTTCGGTGGATCCCATCATCATCATGTATGCGTCTACCCGCTTGAAGATTGAGCCGGCGGCCCGAGTGGCACGTCGCGACAGTGAGTCATTTTTCTGCCTTCGCTTTGGCATCATGATGGTGTCAGACCTAGTTCAGAGCCAATCAGTACAATTGTTTTTGGAGAGGTGTTCATACCGCTGAGCAATGTGGATGTTTGAATTTACCCAAAGATCATTGACCGTGTCTAGTCTTGCTCGTAGTCCACTAAGCTTGAATTCGAGAGGCTATCGAAACGAGCGGTCTTTGTTATTGAGAGGTCATACGAAGATGGAACGCACTGCGCAGATTGAATCTGTTCGTCTAACGTTGGCCTCGAAGACTAGCTCGTAGAACTCTCTCTTGATGGGGCCAACGAGACTCCGATTGTGTTTCGTGACGAACGTACTATTTTAAATCGGAAGTGTGGACGAGAATGAGCAGCAACTTTCTAGCTTTGTTGCTGTGCTGGTGCTGCGGGCCATTGCGGGTTCAAATGACGAAACGATGACTGGGGGGTTGTCGATGTTGCCAGCAGGTTATTCCACAATAGTGGTAATCAACTGAATACGCTTCTGCACGTTCGTCTGACAGCAATACCGATTGTGCCAAATCAATCAAAATCCTGCCAATAAGTATATGCATGGTATAAAAGCTGGTTATCGTCCTACAGTGTTTCATCATTGTCAGATATCATTCGGAATCCCCTCGCACAGAAAATGCGTCTATCCTTCCTCGCCATTGTTACTACTTTGACAGCATCTATGTCTGTCAGCGCATGTGTCCCTCCGTTTTCAACTTGCATATACGACTCTAATTGCTGCCCTCCGTTGACGTGTGGAAATGAGATCGTGAGTATGAGCAGGTCGCTATGCAGCCAGGATTCAACCATTTGACTCACCTGCGCGCCTTAGCTCGATGAAGTTAATTTTGTATGCCTCTAAAACATTGATATTGAAGATTGAGCCGGCAGCCCGAGCGGCACGTCGCGACAGTGAGTCATTTTTCTGCTTTGGCTTTGGCATCAAGGTTGACGTTGATGGTGTGATACCTAGTTCAGAGCCAATCAGTAATTTTTTTTTGGAGAGATGATCATACCGCTGAGCAGTGTGGACGTTTGAATACATCTAAAGATCATTGACGGTGTCTCGTCTTGCTCGCAGTCCACTAAGCTTGAATTCGAGAGGCTATCGAAACGAGCGGTCTTTGTTGATGATGATTGATATTGGGAGGTCATACGAAGATGCAACGCACCGCGCAGATTGAATCTGTTCGTCTAACGTTGGCCTCGAATACCAGCTCGTGGAACTCTCTCTCGATGGCGCCAACGAGACTCCGATCGTGTTTCGTGACAGACGTGGTATTTTCTGGTATGCCCAAGGTCCTACGGCGGGCCATCCGTGCTAGTGAACCTGTCAACAGATGAGATTGGTAATTAAAGCAATATATTGTTGAGCATCGCAAAAATTGACGTAGAACTGCTAACCACTCTCACATGGGAATGTTTTGCATTGTCGAGGAAACACCGATTTGCAAGCACGCGGGCCCGGTAGTAAAATTACAGATCTGTGAACTTTTTAGTTGAATGAGCTAAGAAATGCAAAATCCAGGTGCATGAAGCCAAGCATGTATCCATGCCTCAGACGGGCGATAAAATAGATGGACCGGTCAACAGTAACATGCATGACGTCGCAGGGTGTTACTATCCACTACCAAATGCCAGGTCTGTGAAGCAAGCTAGATTCTGGAGTTGAATGCTGGAAGGACGGTGTCGAAGCTGGAATAGCCCACGTAATGCAAATGGGGCCAGGTGAAATTGACGCGGCCCTGCCGCGCCTGCCGTGGTCGTGACGCGCCTGTGACGCGGCACTGACGCGGCATATGTGACGCGGCACTGTAACAAATTCCTACCTACAGATCATGTTTACACAACTTCATATCGCATTCCAAACACTTTGAATCATCGTTAATGATCAACATATGAGTGTCTGCCTGCGTACAGCCTCTATAGTGCTGTATTCACCTCTCACCAAATTTACAGTGCTTGTCCTCTGCGTTCATACTACTAGTATGCATCTTGCGCGTCAGTCCTATATTGTTGCATTACCTCTAGTGATGTTCCGGCCCGGCTTAGGCTTGGCTTCGAAGGGCTTAGGCTCACAAAAATTCAGAGCCTAGGCCGTTGGAACGGGCACGGACTGCAAGGGAACCAAGGCCAGACCTCTATGGCGGGAGGCTACGGCTCTGTCTATCGAGGACAGACTACGACACACGCGAGGACTACTGACTACGAGCCAGGACTCCTGCCACCGCGCCAGGACCCCTGCCACTCCCGTCCTGTTCTGCCAGAGCGCCCCGCTACACCGTGAGCCCAAGCCAGCCCAAAGCCGGGGCTTGGGCCCAGCCAGGCCGGGGCTTGGGGGAGCCAACGGACAGAGCAGCTTTGCGAAGCCAACGGACAGATCAAGCATTAGTGGTAGTCTAATTACAATGTGTCTAAATGTCCGTCTCAACATCTGACACGTCCTCAGCATCATCACCCAAAAGTAAAACGTCCCAACCTTCTTCTTCATCCACAACGTCACCAGTCTCTGCTCCCGCTTCCGCTTCTTCGTCATTGTCGTCCAGGTACTCCAACTCGACGAGAGACGATGGTTCGGGCTCCCAGAACAGAAGATTGTGTCGTAGCGCACATTTAACACACTGGAGTGCTTCGACGATGTCAGCCTTGAGCCGGTTGCGCCGTTTCGTGATGGTGATGCCGCCTTGTGAGAACGCCCGCTCGCTCGAGACCGACGATGACATGATTGATAGATAGTCCCGCGCAAGTGAAGCCCAAACAGGGTACCTCTGCGCATTGATCTGAAGCAAAGATTATCAGGATGGCAACGCTGCCTTCTCGGCATGCTGAAGGAGGGCGGCTGTTGGCTTTGTTTTGCGCACAGGACGTGCAACACGGTGCTCGGCATCTGTGCTTGTCATGGGTGGGTAGTAAGTAGGGATGTTAGAGGAACACGTACCGACATGAATCAATTGAAAGATATTGGGTGCGCCGTCACACTTGCGAAGGTGAAGCAAAAAAGGCTTCAGATTTACGAAAAATATTGATCTGTGAAACTGAGATCTGGTTTTCCGACAGCGGAGTGAGTTATGTCGAGCTCGCGAAGCAGAGGACATGGCGCTGGCACTCACCGTGACTTTTCCGTAGCAACAGACAAGAGATAAGGCGTTGAAATTGCTCGATATGTTGGCCAATGCAGGCTTTTTGACTGCAACATGTGGACCATCCGAGTCGAAGCTGATAGAGTTGATGGAAGTCAAAGAAAGACAAAAATAGAGTCGGGAAACGTACCTCCGGCAAGGCTTCTATGGCAGTGCCACTAAACATGCCAAAGCCACGGCTCAGGCCGGCGGCTCAGGCTTCTCGAAATCCAAGCCCAGGCCCAAGCCTTCCTCAGGCCATGACGTAGGCCTGGGCTGGGCCCGGCCTATTTGGGCCCGGCTTGGGCCGGCCCAGGGCCTCAAGCCGGGCCGTGCACATCACTAATTACCTCTAATTCGTTTATCTATGTTGGTTTTCAGACGCAGTGTCAAATGTTGTCTCACTGCGTCAAGCCTCGACCTCACCCTGCCAAGTTTGATCCACTCTCTATACCCTGCACCACCTAGTGCTGCCGTGGTTTGGTCCAGAACCACGGTCCGAACCTGACCAATGGTCAGGTTCTTCCTTGGTTCGGTCCATGGTTCAAGAATTGGGGCGGACCGGACCTGA